GCCAGCTTGAAGACTGCCGGGGGTCTGTTGGTAATCCCCCTTATGTGTGCTGGGAGGCAGTTGAACAGTCTCGGGCCCCTGCCTGTATTTTTAGCCACACATAAGGGGGATTACCAACAGACCCCTGGCAGTCTTCAAGCTGGCACTGGACAAGCACCTAAAGTCAGTTCCTGATCAGCCGGGCTGTGGCTCGTACGTTGGTTTGCGTGCAGCCAGCAGCAACAGCCTGGTTGATCAGGCTCTGATCCACCAGGAGGCCTGGTCACAGACCGGGCCGCGGGGGCGTTGACCCCCGGAACTCTCCAGGTAAACTCCAGGTAATAGTGATGATCAGACCTATACAAATTACCTGGAGAGAGTTCCGGGGGTCAACGCCCCTGCGGCCCGATCTGTGACCAGGCCTCCTGGTGGATCAGAGCCTGATCAACCAGGCTGTTACTGCTGGCTGAACGCAATCCAACGTATGAGCCACAGCCTGGCTGGTCAGGTACTGACTTTAGGTGTTTGTCTAGTGCCTGCTTGAAGACAGTCAGGGGTCTATTGGTAATCCCCCTTATGTATGCTGGGAGGCAGTTGAACAGTCTCAGGCCCCTGACACTTATTGTATTGAAGTACTATATACAGCCCTTGATAAAAATGAATATTCACTGGGGCTCTTGATAGACCTACAGAAAGCATTTGATACAGTGTATTCACTGTAATGCACCTAATGACCATATGTTATTGCCTTACTAATCTAAATTAGTGTTAAATTTGCCCGAAATTCTCTGCATATAAAGATGCTTTTGGCATGTTCACTAAATTATTACACTCTTGTACAAACACGTATCATGCTAAAATAAATTTGTTGGTTATTATGGACCATATTATTATAATCAAAAAGAAGCGCTAAGCCACAAGGGCTATACAGTGCTGCAGGGCAGGAAGCGAGGGCATCAGGTGGCAAAGGGGAGATGGATGAGTAATAGGTTACGGATAACAGCGGGGCAGTGGATGGTGAAAGGGTAAAGGGCAGCAAGAGACTGAACTAGAAAGGGCTGAGGGGAGTGTGAAAGGTATCATCATCAGAGTTTGTGGAGTATATCAGTCGTTGTCATGATAAGATAAGATTTCGTTCGGATTTTTAACCCTGGAGGGTTAGCCACCCAGGATAACCCAAGAAAGTCAGTGCATCATTGAGGACTGTCCAACTTATTTCCATTGGGGTCCTTAATCTTGTCCCCCAGGATGCGACCCACACCAGTCGACTAACACCCAGGTACCTATTTGCTGCTAGGTGAACAGGATAACAGGTGTAAGGAAACGTGTCGAAATGTTTCCACCCGCCGGGAATCGAACCCGGGCCCTCCGTGTGTGAAGCGGGAGCTTTATCCACCAGGCCACCGGGCCTGGCGGAGTCAAGATTAAAGGAGGGTCCATCAGCAAGAAGGGAAGGTAAAGAGAGAGTAGTGGAACGAAGACGACGTTGGAGGTAAATTCTGCGTGCTCGTTGATAGAGAGGGCAGTCTAACAGAATGTGGCTAATCGATACTGGAACTTGACACTGCTCACAGAGAGGGACAGGGTGCCTCTCCATGAGATACATAATCTCGTGCATCGGAGAACATTATATGATTATCCACAATCTTATCCTTGCAACAGGCACCATTATTTATACTAAAATAGTTAACTCCACGTTTGGTTTTGGTGTCGTGGTGAGAGTAGAAGTGGAGAAGATCGTTTTGGTTGGTGGGTTTTCGATAGACTTTAAAACGAAGTTCGTGGTCAGCTTTGCAGAGCAGAACATCAGCAGAACATTCTCCTCATAACTCCTAAACGCTTCAACGTTCAAGCTCTCCAAGACAAGCTCAACCAGGTCGAGCCTTCAATCCAGTTCACACTTGAAGAAGAAGTCGACAACACTCTTCCTTTCCTTGATGTACCCCTCAAGGAAGGTTCCTTGATGTTGGTGAGGGGCTCTTGATTTAGGGAATTGGATCTGTGCTCCAGTTCCCCGAATTAAGCCTGAATGCCTTCCACATCCCCCCCCCCCCCATCAGGCGCTGTATAATCTTCCGGGTTTAGCGCTTCCCCCTTGATTATAATAATAATTTCCTTGATGTTCTTCTCTGCAAAGCTGACCACGAACTTCGTTTTAAAGTCTATCGAAAACCCACCAACCAAAACGATCTTCTCCACTTCTACTCTCACCACGACACCAAAACCAAACGTGGTGTAATTATAGGCTTCTTCCTGCGTGCACTCAGAATCTGCAGCAATGAGTTCCTTGAGGAAGAATGCACTATAATTGAACAAGTATTTTCTAAACTCCACTATCCTCGTCACTTCATCAGAGACTGCAGACGGCGAGCATTACATCTTCAACACACCCAGAGAAGACACTGCCGAGAAGAGATACATAGTCCTCCCCACCAACTCCATTGCCAAACATGTTTCCAACATCTTTTCCAATACATCATTCCAAGTATCTACCTCCACAACCACGACCATCAAGGACATCACCAGTAGTAGACAGGACAAGCCTCCATCCTCTGCAGGGGTATACATAATCCCTTGTAATGACTGCAACAAATTATATGTGGGCGAAACATCAAGAGACCTCCAAACACGTATTTCAGAACATCAATATGCAAGCAGGACTGACGACACAAGGAATGCCTGTGTACAACATCGCAATTCACACAACCATTTAATTAACTACAGAAACTCAAGACTTATCGCCACAGAAGACAACATTCAATACCGAAGAATCCTGGAATCATCACTTATCTCTATAACCAACAATTTCAACCAGAACAACGGCTTCTATAACATAGCTGAACCACTCGCCAAGAAACTTCTTCATCGCTATCCCACATAAGAACATAGAACACTGCAGAAGGTCTACTCACAACTTGTCCAATACCCCTTCCAATTATTATTATTATTATTATCAAAAAGAAGCGCTGAGCCACAAGGCCTATACAGCGCTGTACCCCTGCCAAGCTACCCAAGACTCTATAACCCCACCCGGTAGATCATCAGATGCAGCATTCTCCACCTGACCTCAACATTCTCCACCTGACCTCAACATTCTCCACCTGACCTCAACATTCTCCACCTGACCTCAACATTCTCCACCTGACCTCAACATTCTCCACCTGACCTCAACATTCTGAACATGACTATAAATACTCCAGTACCTTCCACCCCAGGTAGATCTGTGTGTGACTTGAAAAAGTCCACTGTGTGGGCGAAACGTTATCAATAAAGGATCACATTATACTGCATATGTGTTTATATTTCCATAGTAGTATGTCATTGATGTCAGCTATGGTCTGTATACCTTGTACATGTACTTTTAGAAATAAAGATATTATTATTATTATTATTATTATTATTATTATTATTATTATTATTATTATTATTATTATTATTATTATTATTATTATTATTATTATTATTATTATTATTATTATTACTACTACTACTACTACTACTACTACTATAAATATTATTCTTGTAATTATTATAATTATTATAAGGTTGACTAAAGCGTCAGTTTTAGTGACCCTTAACAAGTCCATCCTTGTGGACACAGGTCAGGTGGTGTCTTATTTAGCTCTTGTTCCAGGGAATTAAGGTTGCTTTCTCTTTCCTCGGATCAGACCCGCCTCCCCGACGGTCTCCCCAGCCGCTGTGTAGCCCCCCCCTACGGGTCATGCGCTTCCCTAGAGTAATAATAATGATTCCCCGTAATGGCGAGTCAGATGTCTCTGTGGTGCTGGTGAAGGGCTCTTGATCCAGGGGTGTGGAGTTGGTCTGTGTTTATTCCTGCATGTGGTAGAAGGCTTTTTTTTTTTTTTAACTCTGGATAAGCCAGTAAAGCCACTCTAGCTTATTTCCATTTACTATGAGATTTAAGTGAAAATTTCCGTGATGCTGGTGAGGGGCTCTTGATCCGAGGAAATGGATCTGTGCTCCGGTTCCTTGAATTGAGTCTGAATACCTTCCATCCCCCCCCTCCCCAGAGGCGCTATATAATCCTACGGGTTTAGCGCTCCCCCATGATTTTAATTGTAATCCCATTATTGGTGCCTTGTGTCCCCTGCGGATTTAGCGCTTCTCTCATACTAGTATTGCTACTAGTATTCTAGTGTTACTATTACTATAGTATTACTAGTACTACTATTATTACTAGTACTACTAGTATTACTAGTACTATTATTACTAGTACTACTAGTATTACTAGTACTACTATTATTACTAGTACTACTAGTATTACTAGTACTACTAGTAGTACTACTAGTATTACTAGTACTACTAGTAGTACTACTAGTATTACTAGTACTACTAGTAGTACTACTAGTATTACTAGTACTACTAGTACTACTAGTACTAGTAGTACTACTAGTATTACTAGTACTACTAGTAGTACTACTAGTATTACTAGTACTACTAGTACTACTAGTACTACTAGTATTACTAGTACTACTAGTAGTACTACTAGTATTACTAGTACTACTAGTAGTACTACTAGTATTACTAGTACTACTAGTAGTACTACTAGTATTTGGAATTTGTGCATGGGGCTCAACAACAATTAACCATCTCAGACCACTAATTACCCAACAAAAGGCTGCAGTCAGAATGATAACAAATTCTCACTACAGGCAGCACACTCCACCAATATTCAAAACACTCAACCTACTCACCATACAAAACATCCATACTTATTATTGCACTTATTACATACATAGAACACTTAACTCTGATATTAACCCTCCCCTCAAACATCTCCTTGCCAACCTCAACAGAACACATGACCATAACACAAGGCACAGATCACTCTTTGATGTTCCTCGTGTCCATCTCACACTATGCAAAAACTCAATGCACATAAAAGGCCCTAAAATCTGGAATTCATTACCTGTAAATATAAAAGAAACACTACCTGTTTATAAATTCAAGTCTCTTCTCAAAGATCACTTACTCACCCAAAACCAAATAAATACTGAATAACTGAACCTTATAAATTGTATATCTTAAATGTTTCTCACAATTATATCATAAATGTTAAACCTAAAACCCAATCTAACTTTGTTATTTTTTTAAATACACTATCTAACAGAATACTCCATTCTACTGAATGTACAACAATGCATGCAACCATATGACCTGTCTTTGTAATACTCACTTGTGCTTTATAGTTATCTGTTTACAATAATGTTTTATCACTGATTTCATCATTGCTTAGTTAATCTTAAGTTAATTTTAAGCCAGCCCGTAATGCTATGCATATAAGTGGCTTTGGCATGCTGCTCTTACCTGTATTTTTTTGTACCTCTGTATATATGCTAAATTACTAAATAAATAAATAAATAAATATTACTAGTACTAGTATTACTAGTACTACTAGTACTACTAGTATTACTAGTACTACTAGTATTACTAGTACTACTAGTATTACTAGTACTACTAGTATTACATTACTAGTACTAGTATTACATTACTAATACTAGTATTACTATTACTACTAGTATTACTAGTACTACTAGTATTACTAGTACTACTAGTATTACTATTACTACTAGTATTACTAGTACTACTAGTATTACTAGTACTACTAACCACTTGCCTTCACTAACTCTTATCTAACACCTCACACAAACCTGTTGGATGTCCAAGCTCATCACACACAAAACCTCCTTTACTCCATCCCTTCAACCTTTCCTAGGATGACCTGTACCCCGCCTTCCCTCCGCCACAGACGTATACTTCGAGTCATCCTGTTTTTCTCCAGCCTGTAAAAATGGTTCGTACATTGGATTGCGTGCAGCCAGTAGTAACAGCCTGGTTCATCAGGTCCTGATCCACCATGAGGCCTGGTGACAGACCAGGCTGCTGGGGCATTGAACCCCATAACTCTCTCTAGGTACCCTCAAGAACCCCTCCTTTGCCCTCTGGATAATGCTTTTAGAAACCCCGCACCTCCTCCTAATCTCAAAACTACGAATTCTCTGCATAATATTCACACCAAACATTGCACTCAGGCATGACATTTCCACTGCCTTCAGCCTTCTCCTTGTTGCAACATTCACACCCATATAAGAGTATTGCACCAGTGGCGTCGCTAGGGTTGGTGTCGCCTAAGGCGGCCCACTCCCGTCTTACGATGCCACTGTATTGTACCACTATACTCTCATGCATTCCCCTTTTTGCCTCCATGGATAATGTTCTTTATGTCCACAGATATATGTACCTCAATGCACCACCCACTTTTTCCCTTCTTCAGTTCCATGGTTCACCTCATTTTTCACATAACCATCTGCCACAAGTCCACTTATGAATATCTGAATGCATTTACTTTCCTCCATCAACGTCAAAATGGTATACAATACCGACTGGTTGGTAGGTAAGACACATAGGCGACAGTTAGGCAACTTTATTCCAAAACGTTTCGCCTACACAGTAGGCTTCTCAGTTGAGTACAGAAAGTAGGCAGGAACAGTAGAGATGTGAATGGACTAATGTACTGATTACTAATAGACTGATTACATCGTCTTCACATCTCAACTGTTCCTGCCTACTTTCTGTACTCGACTGAAGAAGTCTACTGTGTAGGCGAAACGTTTCGGAATAAAGTTGCCTAACTGTTGCCTATGTGTCTTACCTACCAACTTTCCTCCATATTTCCTCCCTCCTATCTAATATCCAATCTCTCAATATCTATTACAGTAAGTTCTTTATAAACGTGATAAGAATCTTCTATCTCATTATTACATACTCGTCATAATATTCTTGCTTTTAGGTATCATCATGGGGAGTTACGGGCAGGTTATGCACACCAGTGTGAACAACATTACATTCCGTGTCTACACAGAAGAAGAAATCAAAGAAATCTCTGTGGTAAAAATAACCAACGACCAGTCCTTCAACGAGCTGGGTCACCAACTTCGTGATGGAATATACGATCTGCGGATGGGTAATTGTCGTGTAATCTCCATTTTGTACAGTAGGACTGCTGTATCCATGGGTCTGGTTTCCACAGTTTACTCTGGCCCAAAAATAAACCTTAATTTTGCTTAATAATGACACCAAGGTGTAAAAATAATGATGCTGGCAGTTCTTCAAAGCCTCAGAGAATCTTGAAATGCTTCCCATCAATGAAAAAGTGCCAACTTTTGACTTATTGTACTTAATTTATCAGTTAAACTTTATTATAGGTATGTATTATAGGTATGGAGTGAATGATGAAAGTTTTTCTTTTTCGGGCCACCCTGCCCAGGTGGGAATGGGCCGATGTGTTAATAAAAAAATAATAAAAATAATGTATGTAAATGAGAAATTACTTATATATAGGGTTCTTTACTATCCACAGTTTCAAGTATCCACCGTAGATCTTGGAACGTATCCCTGCAGATACGTTGGTCCTACTGTATTTTTGTTTTCCATGTATGAAGACTTATGAATATTATGTTAGGACAGTAGTAACTACTGATAATAAAAAAGTGTTTCTTCTAATGAATTATGTTCAATTTCAAAGGACCACTAATAAAGCATGTGCAAGATGTGTGTGAAACCTGTGGCCAAGATGGTTTTCGATGTCTGGGACACTGTGGCCACATAGAACTGCCACTGCCTGTCTATAACCCAATTTTTTATGAGGACCTCAAGAAGCTGCTCTCAGTGATGTGTATTTCCTGCTACAAGCTTCAATCAGACGGTATATATAATCATTATTTTTTAACATTCCACCCACCTCTCGCCAAGGACGGATGACCCGACAATGAAAAAAACACTCACTCTCATTCATTCAATAACTATCTTGCCAGAAGGGAGCTGACATCACAGATATCCCTCTAAACTACAACATTCCCACCTCTCCTTCAAAGTGAAGGCACTGTACAGTGGTACCCTGAGTTTCAAACATTCTTCATTCCAGAAGGTTGTTCAGGTGCTGATACCCAATGAATTTGTTCCCATAAGAAATAATGTAAATTAGATTTATCCGTTTCAGACCCCCAAAAATACTCTTACAGAAGCATTTACAATAATACAGTTATATAATTGGTTGAGTTGGGAGCGGTTCGAAACTCAGGGTACCACTGTATACTTCCCATCTCTGGTTTCCTGAATCCCTTTATAAACATTATCATGTTCGCACACCAACAGCATGTCAAATCATAAAAACCACTTGCTTCCATTTACTTCAGCCTAATATGCTCACACAATTTATGATACAGAATGATGGTGAATAAGACACATATGCACAATCTGAAACTATTTAAAAAACATTTCACCCACCAGACACTTTATTAATCTAATACAAAGAAGTGAAAGGAGATTTACATAGGAATCAGAGTATTAGTGGTGAAAAAAAGTTGTAGTAGTGGAAATGTAATGATTTTTTAAAGTATAGGTCAGGTTTTTTAAGTAGCAGTCAGGTTTTTTAAGTAGCAGTCAGGTTTTTTAAGTAGTGGTCAGGTTTTTTAAGTAGCAGTCAGGTTTTTTAAGTAGTGGTCAGGTTTTTTAAGTAGCAGTCAGGTTTTTTAAGTAGTGGTCAGGTTTTTTAAGTAGCAGTCAGGTTTTTTAAGTAGCAGTCAGGTTTTTTAAGTAGTGGTCAGGTTTTTTTAAGTAGCAGTCAGGTTTTTTAAGTAGCGGTCAGGTTTTTTAAGTAGCGGTCAGGTTTTTTAAGTAGCGGTCAGGTTTTTAAGTAGCGGTCAGTACCTTTGTAAGTGTATAAGTAAGTTTATTTAGGTACAGGTAGTACTCATAAGTCAGGTTTTTTAAGTAGCAGTCAGGTTTTTTAAGTAGCAGTCAGGTTTTTTAAGTAGTGGTCAGGTTTTTTAAGTAGCGGTCAGGTTTTTAAGTAGCAGTCAGTGCCTTTGTAAGTGTATAAGTAAGTTTATTTAGGTACAGGTAGTACTCATAGAGTTACACTAATTATCATACTTAGTAACATATGTAAATTACCCACAAGGATAACCCCAAAAGAGTCAAACAAGGTGACTGTTTCCAGGTTTGTTTGTGGAGAAGTGATTCTTAATACTATGTCAAATATTTACTTTTGTACTATGGTATTTTATAATTATAATAATAATAATGTACTATGGTGTTACATATGACAATAATAGATGATTCTTATAATCTGCATTTCAAGAGTCGGGTAAAATTACACTTGCAACTAATGTGACATTTTATTGTGGCAACGTTTCGGTCTCCAGGAGCTTTGTCGAGCCGTTACAAACAATTCAGGGACAGAGGGTATATATAGGTTTTAGAGTAAGGTGCAAACATAATAGTACATGTACAGGTTCAACATTGATTTTCCGAACCGTTGGTTCCAAAGCTTTTACGGATTACTGATTTTTCTGCCTTTAGAGCGCAGTATTCCTTGGTCTTGGGGTTGGATAACTGATGTTTAGTTTGCAACGTGAATTTCAAGTTCCTGCTCATAAATTTGTACAGTTTCGGACCATCATTGTCTGGAAAATCGATGTTGTACCTGTATAACCGTTGTAGGTAGTACAGTGGACCCCCGCATAACGATATTAATCCGTTCCTGAGAGCTCATTGTTATGCGAAATTATCGTTATGCGAATGAATTTTCCCATAAGAAATAATGGAAATCAAATTAATCCATGCAAGACACCCCAAAGTATGAAAAAAAAAAAAATTTACCACATGAAATATTTATTTTAATACACACAAACTGAAAAAGACATGCACAGTTACATGACACTTGCCTTTATTGAAGATCTGGTGATGATTGATGGGATGGGAGGAGGAGAGAGTCTTAGTGTTTAGAAGGGGAATCCCCTTCCATTAAGACTTGAGGTGTCAAGTCCTTTTCCGGGGTTACTTCCCTTCTTTTAATGCCACTAGGACTAGCTTCAGAGTCACTGGACTTCTGTCGCACAACATATCTGTCCATAGAGGCCTGTACCTCCCGTTCCTTTATGACTTTCCTAAAGTGTTTCACAACATTGTCAGTGTAATAGTCACCAGCACGGCTTGCAATAGCTGTGTTAGGGTGATTGTCATCAAAAAAGGTTTGCACTTTAAGCCACATTGCACACATTTCCTTAATCTTTGAAGTAGGCAACTTCTTCAATTTCTCTCTCTCTTCCTCCGAAGCAGTTTCCTCAGGTCTGGCCTCATGCTGATGATGATCTAGCAGCTCATCAGTGGCTAGTTCGTCATTGTCCTCCTCCACCAACTCTTCCACATCATCCCCACTAACCTCCAACCCCAAGGACTTTCCCAATGCCACAACGGATTCCTCAACTGGCATAGGATTCCCAGGGTTAGCCTCAAACCCTTCAAAATCCCTTTGGTCTACACATTCTGGCCACAGTTTCTTCCAAGCAGAGTTCAAGGTCCTCTTAGTCACTCCCTCCCAAGCCTTACCTATAAGGTTTACACAATTGAGGATATTAAAGTGCTCTCCAAAACTCTCTTAGAGTCAATTGAGTTTCTGAGGTCACTACAAAGCACCTTTCAAACAGAGCTTTTGTGTACAGTTTTTTGAAGTTTGCAATAACCTGCTGGTCCATGTGCTGCAGGAGAGGAGTGATATTAGGAGGCAAAAACTTCACCTTAATGAAGCTCATGTCCCCACAAAGTCGCTCTGCCACGTCTGTAGGATGACCAGGGGCATTGTCTAAAACCAGGAGGCACTTAAGGTCTAATTTCTTTTCAGTTAGGTAATTTTTCACATTGGGGGCAAATGCTTGGTGTAACCAGTCATAGAAAAAGTCCCTAGTGACCCATGTCTTACTGTTTGCCCTCCACAGCACACACAAATTAGCCTTGAGGATATTCTTTTGCCTGAACGCTCTTGGAGTTTCAGAGTGATACACTAATAAAGGCTTCACTTAGCAATCACCACTAGCATTAGAACACATTAACAGAGTAAGCCTGTCTTTCATAGGCTTATGTCCTGGGAGTGCCTTTTCCTCCTCAGTAATGTAGGTCCTGCTTGGCATTTTCTTCCAAAACAGGCCTGTTTCATCACAATTAAACACTTGTTCAGGTTTCAGTCCTTCACTGTCTATGTACTCCTTGAATTCATGCACATATTTTTCAGCTGCTTTGTGGTCCGAACTGGCAGCCTCACCATGCCTTATCACACTATGTATGCCACTACGCTTCTTAAATCTCTCAAACCAACCTTTGCTGGCCTTAAATTCACTCGCATCATCACTAGTTGCAGGCATTTTTTTAATTAAATCCTCATGCAACTTCCTAGCCTTTTCGCTTATGATCACTTGAGAGATGCTATCTCCTGCTATCTGTTTTTCATTTATCCACACCAATAAGAGTCTCTCAACATCTTCTATCACTTGCGATCTCTGTTTCGAAAACACAGTTGAACCTTTGGCAAGAACAGCTTCCTTGATTGCCGTTTTCTTGGACACAATAGTAGCGATGGTTGATTGGGGTTTACTATACAACCTGGCTAGCTCGGAGACATGCACTCCACTTTCATACTTAGCAATGATCTCTTTCTTCATCTCTATAGTAATTCTCACCCTTATTCCTGTAGGGTTGGCACTAGAAGCTTTCTTGGGGCCCATGGTCACTTATTTTGCAGATAAAATCACCAAAAACACTGTAATAATACGAAATGTTCCGATTGTATGCTTGGGTGTTACCGGGGAGGCTGGCTGGTAAACAATGCCACCGGCGGAACATGTGAGGCTGGCTCGGGCCGCACATTAGACGCGTCTCGGACGAATAGCGTTGAGCGGGTTTTTTAGCGGTATGAGAGGCAAAATCTTAGAGATAAAATGTATCGGTATGCGGATTTAACGTTACGTGATGCCAACGGTATGCGGGGGTCCACTGTATTATTGTCAGTAATATTGTTAGTAATTCTACTATCATTATTACCATTTCAAGAGTTCTTCCTTTTTGATCCTTTTGGCACTGTTCCAATTTATAATATCCATGTGATTTTTTATGTCTAACACATTTATCGGTTATGTCTCTCCTGCATGCATCAACTAGTTACACATCGTCACGAGTTTCATTCTCTTACGTGCAGGTTATTTATCATATTTCGTGGCTTATTAGACACATGTTTTTTTCCACAAAATGTCTCCAAAAACTACCCTGTATCCTATAAACTGAAGTTCAGTGACAGGCGCTTTGTATAACTTTGGGGTGTGGGGTGGGCTGTAGCTCCCCCAGTTACGTTCGATGCCGAGCCATTGAAACTAAAGCAAGTCTTATAAGCCATGCCTTATAAGCTGTGAAATACTACAGTATTGTTCCAGTCACAGTATTGTGCCTTTCCATTCTACATGACAAATAATAATTGATATCATTTGTAATATAAATAAAATATTAGAGTTGAAACAAAACAACGTTTAAGTGTTTAAAGTGTTTTAAATAAAACCTTACCTCTCCTTTAGAATACCAGGTGATGCAGCTTTCATATCAAATCAGACTTCTGAATGAGGGTTATGGTCAGCAGGCTCTCGAGGTGCAAGATATGGTCGCACAAATCATGTCAGATGAGAGAGAGTCGGACGAGGTCAGTTTGTTTCTACAGTTTTATTGTAGTGAATGAAAAGGCATAAAAATGGCTTGAGCCTTTATTATAATGACTTTTACACTTGAGAGGTGTTTTATCTAATTTGTTTTATTTTAAGCACAGTTCGTCTCAAAATATGAAATACTTGGAGCTTTACTTTCCGAATATCTTAAATGTTTTCATTTTTACCTTTATCTACTGCTGCTTTTTCAAGTAATAGATTAAGACTGTTTCCTTAGATTGTTTGTAAACTTGAAATAATGGTTTAAGGTAGTTTATTGCCCCAATGACCATTTTTTTTGCAACAATAAATTTTTACTTAGTAGCATTGGTACAATATCATGACAAAAATTTTTATTTTTTGGATATCTCAAGAATAAATAAGGTAACAGCTTCAAATTTGGTGTTCGTATGTCTTGGCTATGGTATATAATTCAGGTGCAGTACAGTGCTCCGTATAAATGTTCATTTTGTGACCTTCTAGCAGGAATTATAAAAAAAAAAAAATTAATTGAATTGGCCATTTCCTGCCATGATAAGTTGACTTAACCCTTAACCCTTTGAGGGTCGACAGGCCCTCTCCGAAACTCGTTCTCAGGGTCGGCCAAATTTAAAAAAAAAAAATTATTTTCTCTTATGAAAAGATAGAGAATCTTTTCCCGATCATAAAGACACCAAAAGTTTGAAATTTGATAGAAAACTTACGGAATTATGCTCTCGCAAAGTTAGCGGTCTCGGCGATGTTTACGCATCGGCGATTTTGCCCACTTTGAGCCCCATTTTCGGCCAATTTCGCTGTACTAGTCGACAAAAAACATGAATATTTCGCTAGAACTCCATTTTTTCTATCGAATGGGTGCAAGAAACCACCCATTTATGAAATTCAACTATCCAGTACAGTGGTCAGAATTTAGCAATTTTGCCAATTTCACACAAATTTCAAAAGATGCCAATTTCCGAATAGGGTCCAGAATAAACAAGAAAGACATTCCTGGCACTAAAATGACATTTCCTCTAGTCATTAGTCACGTCTCAAGGTCCCTCTTATATTCTTTTGCTTTCCATTTTGAATTTTTATTCTCAAAAAATATAAGATTTACTGTTATGCAGACTACTGCATTAGTGTAAAAAATGGTATAAATATTATTGGTGCACTTGTGAAAGAATATTAGACTCACCAGTTGACGTGTATTGCACGCTTGGCACGATTTGTTTACTTTTGAAGTTTGGTAAAAATCGAACATTTCTGCTACTTTGAGCTCAATTTCAAGGCACCTTTCATTGTAAAACCAGCCAAAATCATCTCAATTTCTGTAATACGTCTTCCATTCTATAAAATGAGACCAAGAAAACTAGAATACAACAATAAATACCATACGAAAATACACTGCAAAGTCGCTGATTTATTCCAAAAAAATGGTCAAAGTTTTTTTTTTCTCATTATGCACTGTGTGCTGCAGGATTTTTTTTAGACTGTGCACACTGACCACATAGACCCATTCTTTCATATGAAGGCCTAACAGCTTTCTCCCACTAGATTTGAGGCCGCTAGAATTTATGCGTACTAGTACGTCAAAAACCCCTACGCGTAAGACGTACTAGTACGACGAAAACCCTCAAAGGGTTAAACTGTCCAAACGTAGATCTACGTTTTTTCAACATTTGAAAGTATGTAAAAAAACGTAGATCTTCTTTTTGTTTTTTTTACATTTGAGAACGTGTAAAAAAAACTTTGATCTACGTTTTTTTTTTTGTTATATTTGAAAATATGTAAAAAAACGTAATCTACTTTTGGAGCACTACGGATGTGAACATAGATCTGTTTGGAGAGTTTAAGGGTTAAAGAAGGAAACACATTCACCATCAGTGACTCAGTCGCCATCTTTCTAGAAATGTGCTGACGTCACAATAGGATTATCCTCCTCCTGCAACATCCCCACCCCTCCATCAGAGTGCCAACACTGCCTAGCCTTCCTGTCCTCAGGTCTTCAGTCTGCTAACTCATAATGTTGTAAGGAGAATTAATTATAGCCCTAATACCATATGACCAAGGATTAATGAGCATAGAAGCCCTACTGGAAGCATACACTAAAATTCCGGTAATAGTAAAAGTTTTAAGAAACTCGCATTTGTTTAAATTCATCATTGTGGGAAATTTGGGTCCTGGAGGTTGGTGTTTCCTAAACAGCTGCTTCTTGTGCATGCCATGCTTATCCTGTGAACAGTAGTGCAAAACACAAGATTAATAGGCCACTATGGGCCTTCATCATACCCCCACTGGGATGACCCTTGATTTATACATCCAATTCATCAACCTATCCCTCTCAATACCCAAACCACCTCAGCAACTCCTCCTCTTCAACCCTCAAAGATTGGTATTAGGGCTAGTACCATTTCTGCTTTATGCAAATGATATTCCAGATGGGATTGAGTCAGATGTATCCCTGTTTGCTGATGTAAAACTGATGAGAAGACTGAAAACAGACAAGGTCAGGGAAAGACTGCAAATGGATCTAGACAAACTGCAAGATTGGTCAGATAAGTGGTTGCTTGAATTTGACTCCCAGCAAATGTAAGATCTTGAAGATCAGGGTGAGTGACCTTCAGGAATCTCAACAAAAAAGCCTTTCCGGGAACTTTATTCAACATACGTTAGGACCATCTTGGAGTATGCAACACCAATACAGGAACCACATCTGAGAATGTTAAGAAATCGGAGGTGTAGAAGTATGCAACAAGGCTAGTTTCTGAATTAAGTTGCACAAGTTATGAGAAAAGTCTAATGACATTAAAGGACAGAAGAACCAGGGAAGTGTCCCGTAGCTCGATCGCTAGCACACTCGGCTCACACACTGAGGTCTGAAGTTCAAATCTTCTCTGATACGGCTGGAAAACATTAGGGACGTGTTTCCATAAGACACCTGCTGTCCATGTTCACCCATCATTGTAAAATGGGTACCTGGGTGTTAGTGAACAGGTGTGGGTCGCATCCTAGGACAAAACTGACCTAATTTGCCCGAAATGCTCTGCATAACAAGCGGCTTTCTGTATAGTAGTATGTCACTGATGTCATCTATGGTCTGTATACCTTGTACATGTACTTGTAGTAAATAAAGATCTTATTATTATTAACAACATACAAAATACTGAGGGGGAATTGATAGGATAGACAGGGACAGGCTGTCTGAGAGGCAAGAAACAGGAACTTGGGGACACAGCAGATGTCAGGAAGTATTTCTTCAGTCTCATGGTGGTTGGAAAAGGGAATGATTTTTATGAAGAAGTGGTAGAGGCAGGCTTCATACGTAACCTTAAGAGCAGATACAATAAGGAACATGAGGATGGGAGGAAGTGAGTCTGATAAGCAGCAAGTTGAGAGGCGGGGCCTGGAGCTGAACTCGACCTGCAGCCACATATAGGTGAGTACATATAGTTGGGTGCTTATTTTATTTTAACAAAATTAAATAAGTGCCTAGTAGCATTTAAATAAGTCTCCATTAGCACTTGAAGGTGGGAACATAGTGCCTGCACTCTGATGGTGGATCATTATAATTACAATACAGGAAGGCCCCCGTCGTTTTTGTCATCTTCTTTTCAGTGTTGCACATTTTCGGTGGTTTTTCAATTGAGCTATTGTTCATTATGTTCGGTGCTTTTTCCGCATTTCTAATGTTTTCGTACAATAGTGCATAAGAGAAGGGTAACTGGTGCCATATTTTAAGGTAAGTATTGTTTGTACTGTATTTATTTTACTTTTGTATTGTTTTTTATGCTTAGCTATATTGAACACTTAATATATGATAGTGTAAACACGTCATAAGGTGATTTAGACACATTGTGCCTGCCAGCGATTTTTGCTCATCACCGGGGATCGGGAACCTAACAGCCACAAAATCAGGGCCCTCCTGTGTGTGTAAACTGCAAAGACTGCTAAGACTGACTAGTGATGCATATGTTGACTTATTTCAATCCTATCTTTATTGCTAAAATATTTTTTTATTGAAACTACTCTTATAAAATAAATTACATTTGTGTATTTTATTGAAAATGATTTGTGTAAAACAGAATAAAATTATTAGCCATATTTATTTACATTCTTAGGTATTAACTGGAGTGGGTGACAGAATTATCCAAGGAAGTGAAAAGAACTTTAATAAATCAAATAAGATGCAAGCTATTGGAGCGACTCTGAAGACATACTACGAGAAAGTGATTGAAGGTGAGCATAACGTTGGAGATAAATGGTATAAAATATTGACGCAGTGGACAAATAGACACAAATGTAGTATAATGTGATTCTTTACTGACTACATTTCACTACCATCACAAGCTAATATCAAAGATGGTTGACACAAACCCACTACCATTATAGTATGCTCCTCACTTAGCGACAGATTCTTTTACCGACGTGGTCTTGGGAACGGAACTCCGTTGTTAAGTCAGGAGAGGCTGTATTCTTTGAATTCAGATTAAGGTGTTAATATTAACCCACGCAGGAGAGAGAAGTTTCTCCTATGTGCGGGTTATTTGTGTATTATTCCAGTCACGGTATTGTGCCTTTTTCTTCTTCAATGTTAGTTATCAATTTTCAGAAGGAACATGTCATCGTGAGGTGTCCACATCCATCATCAAAGCCATCCAGCAGCAAATCATCAAAAAATTTGTGGAAGATTGCAAAACTAGAAAGCTCTGTAAATATTGCAAACGATCTAAAGTAAAGCTCACCTTTCAGTATTCACGTTTCATGGTGAAATCACAGCGGTTCAAGAATCATAAAAAGAATGACGCTCTTGTGACAGTTGATGTTGACAATCAGTCGTACATCACAACCGAACAGGTAAGGATGTTAAAATGCTCTGTAATGATAACAGTTAAGGATTTAGGTAGTACAGTAATGTGGAGAGTGTTGGATGGTAGAAGTAGAACTGTCTACATCACTGTGTGTTGGATGGTAGAAGTAGAACTGTCTACATCACTGTGTGTTGGATGGTAGAAGTAGAACTGTCTACATCACTGTGTGTTGGATAGTAGAAGTAGAACTGTCTACATCACTGTGTGTTGGATGGTAGAAGTAGAACTGTCTACATCACTGTGTGTTGGATAGTAGAAGTAGAACTGTCTACATCACTGTGTGTTGGATGGTAGAAGTAGAACTGTCTACATCACTGTGTGTTGGATGGTAGAAACAGCTGTGTTTGCCATGTGTGTCGTAAGAGGCAACTAAAATGCCAGGAGTAACAGGATAGTAACCCCTTCTATATAAATTATTAAATTTTCTTTTTAGGTCACCTTGCCTTGGTGGGATACGGGCAGTTTGTTGAAAAAAAAAAATTATCATTATACTCCACGAAGAAGTGTAGAAGAATCCTTCCTCCGTAAACTATGCTTGTCGTAAGAGGCTACTAAAATGCCTGTATAAATTACCACATGCATAAAAGAAAACTTTCATTTTTCTCTTTGGGTCACCTTGCCTCGGTGGGAGACGGCTGTTGCACTAAAAAAAAAAAATTATGTACATTTCTAGTGTAGGGCTACTCTTCGAAAACTAATACGTACATGTAATGTTTTCGTTTTGCTTTTTTCAGATTCGTACCATTCTGCGAAAGTGTTGGGAAAAAGATAAAGAGTTATTGGTGTGTTTGTATCCCATACTGGCATCATCAAAATTGGAGCATCCTACTGACTTGTTTTTTATGACTTGTCTCTTGGTTATGCCTCCAAAGTTTCGTCCATGTAACTTGCAGGGCGGAATAATGGTGGAACACGAGAGCAGTGTTCTTCTGAAGGTAAGGGAATGTGTTGATATTAACCAGTGCTGGGTGTCAAGAAGTAATTGTAACCAGTGTTGGGTGTCAAGGGGGTAATTTTAACTAGTGTTGGGTGTAAGGGGATAATGCAAACCCCACTAACACAGCTTCAAGACTAAGTCCTCTAGCCCCCTTCGCCCAAACTGCTGACCCTAAACCTTTCTTATATAGAGAACAAAAAGGCACAATACTGACTGTTCAACTGCCTCCCAGCATACACAAGGGGGATTACCGATAGACCCCTGGCTGTATTCAAGAAGGCCCTGGACAGACACCTAAAGTCAGTACCTGACCAGCCGGGCTGTGGTTTGTACGCCTGGTTGCATGTGGCCAACAGTAACAACCTGGTTGAACAGGCCCTGATCCACCATGAGGCCTGGTCACAGACCGGGCTCTGGGGGCATTGACCCCGAAACCCTCTCCAGGTATACTGTCCCTGCCATCTTGCCTCTATATACTGACTCCATCTCTTTTCTGTTAGTGTGACCTTGTCAGTGGTCCAAGTCAGACTTAAACGTCATCGTAAGCTCCTCTTTCCTATGTGCAGATTATCTGTGTATCCTTCCTATATAGAAATTCTGGAGCCACCTCTGATTTTAGCACACTCTTAATTGTCTTTTTTGCATAATATGCTGTATTATGTATGGTAACACAGACTGACACATTACACACATGGATTTTAGGAGGATTTAAAAAAGTTTACTTCTTACAGGGTGTGGTGAGAATGGCTAAGGTTCTAACATTTCTCATCTCAGTAGTGAAAGGAACCATTACAGAGCTGCCAGAAGAACTCAAGTATCTTCTCTCAGAAGTCTCAGGAGAAACACCTGTGGAGAAGACCCAGAGCATCTGGTACCAGATGCAAAGTTACGTTGACAACCTCTTTGATTCTGAGATCAATCTTCGTCGAAGCTCACAACTAGAGGGATCCGACAGGTTAGTTGTTATCTTTGTACATATGAAAAGCTTTTATTTTAGAAATTACTAACCTGTATTTTTTTAACAATATTACAATTATATATTTGTAATTAGTTATTTGAGTTTGCCTTGGGAGTTGAGCTATAGCTCTTGGTTTCATCTTTAAATTTTTGACTGACCATTGTAATTTAATTTTGTCATTTCATCTTGAACCTCTGTGTGGCGCCCACTTTCATTTTGCTTCTTCACCACTTAAAGATGCTTCCTGATATCCCTGTGGCTCATTTGGGTGTACAGTTTGATTTATTGCATCTATGGTAAGGAATACTGTAATTTTGTTTACCCTTTTTATCCCTCCTAATATTTTTAATGTTGTGATTATACCCTCTCTTGGTCTTCATGTGTTCATTGAAAAGGCTTGAATGTATGAGACTTAATATGCAGGGAAAAACCGTTCACTGTACAATTTTTTTTTACTCACAAAGGGGCTTTCTCATATTCATAGAGAAGATATCACAAAACACATGTATCGTGCAGTAATTAAGGGCAAGTGAGACAAAGCCAGAGAAGCAGTACTTAAAAGTCCACTGTGTTTCATTTACTGTGTTTCCTAACTTCTTTGTCTTGACCCCACTCACTATATGCTATATAAAATGTGTGTTGTGATATGTTCCTTGTGTTCTGTGCTTGCTGATTCAGCAGTTCTTTTCACTCATTATTGCTTGAATATGTTCATATCCCAACTTCGATGTCGTGTTGTTCGCGGGTGGGCTATATGTGGCATCCACAACACCCTAGAATGTTTGTTGATTTAAACACACAAACACCCTGCACATAAGAGGGAGGAGCCCAGGATGACATTTCAGCCTGACTTGGACCATTTTTACATGTGATATATTAACCCTTAAACGATCCAAACGTATATATACGTTCACGCGCGTAGCGCCCCAAACGTATATATACGTTTTCTTTGTCATTCATTCAACATTGCCACAATAAGCCTGAGTTACCTAGACATGAGAGAATGGGTGTGTTCACTTACTGTGTTCCATATTAAAATAATTGGGGATACCTGGGTACCATATGCTCTTTTTTCCTTTTAAAAGAAAAGATTTCTTTTTTCCTCAAAAAATTTGGGGCGCTACGCGAGTGAACGTATATATACGTTTGGACCGTTTAAGGGTTAATGGTCCAGTTTGGACCAAAACATCATCCTGAGCTTCTCTCTCATATGTGTGGGTTCTTTACATGTTGTTCCAGTTATGGTATTGTGCCTTTTTGTTCATTCACTGATTAAAGTTCTGACTGTAATCAGTAAAATTATTACAGTCTGCAGCACTGCTGTTTAACAGTCCTGTTCCCTTCCCTCCTGGCTTTTCTCACAATGTGGTACCTCCTAGTGAAGAAAGCATGTGTTATCACCTCTGTTATCTTGCATTCTCTGATTGCAGTGAGGTCAGGGTGAATAAGATGCAAAGTGTTCATTTTTTTTTTTTAAACACGCTGGCCATCTCCCACTGAGGCAGGGCAACCCAAAAATGAAACACTTTCGCCATCATTCACACTATCACTGTCTTGCTCATTTCTACTGTAAAATTATGATTATATAATATACAGAAAATGAACACACACAGTTTTTAAATACTGGTGAAATTTATATCGTCTAATTTTTTCTTCAAGGTAATAGAGAAGAAATGTGGTTTGTTTCGGAGAAATCTCATGGGCAAACGTGTGAATTACTCAGCACGCTCAGTAGCCGCACCTGATCCACTCCTCGCAGTCGATGAAGTAGGTGTACCCATGGATTTTGCTCTTAAACTCACATACCCAGTTCCTGTCACTCAGTGGAATGTACAAGAACTCCGGCAGCTTGTAAGTATTTCTTAGATTTTTTTTTATCACTACAGCCTCTCCTCACTTAACAACGGAGCTCCGTTCCTAAGACCACATCGGTAAATAAATTCATCACTAAGTGAGGAGCATACATCTTTGATATTGTTTTAATGTCACCTTTGCAACATTTGTAATATTTCTGGTATATTTTTAAATGTTTATACAGTAGTGTACTGCAATAAACAGAATAGAGGAAATTAGCTCTAATATACATTATTTAGGTGTGCATACTAGTCATAGAGCCCGTTAATAAATCCGAGTCATTGGTAAACGAGTACGTCGCTAAGTGAGGAGAGGCTGTACTACCTTTCCCACTCAAGAAATGTATTTATATAATTTAGCAAATTTTCATATTTTTGTTACGTGCATATGGTTATCTAAAAGTAAATGTCAGCTATTTTCTGAGGGATATGTTATAAGCATGCAGTTGTCTGCTAGTTAAGAGTGTATGATATATTCAGATCTTTTTCTTAGGTGAAGAATGGTCCTGCAGTGTATCCTGGAGCAGTGATGATTGAAGATGAAGAAGGCAAGAAGAAGCGTCTCAGAGACGATGATGCTATCCAAAGGATTGCCATTGCCAACAAGCTTCTCACTCCACCAGAATCACACGTGCGGAGAGTCAATGCCACCAAGATTGTGTATCGCCATTTGCAGAATGGTGATTTTGTGTTGATGAATCGCCAGCCGACTCTTCATCGTCCTAGTATCCAGGCTCACCGTGCCCGTGTATTACCAAAAGATCGGGTTCTGCGTATGCCTTATGCAAATTGCAAAGCATACAATGCAGATTTTGATGGTGATGAGCTAAATCTGCACTTCCCTCAGAATGAATTAGCAAGAAGTGAAGCTCACCATATTGTAACAACTCATAATCAGTATCTTACACCAAAGGATGGATCCCCACTTGCTGGGCTCATTCAAGATTGTGTTGTAGCCAGTGTCATGCTGACCATGAGGCAAACATTTTTCTCACGTGAAGATTACCAGCAGTTAGTTTACACTGGACTGTCTGACAAGTGTGACAGGATTAAAATGTTGCCTCCTGCGATTCTAAAGCCAAAGCAGCTGTGGTCTGGGAAGCAGGTCATCTCCACCCTCCTCCACAACATCATTCCAAAAAACGTGGCACGACCATCTTTCACATTCAAGACCTCGGTTAAAGTGGATGTAAGATTTTACACTATGTACATCTTAGCTATAAATTTGATATACTGAAGGTTCAAGAACTTAAAAATGAGTTAGGGTCCAAGTTTTTGACTTAAATGAGTTTATTTGTATAGACAGCATTGGGAAAAATGATGGTTATGTTTAACGCATGTTTAATAGATGTTCGTACTGTAAGTTGACAGTTGTAAAAACTGTAAATGGTTTCTAAGTGCCCCATTTGTAAGTGGGTATGTGGGAAGTACAATGTCTGCACTTTAAAGGATAGTTTTGGGATATTTGCTGTTTAGAGTGACATGTAAAATGTTGTATCTGCATGTCCTCTGGTAAGACAGTGATAGTGTGAATGATGGTGAGAGCTTTTCTTTTTCAGGTCAGCCTGCCTCGGTGGGAGACGGCCAGCATGATAAAATAAAATTTGTGCCTATTTCCTAGAGACCAATTCTTGAAACAGAACTTTTTTTAATAAGCAAAAACTACATTTGTTTACAAATTATTTTCCAAAAATTAAGCCTTTGATTCGTTGAGTATATATGGTACAAACATGGACATTTCTCTCTACCATATAATTAATAATCTTACATTTTATAGATGTGGCAGACTAACAAACCAAGAGAGTGGAAAGCTGGTGGCTTCCCAGAGAAAAAACGCGGGGCTATGACCGATTCTGATTTTATTATGGTTGACGGAGAGTTGCTGTGTGGTGTTATTGATAAGAATGCTATTGGGTCCACAAGCTATGGACTTATACATACGTGTTATGATGTAAGTTGTGCCTTTTAACCCTTAAACTGTCCAATCGTAGATCTACGTTCACTCACATAGTGCCCCGAACATAGATCTATGTTCTATTTTACATCCTTTCTTATGTAAAAGAAAAGCGTAGATCTACATTCAGAGCGCGCTACGCAAGTGAACGTAGATCTACTTTCAATTTTACATGCTTTCTTAAGTAAAAAAAACATAGATCTACGCTCGGAGCGCTACGCGAGTGAAGGTAGATCTACATTTGGACAGTTTAAGGGTTAATTGAAACCTTTCACATTTAGCCATTAATGGCTCGGGTTGAGCTCAAAAAATTTGTACTGTAGCATTGTCTAGTCATTTGATATATTTTAAGACTGAAAAAAGGATATACTTTGGATAATATATATTATATAAAAATGATTTGCTTTGGATAAAAAAAGAAACATGGCAAGTGGGAAAGCAGTACAGGAGTCAAGTTATTTTTGTGGTTTATCAACTTAAAAACAAGTTACTTGTACAGGAGGGTCAAATTTATACAGCAGGTTAGGTTCTGGGCTACTGCTGTACAGGAGGGCCCCACTTATACAGCAGGTTAGGTTCTGGGCTACTGCTGTACAGGAGGGCCCCACTTATACAGCAGGTTAGGTTCTGGGCTACTGCTGTACAGGAGGGCCCCACTTATACAGCAGGTTAGGTTCTGGGCTACTGCTGTACAGGAGGGCCCCACTTATACAGCAGGTTAGGTTCTGGGCTACTGCTGTACAGGAGGGCCCCACTTATACAGCAGGTTAGGTTCTGGGCTACTGCTGTACAGGAGGGCCCCACTTATACAGCAGATTAGGTTCTGGGCTACTGCTGTACAGGAGGGCCCCACTTATACAGCAGATTAGGTTCTGGGCTACTGCTGTACAGGAGGGCCCCACTTATACAGCAGGTTAGGTTCTGGGCTACTGCTGTACAGGAGGGCCCCACTTATACAGCAGGTTAGGTTCTGGGCTACTGCTGTACAGGAGGGCCCCACTTATACAGCAGGTTAGGTTCTGGGCTACTGCTGTACAGGAGGGCCCCACTTATACAGCAGGTTAGGTTCTGGGCTACTGCTGTACAGGAGGGCCCCACTTATACAGCAGGTTAGGTTCTGGGCTACTGCTGTAAAGCAAAAACCACTATAAAATGAAACATAGCCTTCAACTGCATATAAGTCTGACAACATGTTTACACTATCACATATTAAGTGAGCAACAGAGCGAGGCCTTAAAAATGCATATACAGTACACACATTACTTACTTTAAAGTGTTTTCAACCTTAGCTTATAATGAATGTTGAATATAATTATTGTAGGAAGTCTGGATAAATGAAGAATGCATATACAGTGGACCCCCGCTTAACGATCACCTCCAAATGCGACCAATTATGTAAGTGTATTTATGTAAGTGCGTTTGTACGTGTATGTTTGGGGGTCTGAAATGGACTAATCTACTTCACAATATTCCTTATGGGAAAAAATTCGGTGTGTACTGGCACCTGAACATACTACTGGAATGAAAAAAGTTCGTTAAGCGGGGGTCCACTGTAATTGAGAACTGCCGCATTAGCGAACTGCTGTAAAGTGAAGCGCTCTAACGCAGGGTCCTTTGTATAGAAAATAATACAAAGGAGAGTTGTGTTTTACACATGTTTTGCCACAAATAAAGATACCCAGATATTGCACATGTGTCAAATTCATTTACACATGTTTGTACTGTAGTCCCCATGGTTATTAAACTTTAATTGCTTTTTAAATGTAGGCATTTGCTAATGTAATTGTTTTACAGTTATACGGTGGAAGTGTTGCTTCCAAGCTGCTGTCGTCTATCAACCGTCTATGCGTATATTATCTCAAGTGGGCTGGCCATACCATCAGTGTCAAAGAATTTATTACACCATCACATGTTAGTGCCAAACGCAGAGCAGTGTTGGCTGATCTTATAAAGGTATGAAGATAATAAATTGCTATTTTCTTTTCGTATGATTGTATTCCCTTGTACCAAGCTGTCTGCATCTTGCGTAGACTACCATATATTATCGGCCATGAGTCCATCTTGGTCATTACATAGGGGTAGTATGTTGCTTATTCTACAATTATCAGATTGTTTGCATATGGAAGTACCGTATTTCGTGGCTTATAAGACGCAGCTTATAAGACTTGTTTTAGTTTCATTGGCTTGGCATCGGATGTAACTGGGAGAGCTACAGCCCACCCCACACCCCAGACTTATAGCACCTGTCACTGTCCTTCAGTTTATAGGACGCAGGGTGGTTTTGGGAGACATTTTATGGAAAAAATGCGTCTAATAAGCCGCAAAATACGATAAATTGTTTTTCTGCATCAATAGAATATCAAAACATAAACATCATCTACATTGACTACTAAAGAATTTGAAAAATGCAGTCATGGAGCGATGGTCTGTGATGTCACTGGGTGTAACAGGAAGCCAGAAAAATGACAGGGTGGGTAATGAGAACTTTGATAACGAGAAATAATGCCAGTTATAACACGATATACTTGTGCTCTCTTGCTTGGAGTACTGTTTGGTGTTGCCAGGTCTGTAAAAACATTGCTAATTGTGTCTTAAATGCATTCTCAAGTTAATGAATTATCATTTAATGTATTTTGATAATGACAGAAAATGCTCAGTCCAAATTATATATGAAAATATATCAAGTGCAGGGAGTAAGGGGCTTGCAATACCTTCTGCAGAAATTACTAAATATGAAATGAAGAGACATTACACTTATTCTGTTTTGGGCCACCGTGCCCTGGTGGCAAACGGTTCTTGTGTTAAAAAAAAAATACAGCCTCTCCTCACTTAACAACGGAGGTCCATTCTTAAGACCACGTTGGTAAACAAATTTGTCACTGAGTGAGGAGCATACTATAATAGTAGCGGGTTTGTGTCAACCATCTTTGATATTGTTTTAATGTCACTTTTGCACCATTTATAACATTTCTGATATTTTTTTAATTGTTTATACAGTAATATGCTGTATATTGTAATAAACAGAATAGAGGAAATCAGCTTTAATATACATTATTTAGGTATTCATATTGGTCAGAGAGCCCATCATAAGTCTAAGTTGTCGGTAAATGAGTACGTTGCTAAGTGAAGAGAGGCTGTACGTATAATGTACCCCCTTTTTTTTTTTTTTTTTTTATTTGAAATCATTTTGATGTTGAAAGGGGCTGTTTACAGGGTTGTTCTGCCCCTTCAGTTTTTAAAATATCAAGTGTTTATCTGAAAGTTTTCTGTCTGAAGTCAGCAGCTGTCAGTGTTCTTTTAGGAATTGTCAGAAAAATCACATTATATCTTACACTACACAAATAACGTGCGAGGCCTGGTCACAGACCAGGCCACAGGGGTGTTAATCCCCGAAACCTTCGCCAGGTATAGGAAACAGAAACTATGTGCAGATTATTTGTGTATTGTTCCAGTCACAGTACTGTTCCAGTCACAGTATTGTTCCAATCACAGTATTGTTCCAGTCACAGTATTGTTCCAGTCACAGTATTGTTCCAGTCACAGTATTGTTCCAGTCACAGTTTTGTTCCAGTCACAGTATTGTACTAGTCACAGTATTGTACCAGTCACAGTATTGTACCAGTCACAGTATTGTTCCAGTCACAGTATTGTTCCAGTCACAGTATTGTTCCAGCCACTATATTCTTCCTTTTGGTTCTTTATACCTTACACATTTCCATGAGTGATAATCTGTCACATAAGATACAGCTGGGTGGGTTATTAAGTGTCTGCATAGCTGTTTAAAACTTGTATATAGTTACTAGATATATAATGAACTCCATGGGGAAGTGAAATTAAATTCTTCCTCCATAAGCCATGCGTGTCCTAAGAGGTGATTAAAATGCCGGCAGCAAGGGACTAGTAACCCGTTCTCCTGCACAGTACTAAATTTAAATAGAGAAACCTTTATTTTTCTTTTCAGGTCACCCCTCCTAGGTGGGATATGGCCGGTTTGTTGGGGAAAAAAATAGGTTGTATAAAGCTTTCGTAAAGTTACTAGGTATGTGAGGCCTGGTCACAGACTGGGCCACGGGGGCGTTGACCCCCTGAAACTCTCTCCAGGTATATAATGAAACAATCCAGCTTCATTTACTATACAGAGCCACAGTGTAATAAATATGTCACCAAATATTGGTCAGAAAGATGTTTATTTTGACTCTCTGGGGGAAATGATTTATTGTGTTAAGTACGTCTTATTGTGGATACCTGGAGACGGTTTCGGGGATCATCACTCCCGTGGCCCAGTCTGTGACCAGGCCTCCTGCACGGATAACGTTGACTTTTTTAAATTTATTATTTTGGGCTCAAATGACAGAGAAATGGAGCACTCCAGTTTTGGGGTTTTACTCTATATTTTGTAAACAGAACTCATAGTAAGTGAACTGATAACTTATGAGATACATTTTTTTTTATAACGTATTGTCAGTCTCCCACCGAGGCTGAGTGACCTAAAAAAAAGAAGAAAAGAAAGTTTTTTTTTTTTATACAAGATAGTGTTTTGAAAGAACAATACACAAATAACCTGGAACAATACACAAATAACCTGGAACAATACACAAATAACCTGGGTTATTGGTGCATACTGATATTAAATTTAGACCAAAGTTTACCTATAAAGCATATTAAAATACATTGACAGAGAACTCCTGCTGAGGTGAGTGCCAAGTTTGGCATCGCAGAGGAACATTTCCAAGATTATTATGAGAAGGCTCACATGAAAGGCAGTGAAAAGGACATGGCAGCCATTGACGCGGCTTACACATCCGTTCTGGGTTCAACCACTTCAGAAGTCACTGGGTAAATCTTAAAGCCTAGCATGGACCAGTAGACCTGCTGCAGTGCTCCCTCTTTCTTACTTTTTATGAAATTTTTGTTCAATAATGACCTATATGGAGACAAAAACTAAGGGGATTATTTGAGCTATATATTTCAACCCTCTTCTGGGATCCTCTTCGAAATATACAGATCAATTAATCTCCTGAGATTGTCACCTCGTGACTTATTATTAGCATTTATTAAAGTATTGTTGACTAGCATTTTAAATATGATTAAATACAGACATAGGTTCAATTTAAAATAAATTTTATTAATTTGTAGCCTATTTAAATTTTCTTAGTACATATATTGCATTTTGTATATTTATTTGTGTGAGCTGAAGAGATCACTAAGTTTGGAGAAAATATAATTTATAAAGTAAAATTATTAACTAAAGTCTTACGTAAATGTGTAACTAACAACACAGTATGTGTAATAATAATTATAATAATAATAAGTTTATTACAGCATGATACAATGTTTATACAAGGTGAATGATATTTGGGTCAACATACCAAAAGTCCCTATATATGCAGAGCATTTCGGGTAAACTTAAGATTAATAAGGGAATAACAATATGGGTAATTTTGTACTTACAGTCACTTGGGTGAGTGGAAGTACAGTTGTGAAAGAAGTACAGTGCTGTATTAAATGTGGTTGAATACACCTACCATCCGTCTTACGACCGAGTTCGGTTCCGAGAAACTGGCCGTAAGTCGAAATGGACGTAAGTCGAACCTTACTACTGAATATCAACATCACATTTTTGTAATGACTTTATTTTATTGCTTTATTTTGGTATTTCATGTTTTACTTTACTTTTTATGTTGTTAGTACTGTATTTTATACTGTAAGGTTTAGGATAAACACTGTGTACAACACAAATAGTTGTTTATTTCCCAGAAATTTGGCATAAAAAACACGGTCGTAAGTCGAGTGGTCGTAAGTCGAGCAGGTCGTAAGTAGGATGGTAGGTGTATGCTGACAAATTTATGTAATGAATATGAAATTTATTATGCTAAATTAAAAAAAAACAGCATTTTTTAGTAGTTAATGTTTCAGTATCTCAATAAATAATAAATGTCCTGATAATGAGTTATTTTTCTCCAAACTTCATAATTCAGAGAAAACGAACGAGGACTTATACGGCGCAGTTTGGACAATCATATGAGGATGATGGTAGACACAGGAGCCAAGGGTTCGAAGGTAAGTTACGTTTCGTTATACTTTTTGTGTATTCTTGAAATTGTTTTTACACATGGGGCAGAAACTGGTATTCCAGTAATGAGGACGGCAGTTTAGTGTTGTTCGTTAAATGTCTGTTGTAGCCAGAGGATAACAAAGTGTACTCGTGTGAATAAATAATTTATAAAGCCCACAAGTTGATAAATGAGACACTTGTGCAACATTTAGGCATCTTTATTCTGGAAACGTTTTGCCACGTAGTGGCTCCTTCAGCCCACTGCAGAGAAAAGTGGAAAATGAGGAAGAGTTTGAGGTGATCTGTCCCTCAGCCTTGAGTCGATGTGTTCAGCCCATCAGTCTTGACTTGTCTGCCTGCTTGACCCACCAACTTGGGGTTGATGGGTCAAGCAGACAGATAACAGATAAAGTTAAAATATTTATGGCATCAGTCAAAACAGAGGTATCTTATATTAGGGTTTAAATGGCTAGAAGAACATTGGATGAAGGAATCATTCATTATGCGTGTGATTCAAGTTGTTTCAAGATTGGTAGTAAGATCTCTATTTTTCTGGGTAATTAATTTATATGTGCACCTCTGGGAAGATAGCTGACAAGTGAGCAATGATGAATGTCTTCTTTTACATTGTACAGCTTTAGTGGGAAATGGCCGATGTGTGGGAAGTACAGTGCCTGCACTCTGATGGAGGGGTGGGGATATTTGCAGTTTTGAACTGTGTATTGGAGCCCCTCTGACAAGACAGTGATGGGGTGAATGATGGTGAATGTGTTTCTTCTTTTTTTGGGCCACCCTTCCTTAGTGGGAACACAGCTACTTTGTTAAAAACCAATCTTTATGTACTCCTGTCATTCTCATGAAGAGCCATACTAAAGATTATTGTGAATTACATCTGCCATTATATTTACAAAGCACAAGGTTACTCTGACCTTCCCTACACCTTTGACCTCTAGTTTTTCTAACATTATCTGTGGCATCATTTTTTTTTTCTTTTTAACACATCGGCCGATTCCCACCAAGGCAGGGTGACCTGAAAAAGAAGAAACACTTACATCATCAATCACTCCAACACTGTCTTGCCAGAGGAGTGCCTGTATTACAGTTCAGAAACTGCAACATGTCTCCACCTTTCTCCTTCATGAATTATCAATTATTTTTTTTTTTATTAAATTGCAATTCACACAGGCTTATGTGGCCCGAAAAAGAAAAATCAATTTCACCATCATTCACGTCCACACTGTCTTGCCAGAAGGGTGCTTACTCTACAGTTTAACTGCAACATTAACACCCTCCTTCATCATATAGACAGTGATCTCTGTATTAATTGTAATGACTCCTTATATTTTATATGTGTTTATGTTAATATGGTATAATTATACTAAACAAGTTGATAATATACTGATGCACAGCTGCATGCATCTCATTATCATGTGTCTCACTTTCAATGTGTCTCACTTACAATGGGTCCTTCAATGTGTCTCACTTCAGTGTGGTTTCATTTGCATCTTATTATACTTTACTTACGGTGAACTGAACCAGTGCATCTTTATTTGGTTCTGTGGCTTTGACGGACAAGAGGATGCATCTGAATCACTGGCAGGTCTTGCCATTTTTAGCTAGACCTAACCAGTTGCGGGGCTACATCTCAAACCGTTCAGCTGTGGTTAATCCGTGTATTTTCTGTGCATTGTGGAGCGTGACTAAGTTCATGTGGTTGAACATTTTCTTAACAGTAGCTGGTTCATATTTTTTTATTAAGATTTGTTATTTCTGTAATTGTATTCCACTTAATTTGTATTACACTTATATTTCTTCCAATACTAACAGTTTTTCAGTTTATAGTGTACACCCTCGAATTTAGTAGTGCCATTTCTGTGTGCAAAACTATTTTTATTATCTATAAAATGTATTTTCTGTTAATGTTTTAGGGTGTCTGGAATGGTTTAATTGGATTTACATTATTTCCTATGGGAAATATTAACAAAAAATATATTTTATAGATAATAAAATAGTTTTGCATACAGAAATGGTACTACTAAATTCGAGGGTCCACTGTACCTGTATTTATCAACAATCAGTGGGACAGGACCTATCCGCTGAGTGAGAAATCTATTTATGCTCGAAAATGTGTGTGCTTACACACCTTTCACATAGAAGAAACTTACGATGATATTTCAATCCAGGCTTCAACCATTAATCATAATAATAAAAAAATTATTTCTTTTCTGCAGTATACAGGTGATGTAGTTTACGTATAATAAAATATTGTGAGGCACAAAAGCCACTAGCATGTAGTGCATTTCAAGCAGAATAGTCCAAGTTGAACCAGAATGTTATCTTGAGTTTCCTTCTCTTACGTGTCGGTTATTTATGTACAGCCTCTCCTCACTTAGAACGGAGTTCCGTCGCTAAGTGAGGAGCACACTGTAATGGTAGTGGGTTTGTGTCAACCATCTTTAATATTGTTTTAATGTCACCTTTGCACCATTTATAACATTTCTGGTATATTTTTAAATGTTTATACAGTAGTGTACAGTGGACCCCCGGTTAACGATATTTTTTCACTCCAGAAGTATGTTCAGGTGCCAGTACTGACCGAATTTGTTCCCATAAGAAATATTGTGAAGTAGATTAGTCCATTTCAGACCCCCAAACATACACGTACAAACGCACTTACATAAATACACTTACATAATTGGTCACATTCGGAGGTAATCGTTATGCGGGGGTCCACTGTACTGTACATTGAAATAAACAGAACAGAGGAAATGAGCTCTTAATATACATTATTTAGGTATAAATACTGGTCAGAGAGCCCGTCTTAAGTCCAAAGCATCGGTAAACGAGTACATCACTAACTGAGGAGAGGCTGTATTGTTCCAGTCGCTGTATTGCGGCTTTTTTGTTCTGCATGTTTTTGCTATTGAAGTTTCTTGAACATTTATTTGTGTATATTTTGATACAAAAATATTTAAAAAATTAAAATAAGATCCAAGAATGCTTTTTACTCTCAGTGTAAATTAAGGAAATATATAGGGTTACCCCCGTAGTCACAGGGGATGTGTTCCACAACCTACCATGGTTACCCGAAACTGCGGATAGTAGCGAATCCTATATATACCATTTTTTGTATACAGTACTTATATACATACCTATGATAAAGTTTAATTGATGAATTACACAAAATAAGTTGAGAATTAGCACTTTTTTTTACTGATGGGAAGCACTTCATGGCTTCTCTTCGGCTTTAAAGAACTGCCGTCACTACTTTTGTGCTTTGGGGCCGTTATTAAACAAAGTTAAGGGTTATTTTTGGGTCACAGTAAACCATGGATAACTGAAATTGTAGAAACTGAATCTGTGGATACAGGGGTTCTGCTGTACTGTACTGACACTTTAACCCTTAAACTGTCCAAGCAGATCTACATTCACATGCGTAGGGCTCCAAAAGTAGATGTATGTTTTTTTATGTATTTTCAAATATAAAAAAAAAACGTAGATCAAAGTTTTTTTTTACACATTTTCAAATGTAAATAAAGAAAAGATGATCTACTTTTTTTACATTCAATTGTTGAAAAAACGTAGATCTACGTTTGGACAGTTTAAGGGTTAATATACATTTGTCCATATAAATTTGTTGGTACCTTATATGTGGAATTTTTGATTATTAGCCTTTAATGATGGCAACTGTGTGTAATCTAAGCATCAATATCACAACGAATTTTTGGTTCCATGCTATTTTTTTCCTCAATGTTTTTTATTCAGGTCATTATCCTTGTAAATGTAATTGTTACTAGATTACGTGAATAAAAGATATTGAACTCTGAAGCACAAAATAAATCCTAACTCCAAGATAATTGTTATGTAGGACTTCTCACGTTGAATTAGAGGAATATTTTTGCCACCAGTGTCAAGAAGCGTTCCCCAGAAAGATCCCATTGATACACAAGTTCGATTCTTCAATTTTGCAGTTTTTTAAGCTATTTAACCTACACAGATATTTTGATAATATATTGAATTCTTTTTTTTTTTAACAATCGGTCCGTACTCCCACGCGGGCGTGTATTACCAAATAAGTATTTTGACAAGTAAACATGATACCAAATAGTAGAAATATCTTGTACAGTTCAGTTTAACTTATGCACTCACTAACTTCAGCAATTATGTCACATGTGTGTCCAAGAGAATTCTTTTATCAATAGTCTTAGAAATAACAATATAAACTAACAAAGTTCTTCAACATGTCAAATTCCAAAACCCCTGCTTAAAGTGAGCATTTTTTCCCATTTCATGTTGAATCAACGTCTACGACATATAAAATAACTTTCCCTGAATACTTTATGTACTTATGTATGTATCACTTAGGCAACAGATTCGTAGTCCCAATTACCACATTTTGTTCCATTCCTCCTAATTTACAGGCCCATCAATGCACATGCTTTGTACTGGAAGATATGCCTATGCCAAAAAACCTCCTTACATCTATAACTTCTCCAACCCTTTCGAGAGACCTTTCCACGCGTTTGCCTTCCCTCATAAGATTATCCTTTACCAGTGTCATTCTTCATTTGATCCATTCTTCTAAATTACCAAACACTCAACAACCTCTTCCTTATATACTTTATACTCACCTTCTCCTAAGTTTCCATACTCCGTAAACTCTAGGACTGTAACCCCCCACTAATTTACATGAATTAAATTTTATTTTTTGCGGGTTAGCCTACCTTGGTGAACAATGGCTGGTGTTTTATTAAATATTCATGTTGATGGTGTTTGCATAACACTTTTTCAGTTTCTAATTAACACATCGGCCGATTCCCACCAAGGCAGGGTGGCCGAAAAAGAAAAACTTTCATCATCATTCACCTCATCACTGTCCTGCCAGAGGCATCCCTACACTACAGTTATAAAACTGCAACATTAACACTCCTCCTTCAGAGTGCAGACACTGTACTTCCCATCTCCAGCACTTAAGTCCGGCCTGCTGGTTTCCCTCAATCCCTTCATAAATGTTACCTTGCTCTTACTCCAACAGCACATCAAGTATTAAAAACATTTGTTAATAAATTTTTATTTTTCTTTCCCCGTAAGCTATTCATGTTGTAAGGGCAACTAAAATCCTGGTAGCAAGGGGCTAGTAACCCCTTCTGTATTAATTACTAAATTTAAAAAGACAAACTTGATGCGACATGGCCAGTTCATCGAATTTTTTTTATATATGCTAATGCCTTCTAATACTGTGCATTGCATCCTTCAACAGAGCTTGCAACACACTGCTGTCAAGACTGCAGACAGTGGCTATCTGCAGCGCTGTCTCATCAAGCATCTCGAGGGCATTCATGTCAAATATGACATGACTGTTCGTAACAGTGATGGTCTTGTTCTTCAGGTATTTACATCCAGTTTTGCTCATGGACATTTTTTTTATTAAAGATTTCCATCTTAAATTTTTCCACTCTTAGGCTCCTCAAGTCTTTATTAAAGTTATCCAGTATAGTCAAAATATTTATACAAGATGGTCAAAATATTGACCCAATATGGCCAAAATGTATTTATACTGTACCTATTTTTGCATGACTCACATTCTAGTCTTAGTCAAATTTAGGAAATCTAGTTTGTTCAATTTCATTAGATTTCTTCTTGAAAAAATAAAAAATACAATAATGCATTTTACAGAACCTTGATTGGTAACACATTTAGGCACAATACAATAGCAGTTTGTACAGACCAGTCACAAATATGGATATTTAAAAGATAATGAATGTGATACAGAATTAGAGTTGCCACTGCTGGAAGTTTAACGTTGTGAGTCTGGAAGTACATTGTTGTTATTGAATCATGATGTGTACTCACCCATATATGGCTGCAGGAGTTGAGTCTTAGCTCCTGGCCCCACTTCTTGTTGCCCCCTATCCTGCATGAGTTATTTGGTATTCACTGCAGAATTTGGTTGAAACATTACATTAGTAGCTTGATATTCTCCCTTTGAATCGACAGAAAATATTTTTAATGGTATAGGAATATTGTATTCAAATTGTCTACGAAGCAGCCTTTGTATGTGGGAATCTTAGCTGTAGTTATAGTACTGAACTTTCTACATACATTGATGATTAAATCAATATAGAACATAGCATAAAGTTTGGAGAGAGAGAATGATTAATGATAAATTCAGCATTAATTTGTTGTTTATTTATGTAAGCAATTTTTTTTTCAGTTTGATTATGGTGAGGATGGATTAGACGTAACCAAAGTTCCATTTTTAAAAAATCCCGAGACTTTGGATGTGGTGGTGAAGAACCACAGTCTTCTCCTTAACAGCCAAGCTCTCTCCCTGGCCAGATCTGTGGGAGAGAAGGATTTGGTTGATGCATACACAAGGAAGGTATGGCATCACGTATAGGGGACAGCCAGGACTCGATTAGTACAAATCTGAATAGTGCCATTTCAAATGAGATCTCTCCACTGAATTTATTATTTGCACTAATTGAGATCTAGCTGTATGAAGAGTTCCTACAGTACAGGCATACTTCATTTTAAGGCGGTTTGCGTTAGAGCATTTCGCTCTAACGTTTATGTTTATTATTGGCACTTGCCTTGCTCTAAGATGGTTTGTGGCAGTGATATACACATCATCTGACTCCAGCATCATTTTTCTTAGGTCTAGTGCTATTACTCACTCAATAAATGATTGTGTTCTCAGGAACCTAGTCTGTATTAGCTAGGCATGTCTGTACTTGCTTCACAACCTTTAGTTTGCATTATCTGCAACTCTTTTAAGCATATTTTTCTTGTCTTTCTCTGGTACCTGTAGCTCATAAATTATTATTAATTTGTCAGTAAGTGCTTTTATAGAAGAAGCTGACATTATCAAAAATTTTTAATACCTTAAATTTCAAGATGAAGAAATGGCATAAGAAGAACAGCAACACTGAAAATGTTCGTCGCAGCGCCTTCCTCAAGTTCAGCAAGAAGATGAAAGACACTGTTGAGAGCACTGGCTACAGTGAAAGAACTGGGCGGGCAAACTCCTCCAAAGAACTTCAAGATATGTGGCACAACATGACACTAGAGGAGAAGAAAAAGTTAGTCTTCATGTTTTTCAAGACTGATGAAAGACTTAACCCAAGGAATTGGCTGTACCCTCCTTCTCCTTGGATTGAACTAGATTACCTCATATTCCTCAGTACTGCATGATTGTTATGGGTTTAGTGCTTTACTATAAGTAAAAAAGTATAGTAACTGTTTTTGTCAGTTTATCTCTCTCTGTTAGTCCAGTTCTTTATGTTTTCATTAAGTTTTCCTTCAGTACCTGTAAAATTTTTGTGACTGGTTTTGGGAGTTTTTCTATTCTGAAGGCCCAGCTGGGGCTGCAGAGGCCTACATATCGATTAAAGTCTGGGACCTGTTTCAGATAGTGCTTATATTATCTTTAACATAAGCATCAGTAACCTGTATATACAGTAGTAACTGGATTGCCAGACTTGTGGTGTGAAAGTACAGTGCATGCAGTCTCAAAGATTGGTGAGAATGTTGCAGTTCAGAGGATTTTATAGATATAAATTGTGTGTCTTTCTTGCCTTCATTCCAAAGAATACAGGTAAAGAACTTTAAAGATTCCCAGTAATTTAGGTGCTTGACTCATCTTATACAGTGAAGGTTCTTTGTACACTCTAAATTTCCAATTTTGCCCACCTTAAAAAGAATCATTTAAATTGTGATGTCTACAAACTTTATTTTGACACTTCTGCCATCCCCCACCGAGGCAGGATTTCCCCAAAAATAAAGAAACACTTTCACCATCATTCACGCATAATCACTGTCTTTGCAAAGGTGCCCAGATATGACAGTTTAGATGTCACTCCAAACAGCCAATATCCCAAACCCCTCCTTTAAAGTGTAGGCATTGTCCTTATTACGTATTCATTTTGATTCAACTTCAGATTCATGAAGGATTCTTCGAAGCGTCCAGACCCAGTCAACTCCGTGTTTAGTGGTGCGTCGAACCTTGGTGTAGTCTCTGAAGCTGTAGATGATCTCATTGAGCGCTACTATGAAGAGATGTACTCCAGGCAGCCCACTCAGCAGCAGAAGTTAACGTGGGAAGAGGTGGCAACCACAGTACATATGAAGGCTCTTAATTCCAAGGTGGACCCAGGAGAAGCTGTAGGAGCTCTGTGTGCTCAGGTCAGCATATATTTGTATTTAATACCTCTCATAGTTTGCTTTACTCATTGGGCCAGTATTTCATGTGCAGTACATAGCAAAAACTTGTCTTCAAACAAGAACTTATAATCATATCCATAATTTTTAAAGGGATGTAGGGGTAAGCCAGAGGAAAGCCTTAGTTGGATGACCAGAAGCTCCAGCGGCAAGTCATCATATGACTAAAACCAGTGTCAGGAAACACTTGTCCTGTTTCCTGACAAATCTTACTTAACCTAACCTTGTCTTAGATCTACACAATTAGATCTCAAGAAGTTGTGATATGGGATTAAAGTATCCTCCTTCCTTCATGAGATGTGCACCTGCTACCAAATGCACTCCAAGCAAGATGTGCATGTAAGCTGCTTTTCTTCGTAAAATAGGATTGTAGAAGGCCTCTGCTGGCACCTAGACTCATACTTAGCACTCGTGTGACTCAGTTTAGAGTTACATGTAAGTCTGAAGTTGGCTACTAAAGTATTTCCTTGACCAGGAAAGCTTTTAACAGTGTAAACCATAGAAAAAGTGTGGTTTGAATCCTAAAATTCACAGGCCAGTGGGATTCGAACCCCACCTGTTTTGTGGCTTGTTTGCAATCATGTTATTATGATTTCGTGAGTTCATTTCTTGTCTGGGGTGAGTCTAGTATCAGGAATATCACCCTCACAGGAGGCTCAGGTTCACATCTCTAATGCTCCTTGATGTTTCAGAATGTCTACCATATATTATTGGTCATAAGCAGTCATTTCTTAGTAAATATGCCCACAGTAATCTTTACCCTTGTAGAAGAACCTTTCCTCTGTGAGCCATGCATGTCTTAAGAGGTGACTAAAATACCAGGAGCAAGGGGCTAGTAACCGTGCCTTGGTGGGAGATGGGCAGTGTGTAAAAAAATCTTCCCTTCCTTGTGCTAAACCAAAAAGTAATCCAACCACTGGAGCAGGTGGAAGTTAAGTGACTCGAGTATTCATGTGTATAAATGTCACTGTGTTTTCGAGTTACTATATTCCTCAAAACAATGGAATACCACACAACTTACAGATATATCATGTGTCTGTTTGCTTCCATGGCTTTCTGCATGTTCTGACATAGACAGCATCATTTTTGTGCCTCCTTCCCATCCTTTGCAGCAGAAATAGTATCAGGGAAGTGTACATCAGGCTTCAGCCAAAATGAATAGCTTTCATTGCCATGGTGGTGACATGTTGGCTGAGCTTTCACCTGGTATTTTTCTGTTATCTGTCTCTTCTTCTTTCTTTCTTTCAACACACCGGCCGTATCCCACCGAGGTGGGGTGGCCCAAAAGGAAAAACGAAAGTTTCTCCTTTCAAATTTAGTAATATATACAGGAGAAGAGGTTACTAGCCCCTTGCTCCTGGCATTTTAGTCGCCTCTTACAACACGCATGGCTTACGGAGGAAGAATTCTGTTCCACTTCCCCATGGAGATAAGAGGAAATAAACAAGAACAAGAACTAGAAAGAAAATAGAAGAAAACCCAGAGGGGTATGTATATATACGCTTGTACATGTATGTGTAGTGTGACCTAAATGTAAGTAGAAGTAGCAAGATGTACCTGAAATCTTGCATGTTCATGAGACAGAAAAAAGGACACCAGCAATCCTACCATCATGTAAAACAATTACAGGCTTTCGTTTTACACTCGCTTGGCAGGACGGTAGTACCTCCCTGGGCGGTTGCTGTCTACCAACCTACTACCTAGGGTTATCTGTCTCATGATAGATAAATCAGTCAATTTATACTTCCATCCTGTCTTTCATCTGGATTTAGCACTCAGCATCCAACAGATGGAAAAACAATTTTATATGCCACTTGTAGCTCATTCTGACACAGTCTACAAACCTAATTTGCTTGTCTGATTTGTCTACCAAACACTTACTAGTATTACAGTCAACAAGTACAAGTAGTTTAATAATAGGTTCATCTGTTTGCCAGTCAGCCTTTCTAGTTTGCTTCATTTAATGTCCATTCATGGTCATCAACATTGTCACATCTCTTTTCTTATGCCATGGAAGTGCCATCTTGGCATCTTTCTACCTGTTAGAATTGTATTGAATTCTTCTTGACAGATGATCACATATCTTCCAGTATCCTCTGTGCTAGCACTATGCAGACTCTTATCACTGGTGAATTTGGCTGGAATTTAATTTATATACAGGAGGGCCCGGTTGTACAGCACCTTCTTTTTTACTATTCCACACTATCATTGGCTTCAGATTAAGCCATTGTTCATTATATTCCACCCATCAGTGACTAACACCAGTGAGTGGAACAGTGGCTCAGTTGAAAGCCAACAAAAGTGTGTAACAGTGCAAAGAAGGTGCTGTATAACCAGGGTCCGTCTGTATATATATACAGTGGACCCCCGGTTAACGAACTTTTTTCATTCCAGTAGTATGTTCAGGTGCCAGTACTGACCGAATTTTTTCCCATAAGGAATATTGTGAAGTAGATTAGTCCATTTCAGACCCCCAAACATACACGTACAAACGCACGTACATAAATACACTTACATAATTGGTCGCATTTGGAGGTGATCGTTAAGAGGGGGTCCACTGTATATATATTTTTTTAACAAGTCGGCCATCTCCCACTAAGGCAGGGTGACCCAGAAAAGAAAGAAAATCCCCAAAAAGAAAATACTTTCATCATCATTCAACACTTTCACCTCACTCACACATAATCACTGTTTTTGCAGAGGTGCTCAGAACACAACAGTTTAGAAGCATATACATATAAAGATACACAACATATCCCTCCAAACTGCCAATATCCCGAACTCCTCCTTTAGAATGCAGGCATTGTACCTCCCATTTCCAGAACTCAAGTCCGGCTATATAAAGATAACCGGTTTCCCTGAATCCCTTCACTAAATATTACCCTGCTCACACTCCAACAGATCGTCAGGCCCCAAATACCATTTGTCTCCATTTACTCCTATCTAACACGCTCACACACGCTTGCTGGAAGTATATGTATTTTCAATTATTACTAAATAAAAAAATAAGAAAGACTGTGAAAGTGTTTCTTCTTTTTTCATATCACCTGTCTTAGTGGAGACTGCCAGTGTGTTAAAAATCAACTATTAACTGAACAGATACAGTCAAGGTTGTGTCTATTTACTTTGTTTTATTTTTAACTCGCTGGTCGTTTCTCACTGAGACAGGGTAACCCAAAAAAGAAACGGTCACCATCATTCACATTATCACTTTCCCTGTTTAATCTAAACATTGCATTTTATTCCTCTTTACAGGCTATTGGTGAACCATTGACTCAGATGACACTCAACACTTTCCATTTTGCTGGCAAAGATGAACTTAACGTTACACTTGGTTAGTAAACAGCTTTTTTTCAATACAAGAAATCTAATAAGTACAGTTAACTAAGCTGGCAGATCTGTTTGGCTCTTATGTTCCCTTGTTTTGATAGCACCTCACGATAGGTGACTTTTCAATAGTAATAAGGTATCAAAATGTAATAAACTGTTACCTTCCCTGAGCTTATGTAGAGGTTGACTCATATCCTTGACTAATGGGGTTGTGGAGCAAGTGGTCGAGGAATAGCTGGAGACTACGGTAGTGTGGGAAATAATAGAGGTAATTGCTGATGAAGTGGTAGAAACATCAGAGATGAGAACATTTTAAGGTTTGGAAATGGGAGTAACTGTGGTAGTGGTAATCATTGTGTGCTGAGATTACAGGAAAACACTGGAGTAACTGCAATAGTGGTAATGATTGTGTTGAGGTTACAAGAAAATGCTGAAGTAAGTGTGGTAGTAGTAATCACTGTGTTGAGGTTACAGGAAAACACTGCAGTAGGAGCAGTATGGTATTTTCCATGTTGGTGTGGTTGAGTCACAGCTTAATTATATGACAAACTCTTTCCTTTTCATACATCAGATCTCACTTTTCCAAAAGAAAACAGAACAGTTACAAGAAAACGAGGGGTGTGCTTCACCACAGTTAACACAAGAAAGGGGTTTGGTGTGAATTTTTGTGTAAAGTATTGATATACTGTACTGCAGTGATTGACAGAATTGAAATGATGCTTTTTTTCTCTTGTCATTCAGGTGTACCTCGTATGGTTGAAATTTTAAAAACAGCCAACAAAAAAATATCGACTCCCATCATGGAGGTGGCATTTCATCCACACATTACTAGATCGCAAGCTGAGAGTCTTCGTATTAGACTCTCTGAAGTATCCCTCTCAGCGGTGAGTTGCTGTGTTATACACTCTAATTCTTGGATCTCAGGCCTAATGATTTTCTTAGCAGTGCTCAGGAGAAATTTTAATGCCAGTGTACCAGTGGCTCAAACATTTAAAAAATAATAGATATGTTGGAATTATTTGAATAGTAGTGTCAGCACGCCTCTGGCAAGACAGTGATGGAGTAAGTGATGATGAAAGTGTTTCTTTTTTTTGGGTCACCCTGCCTCAGTGGGAAATGGCCATTACATTATTAAAAAAAATAAAATAGTGGTGAAGGTAGGGTTTTTGAGTCATTTTTAACCTGAATGTGTCATTGTTATACCTAGAGGGTGTTTGGGGGTCAGTGCCCCTGTGGCCAGGTCCATGTTTCTGATTGCTGCTTTAGTTATATAAAAAATGTGTCTCTTGTACTAAATTATTTATTTATATTACTTTAATGTAAATATCTCATGGAATATACTTGTTTTTAGGTAATGCTTAGATTGGATGTGAGATCCGAGCCTGAGAAGAACAGGAGAGGTCATAATCATCGCCGAATCAATATCAAATTTACATTCCTTCCACATCGTGAATACAAGCACATTTATGCTGTCAACCCTTCACAAGTGTTAAATTACGTTGAGCACTATTTTATCCCAAAGGTTTTATTGAAAGAAATCCAGAAATCATGTTCCATGGGCCGAAAGATGTGGTAAGTTTTCATTGACTTGCCAGGTAGTTGACTGACTGAAATGCTGGGACATATTAGTGGCTTTCTTTGTACTTAACATTATTTTTACAACATGTAAATCACACATTGTATACTATGCAAAGGAATAAAAATTGGAATGTGTCTAATTACATTATTCTTGTAGCTTGAGATACTAGGCGTACATGTGAAGATATACATCATTAGTCTTGTAGTTCTTTAGTTTTCCTGTTGCTTACAGTTCTTCAGCTGATACTACAGAAAGAAAAAGTAAGGAAAAAGGAAACACTGAAGATAACGACGATGATGATGGACTAAACGCTGCCGAGGACACTGAAAGATACAGGGAGAAAATTGATGGCACATTTGGTAAAGTGAACGCTGAGGACGACGACGACAATGACGTGGAGGAGGTTGGCGAGGTAATATTTATTACATTTCTGTTAATGTTATTCGCAGTGGTAGCTCCAGGAGCTCTACACACTAATAACCCAAACACAGACCTTAACTAGTCATGGTGGCTAGGTGATGGTCCATGTTGACCATTAACTAGTCATGGTGGCTAGTTGATGGTCCATGTTGACCATTAACTAGTTTTGGTGGCTAGCTGATGATTCATATTGACCATTAACTAGTCATGGTGGCTAGTTGATGGTTCACGTTGGACTGACATGTGTCATAAGTTTCATTCTCCCATGTGTGCGGATTTGTGTATCACTGTCCATGTCTCCAGAAGATGTCAGAAACACTGCTGAGACAAGTGTAGAAGTCTTCAAGAGGAAACAAGACAATTATCTTCACTAGGCTATGATGAATATGTAGACCAGCAGTAATAGCCTGGTTGATCAGGCCAGGCTTTGGGAGTAGACAGGAACTCATTAAAGGTAAAAGTATATAAGTAAGAGGTAACAAACAGCTGAAGTGAGGTTAGTAAGGAGAAAGCCACCATCAAGTCAATTCACAAGTGTTATGAAGATTAGAGTATTTAACAATATACCATGAAAGGGAAGCATTAACTGAGACTAAACCAAGATTTAAGATTGACGTTAGGAATAATGCAATCATCAGCTTGTTGGTTCTCTTGAACTATTTATCTACAGTGTTAGGAATGTTGTGTATAAGGACTGACATGACCCTTGTACACTACTTATGGTGATTTCACCACCACCATGGCTATCTCTTGGGTCTACAAATGCCCACCAATATTTTATAGTACCTGATGAGCAGTGTGAAGTATATAGACAGAATGCACCATGTTTTAAGGGGAATAGTTGTAGAATATAATCTGTGCTTTTCAGTGAGATTGCTAAATAAGTGAATGCAACCAGATGTCAGTCTTGAGACACGTGAATCTATTACGTTTTACTGTACATGTATTTAGATGTTTGTAGGCTTCTGTACCATTTTTAAATTGATTCTTACATTATTCAATCCATAGGAAGATGCTGATGCAACAGCAGCATCAAGGAAAAGAAAGTCAGAGGAACAAGATTATTCAGAAGATGAGAACGAGGCAGAATCATCAGACAAGGACGAAAGTGAGAAGGAAACTGTGTCGGAGGATGAAGGTCTCGGGGAAGAAACCAAATCAGATGAGGAAGATGTGAGTAAAGTAGATTTAAGATTTTTTTTTATACTGATGAAGTTTTCTTAATTTTTTTTAAATACAGCAACCGTCTACCCAGGCAGGGTGACCCAAAGAAGAAGAAACACTTCTTTTACATTTGTTAATGTGCAAGTGCTCCTTGACTTAATGATTGTGCAGATGTTCCTCAACTTAAGAGGAACACCCCATCGTACATCAAGGAGCACCTGTATACAGAAGGGGTTACTAGCCCCTTGCTCCCAGCATTTTAGTCGCAGCTTACAACACGCATGGCTTACAAAGTAAAGATTCTTCTCCAATTCCCCATGGAGATTTAATTAAAATATAAAGGATTAATCTTGTAAAATCTCAGTAAATATTTTGCCTCCTATTATATTGTATTTACTATAATATGATGTTGTAATTGTTTTACATGATGGTAGGATTGCTGGTGTCTTTTTTTCTGTCTCATAAACATGCAAGATTTCAGGTATGTCTTGCTACTTGTACTTACACTTAGGTCACACTACACATACATGTACAAGCATATACAGGTCCTCCATCACAAATCCGGCATCATTGGGACCTGTAGTGTGCCGGATTACTGAGTTTGCCAGATTACAGAGCAGTTAGGTTAGAATACACTTAATAAAATTAACCAACTTGACTTAAACAAAGTTCATTGAACATCGGCAAAAATCGAACATTTCCGCTACATTGAGCTCAGTTTCAAGGTACTTTTCATCATGAAAACAATTAAAATCATATCTATTTCTGTAATATATCTTTCATTCTATCAAACGAGACCGAAAAAATGAGAATATAACCATAAAAACCATACAAAAATATACCGCTTAGCACCCGCTAATGGCTGAGAAGTGAACTCCGCTATTTATGGTCTAATTTCTTTCATTTTTGGTGTACGTTAAGAAGTATCTTTCCATCATACATTGCCCAAGTTTCAGTAAGATAACCCAACAAACAACTGAGAAAATAATAATATAATAATACAGTGGACCCTCGCCTAACGCTATTAATCCGTTCCTGAGAGCTCAACATTAGGCGAATTAATTTTCCCCATAAGAAATAATGGAAATCAAATTAATCCGTTCCTGACACCCCAAAGTATGAACAAAAAAAATTTTTACCACATGAAATATTAATTTTAATACACACAAACTGAAGAAGACATGCACAGTTACATGACACTTACCTTTATTGAAGATCTGGTGATGATTGATGGGATGGGAGGAGGGAAGACTGTGGATGGTGTTAATGTTTAGAAGGGGAATCCCCTTCCATTAGGACTTGAGGTGGCAAGTCCTTTTCCGGGGTTACTTCCCTTCTTCTTTTAATGCCACTAGGACCAGCTTGAGAGTCACTGGACCTCTGTCGCACAACATATCTGTCCATAGAGGCCTGTACCTCCCGTTCCTTTATGACATTCCAAAAGTGTTTCACAACATTGTCAGTGTAATAGTCACCAGCACGGCTTGCAATAGCTGTGCAAGGGTGATTTTCATCAAAAAAGGTTTGCACTTTAAGCCACATTGCACACATTTCCTTAATCTTTGAAGTAGGCAGCTTCCTCAATTTCTCTATCCCCTCCTCCGAAGCAGTTTCCTCATGTGTGGCCTCTTGCTGTTGAAGATGATCTAGCAGCTCATCAGTGGTTAGTTCTTCATTGTCCTCCTCCACCAACCTTCCACATCCTCCAACCCCAAGGACTTCCCCAATGACACAGTGGATTCCTCAACTGGCATAGGATTCCCAGGGTTAGCCTCAAACTCTTCAAAATCCCTTTTGTCTACACATTCTGGCGTTAAAATGTATCGCTAGGCGGATTTAACGTTATGCGATGCGTTCGTTAGGTGAGGGGTCCACTGTATCTTTATTTACTACACGTACAAGGTATACAGGCCTAGCTGACATCAGTGACATACTGCTATATAGAAAGCCGCTTGTTATGCAGAGTATTTCAAGAAAATTAGGTCAGTGTCCTAGGATAACACCCACACCAGTCGACTAACACCCAGGTACCCATTTACTGATGGGTAAACATAGACAACATGTGTAAAGAAACATGTCTAATGTTTCTACCCTGGCTGAGAATCGAATATTTACCAAAAATCATATATGGCTAACCCAAGCCAGGTACTAGAAATAAGCCACTTTGACTTTTTTGGGTTATCCTAGGTTCTCTACACATATGCTGCTGTGTGTGATAATCTATATAGAGAAAATAACTTTTTTGTTTCAGGTTTATGGTGCAGTACAAGTGTATATCACAGTTACCCCTGTGCTACACTCAGTTTTCTCTAATATAAGCCCCCAAGACAGGGATAGGAGAATGGTACACCTACCATCCGACTTCGGTTCCAAGAAACCGGTCGTAAGTCGAACTTTACTCTGAATATCAACATAACATTTTTGTAATGACTTTATTTTATTGTTTTATTTTGGTATTTCATGTTTTACTTTACTTTTTATGCTGTTAGTACTGTATTTTATACTGTAAGGTTTAGGATAAACACTGTGTACAACAAACACACTTGTTTATTTCCCAGAAATTTGGCATAAAAAACACGGTCGTAAATCGAGTCGTCGTACGTCGAGCTGGTCGTAAGTCGGATGGTAGGTGTATTTGTATACCATATCCTTTTCATACCTCCATTGAACTGCTCTGTGTTATGGCAAATATTATTTATTCTGGAGTATTTAACATGTTTTAGGTTAAGTAAAAGGACACAAGTGCAACTAATGTGACATTTTATTGTGGCAACGTTTCACTCTCCAGGAGCTTTATCAAGCCTGATACAGCTCCTGGAGAGCGAAACATTGCCACAATAAAATGTCACATTAGTTGCACTTGTGTCCTTTTACTTTACATATTGTCGGTAATTCTACCAACATTATTACAATGTTTTAGGTTATTTATATTGTTTATTATGTCATATTAGATCAATTGTGATAGGCAAATAAGCTGTAGTGTTGATATTAGTGTAACAATAAAGCATTTTTCCCTGCATCACGAGACTGAGCTCATAGCAACCGACAGTGGCTTCCAAGCCACCTTATCTTTAATGGACAATGTACTGTGTAGGTTCTTTACACAATGAAAAGCATTTCTTTTATTCATTGGAACCATGGCTAGGGCTAAAAGTAAGCAGGTTATAACAATAAATGGAGAAAAAGAAATTAGAATGACTTATGCAGCAAGTAGCACCATCACTACGACAAGGTCCTAGATGCACTAGAAGACAAAAAGAATGCAGATGTAATATATACAGACTTTGCAAAAGCCTTCGACAAGTGTGACCATGGCGTAATAGCGCACAAAATGCGTGCTAAAGGAATAACAGGAAAAGTCGGTCGATGGATCTATAATTTCCTCACTAACAGAACACAGAGAGTAGTCGTCAACAGAGTAAAGTCCGAGGCAGCTACGGTGAAAAGCTCTGTTCCACAAGGCACAGTACTCGCTCCCATCTTGTTCCTCATCCTCATATCCGACATAGACAAGGATGTCAGCCACAGCACCATGTCTTCCTTTGCAGATGACACCCGAATCTGCATGACAGTGTCTTCCATTGCAGGGCTCGAGGCGGACATCAACCAAATCTTTTAGTGGGCTGCAGAAAACAATATGAAGTTCAATGATGAGAAATTTCAATTACTCAGATATGGTAAACACGAGGAAATTAAATCTTCATCAGAGTACAAAACAAATTCTGGCCACAAAATAGAGCGAAACACCAACGTCAAAGACCTGGGAGTGATCATGTCGGAGGATCTCACCTTCAAGGACCATAACATTGTATCAATCGCATCTGCTAGAAAAATGACAGGATGGATAATGAGAAATTTCAAAACTAGGGATGCCAAGCTCATGATGACACTCTTCAGGTCACTTGTTCTATATAGGCTGGAATATTGCTGCACACTAACAGCACCTTTCAAGGCAGGTGAAATTGCTGACCTAGAAAATGTACAGAGAACCTTCACGGCGCGCATAACGGAGATAAAACACCTCAATTACTGGGAGCGCTTGAGGTTCCTAAACCTGTATTCCCTGGAACGCAGGCGGAGAGATTACATGATTATATACACCTGGAAAATCCTAGAGGGACATAGTACCGAACTTGCACACGAAAATCGCTCACTACGAAAGCAAAAGACTTGGCAGATGATGCAACATCCCCCAAATGAAAAGCAGGGGTGTCACTAGCACGTTAAGAGACCATACAATAAGTGTCAGGGGCCCGAGACTGTTCAACTGCCTCCCAGCATACATAAGGGGGATTACCAACAGACCCCTGGCAGTCTTCAAGCTGGCACTGGACAAGCACCTAAAGTCGGTTCCTGACCAGCCGGGCTGTGGCTCGTACGTTGGTTTGCGTGCAGCCAGCAGTAACAGCCTGATTGATCAGGCTCTGATCCACCAGGAGGCCTGGTCACAGACTGGGCTGCGGGGGCATTGACCCCCGGAACTCTCTCCAGGTAAACCAAACAGTACCAGCAGGTTGGTGTGGAAACCCTGGAAATTTTAAATTATGCTAGCCAAAATTAGTGCCGAATAACTGAAGGAACCAAGTAACTGATTGCCGGATCTGTATATACACACACCCCTCTGGGTTTTCTGTTATTTTCTTTCTAGCTTATTTCCTCTTATCTCTATGGGGAAGTGAACAGAATTCTTCCTCCGTAAGCCATGCGTGTTGTAAGAGGCGACTAAAATGCAGGGTACAAGGGGCTAGTAACCCCTTCTCCTGTATAAATTACTAAATTTAAAAAGAGAAACTTTTGTTTTTCTTTTTGGGCCACCCGCCTCGGTGGAATACGGCCAGTTTGTTGAAAGAAGATGATGATGATGTTTTTATAATCCAGACTTCCAAGGTCAGGAAAATGGGCAAAAAAAATCAAATGTTTTCCGAACTCAGTCCTTTGGATAATACTCCTAATCTTCAAACTATGAATTCTCTACATAATATTCACACCATACATTACAACACTGCCTCCAGCCTCCTCACAACATTTAAGATACATGCTTCATACCCATATAAGAGTGTTGGTACCACTATACTCCAATACATTCCCCCTTTTTGCCTCCACAGATGCACCATCCACCTTTTTTTTCCACTCATCAGTTCTATGGTTCATCTCATCTTTCATAGACCTCTGTGCAAATTTACATATATTTAGACTTTAATTTTTCTATTCTTATATTTATATTTTTTCATCAACAGTTAAAGGCAAAACCAAATGTAGAAGAGTCTAGGAAGCGTAAGGAATGTGTCACGGTGGACAAATTTGTCGTACGAAAGGAAGCGCTCAGGCATGTGACTCTTGGATTGTGGACTATGACTTTGATAGAAACAAAGAAGAATGGTGTGAAGTGAGTATTGTTCAAAATTTAGATCTTTCTATTCGTATGTTTAAAATGTCTATTTATTTTGTTCATCTTTATTATTATTTTTTTTTTATGTGTGTGTGTTCCCACAATATGTTGGGATAATAACATTCAGTTTTTTTGGGGGTTTTGCAGATACATCACCCAAGCAATATAGGGGTCCCCGTTTTTCGTAATTATCCTTTCCCTAGAAGTGTGACTATTATTGAAATTGACGATTTTCGAATCAATTTTCCCCATAAGAAATAATGTAAGTCCAATTAATTCGTTCCAGACTCCCAGAAGTATAAACAACAATTTTTTTTTTTACATTAAAGATGTTTTTGCATAACAAAAAAATGAACATTCAACATAAAGTTCCCTTTATAAAGGGCTGTTGTTGATAAATGGAAGACGGAGGAGAGGTTTTTGTTTTGAAGGGGAAATCCCCCCCCAAAAGGACTTGTCACTTCGGGGTCACTTCCCTAGCTTAAATATAGTTTTTTCATGCAGAAAAAAATACCAATAAAGTAAACACTAAAAAGTATAAATGAACTTGGTAATAGGGGTATTTTGATGGAACGGTCTGCCCAGTAGGGTGACGAAGCTGAAAAATTGGGTATTTCAAATTTGGTGGATAAAAAACATGAGTAGAGGGGTTGGTTTGAATGGGCTTTCACTGGAAAAGGGTTTTCCAAAGCTTTTGTTGGGTAAAAAGTTATGCGTTATTTGGGGTTTGGTTTGTGAAGGACCTGCCGTATGGGCCCAAAAGGCCTATTGCAGTGTTCCTCCCTTTTTTATGTTCTAAAAATATGACTTGGGTATTTCAAAATTAGGGTTTGGTTAAATACATGAGTGAGAGGGGGTTTGGGTTTGGTTGGGCTTGCACCTGAGCTTTTTCTTTGGGGTAGCATTTTGTTTGTTAGTGGGTTGAATATGTAAGGACCTGCCCCAGTATGGGCCCAAAGGGTGTTGTAGTGTTTCTACCCTTTTTAAGTTTTATTTAACATCACACTTCCTTTATTGAAGACTTGGTTGTGGGAGGGGGGATGGGGAGTTTTTTGTTGGAGAAAAAGACACAATATAACTCTGCGGCTTTTTATTATCACAATTAACTAATATGCATAAAAACAATACTAAAAACATAGAAACATGGAAATACTCTAGCATGAATAAAATAATCTTATGTATGTCACGGGGGTTGTGGTTGGGTATGTAAGGGCCACTGAGAGTAAGCCGTCCATAATGGTGGTGAAGCAGCAGCTGAGGCGTCGGTGTTTTCTGTAGCCCTATATAACTCCAGCAACATTGGAGGAGTTAGTAGTATTGCTGAATCAGTGAAGAAGGCACCCTCTACCACCACTATTGCAACTGTTACCACCATCACTATAACCCTATACTACCACCACAACTGCTTCCATTCTACCACCACCATCTTCGTATTTTTCTCACATTCTTTGCCAAAAGGGCTGGCACTAGAAGGTTTCTTTGGAGCCATGGTGACTTATTTAGCAGTTGTAAGCACTAAAATAAATGGAATATTATGAAATGTATTATATAAACTCGTGGGATCATCCTCACTCACTGATAAACAATGGCACACTGGCTGGGAATGGTGTGAGGCAACTCAGGGCTGTGTGTACACGTCCCCGACGAACGACTATTTGTGAGTCAAATGACGATTCACGAGCCAGTGTTTTGATGAAAATAACGTTATGATTTTCGAAAATTACGAGTATCGAGGGACCACTGTACTCTCAAATTGTGTAGGGGGGTCTTACCAATCCTTAGGAAAATTGGCAGAAATCGAATATTTCTGCTACTTTGAGCCTAATTTCAAGTTACTTTCAGCCCTGAAACCATTCAAAATCATTTCTATTTCAGTAGCATATCTTCCATTCTATCAAATGATACCAAGAATTAGCCAATAAAACCATAAAATCCATCCAATAAAACATCTCAAAGTTATTCTTTTAAACCAACCAGAAGGTCAGAGTTTTGCCTTTCCATCATGCACTGCGTGGGGCAGGATTTTTTTTTATTATGCTGTGCACACACACCCATTCTTTCATTTCTATGCCAAAATTTACCACTCACAGGTTATCTGAGGGAGCTGTGCTCAAAACAGATCTATGTAATGGAAACTGAAAGGGTTAATAGCTCTTTTTACTGTAATATTCCTTTTCCATGGGTAGTGATCCTTGCATATTGTCACCACAGTACTTTAAATTTGTACATTCGTGGGGCAAGGAAAAACATAAGAGTTATGAAAAATGAGCACAAAATTTCTATAGAGCAATAACTGGGCTCTCAGAAAAAGATTATGGAAGACTTATTGTAGGATAAGTATACAACTCTCCATGGGGAAGTGGAACAGAATTCTTCCTACGTAAGCCATGCGTGTCGTAAGAGGCGACTAAAATGCCGAGAGCAAGGGGCTAGTAATAACCCCTTGTCCTGTATATATTACTAAATGTAAAAGGAGAAACTTTCGTTTTTCCTTTTGGGCCACCCCGCCTCGGTGGGATACAGCCGGTTTGTTGAAAGAAGAAGAAGTATGCAACTGGAGACAAATGGTTTTTGGGTCGTGATGAGCTGTGAAGGGATTTAGTGAAACTGGTTAGCCAGACTTAAGCCCTGGAGGTGAGAAGTACAGTGCCTGCAATGTGAAGGAGGGGTGGGGATTTTTGCTGTATGGAGTATCTGCACACCTTTGGCAAAACAGTGATAGTGTGAATGTTTCTTTTTCAGGTCACCCTGACTTGATGGGAGACAGCCAGCATGGTAAAAAAAAATATATATATGCAATAAGATAACAGTAAACAGGTGATATCAAAATATGGAAAACAACCACTGTGAAAGAATAGTTAAATTCCAAGTGCTTTCGTGACTTATCACATTATCAAGGAACTACTATATACTTCCTTGATAATGTTTTCCATATATAACATGTTGGCTGTTTCCCACCAATGCAGGGTGACCCAAAAAAGAAACTTTCACCATCATCCCCACATAATGACTGTCTTTAGCAGAGGCTCTCAGATCCGACAGTTTAGATGTCACTCCAAACAGCCATATCCCAAACCCAAAAGTTACAAGAAAGGTAACAAATGCAATTAGAGAATAATAATAAATACTGTAGTATTTTTACAATGGCAGGGCATTTATTTGGAATGAAAAAGTTTATATTAATCATGAGTAGAGGTAGTGTAAGTTGTCATATAATTAATATGTAAAGGAGAGTATTTAATCCAGAAATTATACCTCACCCCACTGTGCATAATTACAGGTAACAATTGCTCTACCCATAAGTGGTCTCAACTACGATATACCTTCCATTGTACGACAGAAATCAGAGAAAGCTTTGATACATTTTGTCCCAAATATTCGAAGAGTCTTCATTGTCGAGAAGGATGGTAAACTATTACTCAGGACAGAAGGTGTCAATATACTTGTAAGTATGTGAATATTTCAGTATGACTTAGAAAATCACAACCGCACGATTACAAATAAATCAGGGAATGAACCCTCGGCAAGTGAGTCCTAAAAGTCACAGGCCAATGCGTTAACCACTGGGCCACGCCCCACACATTCCATGATAATCAAGTACATGAGCTACTGTGGATAAACATTGTTAAAGAAGTCTTAAAATGTTATGAAGTTTCCTCTCCAATGATGATGATAATTCATTTTCTAATAAGCATGAAAATAAGTGTCAGGGTGATGACAATATTAGGCTGTATATGGGATTAAATCTGGAGTATCTGAGAGAGTTAGAGCAAAGGAAGGGGTAGCAGTAATGTTGAATGATCAGTTATGGAAGGAGAAAAGAGAATATGAATGTGTAAATTCAAGAATTATGTGGATTAAAGTAAAGGTTGGATGCGAGAAGTGGGTCATAATAAGCGTGTATGCACCTGGAGAAGAGAGGAATGCAGAGGAGAGAGAGAGAGAGAGATTTTGGGAGATGTTAAGTGAATGTATAGGAGTCTTTGAACCAAGTGAGAGATTAATTGTGGTAGGGGACCTGAATGCTAAAGTAGGAGAAACTTTTAGAGAGGGTGTGGTAGGTAAGTTTGGGGTGCCAGGTGTAAATGATAATGGGAGCCCTTTGATTGAACTTTGTATAGAGGGGAATGTATGAGAGTATAGTTTTACCAACGCTCTTATATGGGTGATGAATGTTGCAGCGAGGAGAAGGCTGGAGGCAGTGGAGATGTCATTTCCGAGAGCAATGTGTGGTGTGAATATAATGCAGAGAATTCGTAGTTTGGAAGAGGTGCGGGATTACCAAAACTGTTGTCCAGAGGGCTGAGGAAGGGTTGTCGAGGTGGTTCGGACATGTGGAGAGAATCAGAATAACTTCAAGAGTGTATCAGTCTGTAGTGGAAGGAAGGCGGGGTAGGGGTCGGCCTAGGAAGGGTTGGAGGGAGGGGGTAAAGGAGGTTTTGTGTGCGAGGGGCTTGGACTTCCAGCAGGCATGCGTGAGCGTGTTTGATAGGAGTGAATGGAGACAAATGGTTTTTAATACTTGACGTGCTGTTGGAGTGTGAGCAAAGTACTAATATTTATGAAGGGGTTCAGGGAAACCTGCAGGCCGGACTTGAGTCCTGGAGATGGGAAGTACAGTGCCTGCACTCTGAAGGAGGGCAAGACAGTGATGGAGTGAATGATGGTGAAAGTTTTTCTTTTTCGGGCCACCCTGCCTTGGTGGGAATCAGCCAGTGTGATGATAAAAAAAAAATAAAATATGTGATGAAAATATTTGTAGGGTAACAGTACAAGGGTTTTTGTGTAGCTGAAATTTATGCATGATTTATTGGAGTTAGAACGGAATATTAAACCAATACACTCAACAGAAATGTCATACAACTCTCCTCAGTATCAATGAAATATCATACAACTTTCCTCTGTAATTAATGGGTTGGTTGTAAAGTCCCAGTTAAAAATACAGTGGTACCTCGGGATAAGAACAGCTCAAAACTCGAACAGTTATGTAAGTGTATTTTTGGGGGTCTGAAATGGATTAATCTAATTTACATTATTCCTTATGGGAACAAACTTGTTTGGTATCGGCACTCGAACGAATTAAGTTTGTATTGCGAGGTACCACTGTGCTGTGCTGGCTAAAAAATGTGCATCATATCCACAGCTCTCTCTCTGTAACCACTCATTCACTTACACCCTTTGTTAATCCACTTATTAACTGTAAAGGGTGAATTAGTGTTCTTGTTTCAGAAAATGTGTGAGTGGGAGCACATGCTAGATGTGAACCGCTTGTACACAAACAACATACATCAGGTAGCAGAGAGGTATGGTATTGAGGCTGCTCAGCGCTCGGTCATCAGGGAACTACGAGCTGTCCAGTCTGCATATGATATCAAGGTAATAGTTATGGCTGCTAGCACTAGTAATGTCTAAACTCAAAAATTAGCCCAGATGGAGGAAATAAAAGATTATTATAATCATGGGGGAGTACTAAACCCATAGGATTATGCAGCACATGTGGGGGGGATGGAAGGTATTCAGGCAACTAGAGCACAGATCCTATTCCTTCTCACCAGCATCAACGAATTTCCTTTGAAGGGAGGAAATAAAAGGAAGATAGGTACTGGGATTTTTTTATTAGTGAGGCCGTCTTCAGTAGACTGAAGATGGATTATTTCTACGTGGTCTCATTTATTCCACTAGACTATATGTTTTATTCATTTGGGAACTCCTCTTTAAGGAGTGACATTATTTATAACAATAGAGGAGTTTTCTGGGGAAAAGCCCATAGTGCCTCAGTTTTATACATTGTCTTTGTAACCCATTTTTTCTTAAGGTAATATTAATCACCTTTCTGTTTTAGGTTGATTTCCGCCACCTGTCTCTACTTGCTGACTACTTCACATGTGAGGGTGTATACAAAGCTTGCTCCCGCTCTGGTTTGAACTCTTGCGTTTCTCCACTTCAGAAGATGTCCTTTGAAACCTGTTTAAATGTCCTTAAAAATGCCATTTTAAGAGGTACGTACACTGTGTAGTATTATTATTATAATAAAAAGAAGCGCTAAGCCACAAGGGCTATACAGTGACTGCGTAGTAACTCGAGGAATAATTGCAATGAAGTTTTCTCCTGTCATGAATATTATGTTCTCTTTACTGTTGTAGTAAGGCAGCTGTATAGCCCTTGTGGCTTAGTAATTCTTTTTGATTATAATATATATATGTATTAAGGCAGATCTTTATTTTAATGTCATCCATACTGAATAAACATTAAGTTAAAACTTTTAGATTATTAAAATATATATTTTTCTTTTATCCTCCAGATGAGAAAGACCATATGAGTTCTCCATCTGCAAATATTGCTCTAGGACAGCCAGTGAAGATGGGTACAAATTCTATGCATATATTGCCCATTCTCACATAGTATAGAATTTTTTTTTAAAAATGAAATAATACTGTTTAAATTGGAAGAATTTTGTATGAAGTGAGCATTAGTTAAATTCATTGAAATATTTCAATCTTTTCTTTTAACCTAAAGTATAGAAATCAATTTATCATTTCCTTAGTAGATAATTTGTTATACAAACATTGCCTGTCATAGATTAAACAATTCCATAACTAAAAATATTTTAATTTGAAGAGAAATCGACCATTATATGAAATTTAGAGTAGATAGGCACTTAATGGCTATGGTTTCCAGTAAACATTTGTAAGGAATGAAGCTCATGATGGTTGATACTCTTAGTACAAATTTACTTTAACTTGTGGGGTAGAGACCCCTCAAGGAAGGTTCCTTGATGTTGGTGAGGGGCTCTTGATTTAGGCAATTGGATCTGTGCTCCAGTTCCCTGAATGCCTTCCACATAATAATAGAGATTGACTAGCCAGGTTTATGAATATTGATAATTAATTATATTCATGAAAAGAATAATGTACTATTTAATATTCCTTCATCAGTCTATAAAATAGGAAGGCAGCTAGCAATCCGGATGATCCAAGTTGAGTATTCATTATTAAAATTAAGGCCATAAACTATGGGAAGTATTGAACCCACAAGGATTATAAAACATATATATATATATATATATAATGAGAGTAGTAATTATGTTCAATCCAAGGAAGGTGATGTCTAGTTCAAGAATTTTTTCCTGAGTAAATGACTCTTCTGATTAAGAGTTAGACCTGATTCTTCCGTAAGTACTGTATAACCCCTACAATTCTAGTGCCTTAGAGAAAGGAAGGTTTCTGCATTCATTAAGTGGTACAATTTAATAAATTAAAATGTTGAACAAATTTATTTATTTACACACATTTATTACCATACAATTCTTTAATATACATACACACAATCTTACTTTATTGATCAATATTAACATTTATGATACCTGGGAAGGTACCATGGCCAGTTTAAGACCAGTCCTTGATTTGATAGATCTGATTTATATATTCAGTCCTGCCGAGCGCTTCCACTCTTGTTTTATCATGTCACTGCCCTTCTCGGCTATCATAATAGTAGGAGCATTTGTATTACCATTAGTAATAAATGGCATAATGGAGGCATCCACTACTCTCAGTCCTCCAACTCCACGAACCCTGTAAGGAAATAAGAGATAAATTTATTATACAATTGTCTGTTACACATTTAAAAAATGAATAAGACATGTGCAATACCTTGATATCTTTACTAGAGACAGGTTTCACCTGGACAGCTGCCTTTTTCCGTCTGAAACAAGGGCATGAGAGGAAAGTAGGAGAACAAGGATGACGTGATTGCCTACAAAAATTTACAACAATATCATGGTAATCTCAAAAATGACATTTGGTGAATTCTTCATCTTTCTTTGTAACAAAGTTTGTAGACAATTTTCATGAAAATGATATTTTGTTACTTTACTTTTCTTAGCCCCTCATATCTTTTAAGTGTGGTCTGTTGGAAGGATTAGTCTTGCATGTGTGTTCTCTGGTTTCAGCGAGATGAAGAATTTGTGCTTAGTCCTGGCAGTTACAGATGACTTTTGTGGGATACGTCTTGTACAATGAGGGTGGCATGCAAGAACATTCCAGTGGGTGTACCAAGTTTGGCTTTTCAGTCGTGGTGCAAGTAGCACTATGTTATGCCCTTTTTTATTTGTTTCTGGTATACTTTGAATTTGAGGTGGGTGTCTTTTCTTATAAGAGGCATGTCAAGGAAAGGAAGGCTATCATCAGCTTCCTTTTAAAGTGGTGAATTGAATGGATGATTCCAAAATGAGTTGGTTTGTTTGGTGTTGCTCAGGTTGAGCCTTTGGGGAGTGATAAGCAGAATATTGTCCACATTGCTTAGCCATGTGACTGTTTTGAGAATGATATTGGTGAATCTCTTGGCCTTCAGTGATTCCACACATGACCAAGCTACAATACTATCAACAACTTGCACCTTTGTCATTCTGGGGATTTATTCAAAACAAAGGACATCAGCATGAAAAACAAGAAGTTGACCTAAAAGAGGCTTCTCTCCAAGAGTCCCTGCTGACCAAGGAGTTGGTTTACTATACAGGACTCTAAGGCTGTAAATAAACTTGGCTGCACCTTGTCAAGATTTCTTGAAACTCGGCCCTGCACGAACTTGGTTTTTCTTTCGGTAATTCCTTTAATAGGCATTCTACATTTTTATGGGCTCACCGATTAGTGGCATATTAGCAAATCTATATATGGAATCACTGAAAGTTTAACAGATTCACAAACATTCCCAAAAGACACCTCAACAATGTGGAGCCAGCAATTCAACTAATCTTGAGGAGGAAGCTGATAAGTGTTCCTTTTGACATACCTCTCTTCAAATAAGACACTCATCTCCCATTCAAAATATATCAGAAACCAACCAACAAGAATGACATGAGCCATTACTACTTGCACCACAATTGAAGAACCAAATGTGATACACTCATTGGCATATTCTTGCATGCCTATAGGATCTGCATCCCAGAGGAGTGCAACATTCTGAAACACATCATCTTGACACTTGCATTTCCCACAACTCATCTGTAATTGCCGGGACTGAACACAAGCTTCACCTTCATGAAGCCATAGACAGATGAGACTCGTCCTTCTTACAGGCCACACTGCAAGATACGTCACACCCAGCTCCTTGAAAAACAGCATAGGCATTGCAAATCATATGAATCCTCTTCCAAGATTTGACAAGGATTAAAGACAACTGCTTTGACCTCTTTAAGAGAGGTCAAAGCAGCTGATCATAGCCAGAAATACATGGTAGACAGCCTACACACCAGATTGCAGAGCACTAATTCACGTTCAGGACTGTGTCACACACAGTGTAACGGAATGATACCTGGCTGATCATCAATGATAAAAACAATGGCATCTTGGCTTTGACATGTACAAAGCATTCTTTCATGTCTATGCCAAAATTTGCTGCTCACAACAGATTTGAGTAGGCTATTAAAATACAAATACATTACTAGCACTTTATGGACATTGTTCACTATGACATATTGCTGGATATACCAGACTTGCCTATGTTTGCCTGGATGTGCTAACCATCCAGAATGACTGTCTTTTTTTATCAAAGCACAATATCTATTCTCAGCTTCTTCCATGGCCTGCTGTCAGCCATCTGAAAGTTCTTTTAATCAGATTGGCTTGTTGCATCTTTATATACTACATTCTTGTCTTATCTTGCCTGTCCTTTCCATCCACCAGTTACACTTGTATGCACTACCTTTGCAATGCAGCACTGGCCTTCACAGGTTTAATACTTTGTTAATATCATTCTTTAGTGTCATCACTGACAGCTTGAGCACTCTCTTGCCTGTGTAGATCTTACTGTCTCTTCAATATCAAATAACATGTCATGTACGTATGAGCTTATGAACACCTCATTTGGTTTATTTTGTACTTATCTTGAATTTTGCAACATATCCATTATCGATACACCAAAATCACACTGTCAGCAGATTTTCCCCCACTCTGATGACCCACCACCCACTCTATCAAACATGACATACTCTCAATAGTAATGTTCCTCTACCAATTTTGTGAATATAACAAATCATCTATAACCATACTGTCACACTGAGTTGAACTTACCTCAGTGTATGATCCACCACACCATAAGGATCTGAAGCTGGTGCCATCTTACAGCCCCCAGTAAGATGGTAGAAAGTTGTAGACATGTGACGGACATAGCAAACCCAGTAGGAATCGGAACCATATATTTCACCAGTGCACCCAGGGAGAGGCTGGCCAGAAAAAGAAAGTATGTACAGTATTCAAATTCACTTGTGCAAGAATTATATTTTAGTAATGACCCTTGTGGGTTTAGCACTTGGTTATGATTATAATAATAATTGACTGCTGTATTCTTCTAAATTATTTTCTACATATAATACTGTATATAAATTTTAATAACAGAACAGTTTACTCTTAAAATGCTTCTTCCTTTGATGCTTAAGATGAAACAGGGGGTTGCCAAGTTAAATAAATATCTGAAGAATTTATAATGGTAACACCTCCAGGGAGCATCCTAGCCAAACACTGTAAAATGGATATACATTTTTTACTTAAACCTCACAATATACCATCTTTGCCCCTTTTCTTGATGAACGAAGATGTTTAGTGGCTGATTTTTGCATATGGTATACAGCATATATCCTTGCTTATCAACTTTAATTTTGGTTAGTACTTTTGGAAATGCTGGTTTTCACTAGATTTTATATCTTTACAATATATGGTGGCTTTATAAGTACATAATCTTTGCAATTATTATTCATGAAGGAAGCATTCATACAGGTCTGTGACTACTTAATTACACACCATATGTGCAAGTATGTTGTGTATCTATACGTATATGCTTCTAAACTGTTGTATTCTGAGCACCTCTGCAAAAACAGTGATAATGTGTGAGTGTGGTGAAAGTGTTGAATGATGATGAAAGTATTTTCTTTTTGGGGATTTTCTTTCTTTTTTGGGTCACCCTGCCTTGGTGGGAGACGGCCGACTTGTTGAAAAAAAAAAAAAAAAATGTGCAAGTAGAAGTTATTATTACAACAGGGTGTTTCACATGTAGGAGTACCCAAGTTGGTACACCCATAGTTGCAACTTGTTTGTATATCATGTCTGTAGTAAACAATAACTTGGGGCCACCTACAAGTAAGAGGCAAGTACCGGAGTACCAACTTGGGACTTCCTATGAGTGAAATACCCTGTATATTTATCCCCTGGGAAACATGTGGTTTAGAAGTTACCAATGTTAGGTATTTGCTACATGATTAAATACAGTAACTTTTAGCAACATTTTCTAGTGGGCAAAAGCAGTAGGACAACGTGCAATGCTGTAAAACAATCTTCTAATTTATCATGCTATAAATGTTAATTTTGGGCAATTTATACAAGTTTTTTGGTTAATCAATAAAACAAAGATTAATTTAACCTAACCTGTAAAAAGTCCATTTCAATCTCATTTGAGGAATATCACAGCCATATCATACACAGTGAGGGTCCTTTCTAGTACATATATTTGTCACTTAACTATGCAAACTGCCCATGTTTTGTGCCATTATAAATTTAATACATAAATATAGTCACATCTGTGGCATAATTTTGAAATGCATGGTCCACCTTTGGGTCAGGCCACTAATTGGATACATAGTTGTTGTGACAACATCAACTACTAAGTACATCATACCATTTTTATGTTAAATTCTAATTATTTTTGACTGAAGGCGTATGACTGTTATTATGAAACAGTGCAAATCACAAATGCATTTCTGAAAGTATCATTTGGAATGAAAAGTTATATGAATTGTTTGGATAAAGGCATCCCTTGAGAAGCAACATATAAAAATTTGCAAACATTTTTGAGGCAATTTGTTTAATTGCTCAGTTACAGCACTAAATATTGCTGAAACCTGAAACCACAGGTTTTTTTTTTTTTTTTTTACCTTATCATAAAACTTTGCTCCAAAGTTGTGGATGAAGGCTGAAGTGTTGCCCATTGCCAAGGCGACCTTTATCCCTTTGATAAAAAAATAAATGTAACAAATTAGATATAATATAGAAACACAGAATACAAGTTATATGACAAGCCAAGTGTATGCTGTTACGTAAACTATACATAAGAGCATACACTATGTAAAATACACAAGTCACGTCTGTAAACGAAACCTAAGAAAAATAGCGCAGAGTGGTCCTAAATACTAACTTAAGGAAACATTTGACAGTTATTGTATAAACATGTGTGGTTAACCTACACACTGTTCCAGACTTAAATCACTGAATAGCACAGTATATGCAGTATCAAACATTTAAGCTACAGTATCTAGTTGTCAATAAATATTTAACATTTCAGATTGCACTTGGAATATCAAATGACAAAAATAAAGCAAAACTCCTCATGGAGCTCTTGATCCAAGAAATTTATTCTATTCTCTCTCTCTCTCTCCTTGGACCTAAGCTGATTGTCTCCCTTTACGCAAGTGCTTTATTATCTGTATGGGTTTAGCACTCCTCCCATTAATATAATAAACAAAAATGGTTCATTTATTTATGTAATAAATGATGTTAAGGTACAAGAACATGTGCAGCTAATGCAACATTTCACAAACATCCTGCCGAGCAAAACATTGCCACAATAAAATGTCGCATTAGTTGCAAATGTCTGTCCTTTTTACCTAACATATTGTCGGTAATTCTACCATTATTATTATAATTTGTGATAAATGATATTATTCTAGCAAGAGCATTATTTCACTTACCTTTAACAAGGGCTTTGACATCATCTGGATGTGACAGAAGCTGAGGATCAATATTTGGATGATCATGTACATTTGTCGACTTAAGCGTGATGGTTCCTCTACTCTTGGGTAGACCAAGGATGGGTCTGATACAGAATCCTTCTCTTCCCAATATTTCACCCATGTACTCTTTAAATTTCTGCAAGGAAGCAATATAGCAATCTGCATGCTTACTTTTCAAAAATGTATCAATGATATTGGTAAAATTGATTTCCCTGAGTTTTGAGGTGGCATAAGGAATTAGAATATATTTTATGATAGCCACAAATAAAGAGAGACAATACCATGACTGGAACAACAGACAAATAGTCTGCACTTACTACAACATTTCGGTTCAATTTTGACCATTAACTAATTTAAGTCAGATCAAAAGTCAAAAGTTTTATTCTATGTACAGGTTATTTGCATATGATAGCCATCATCAGTAGTTTAGAAAATGGTGTGAATTTTAGTGGTACTACAACTACTGTATATGCCATTACATAGCAGTGCTAAAAAATATTAACAAGAATTATATTGTATTATATAATAATATTCATCAAGTCAATGCAAAATGTACAAGTCAATGCAGAATTTACATTATCAAAAAGTTTGTGTGTAGTGTACAATTTTTTCTTTTATAACCTAACAGTCATTTCCCCCAGTTAGTGACCTGGGGAGAATGCATGAGCTTCCTGCCTACAAGAGTACATCATTCCATATTTATCAAACTTTTGACATGAAGCGCATGACTTATTACATATCTGGTTATGGGCTTTCCAATGAATGGAACCTGACCTCCATTGTTTTGATTGAACGTTCCTGTCTCCCATGCAAGGTTTCAGGTACATCTTGTTACTTCTACTTAGGTCACACTACACATGCATATACACATTCCTCTGTGTTTTCTTCTATTTTCTTACTAGTTCTTGTTTATTCTTTTTATCTCCATGGGGAAGTGGAACAGAATTCTTCCTCTGTAAGCGACTAAAAATGCCAGGAGAAAGGGGCTAGTAACTCCCTTCTCCTGTATACATTACTAAATTTAAAAAGAGAAACTTTCATTTTTCTTTTTGGGCCACCCCACCTCAGTGGGATATGGCCAGTTTGTTGAAAAAAAAAGTGCCCGTCTCCCATTTTCTCAGGCGCTGTATGACCCCCCTACAGGTTTAGTATTTCTCCATGGATATATTAATAAAGCCATTATTATCATTGTTGCTGTTGTTAGACAATGACTGCAAATCAGGTTCATTCTGAACATCAGTAATGATACAACTAGTCCAAGTCTAACTATAAATTTTAAGATGTGCTGCCACAGAGGAGTAAATGAGATGTAAATGGAAGACAGCCAGGAACTCACCTTTTTATCAAATCCCCAAAAGCCAGAATTTATAGTACCCTTGTCATATGCTATAGTGGCACCATTGAAAAACAGTTGCATGTCGGGCCATAATGGATCGCCTTCTTGTGACACTTTTACCCAAGCGTTCAGGAAATTCAGTGGTGCTGCACCCACAGGTCCTAATGGAAAAAATTACAAAATCAAAACATACATATTGGCAAATGTGACAATACTGAAGTAGTTATCAGCCAGTGTTCTGCAAAACTTCAAATAAAACTGTACTGTACTAGAGTATATTAACCTCTCAAAAGAAGGAAAAGAAAGGGAGGTGAGGCAGCCATGACACTGGTCAACTGACTCATTATCTAAGGAAATTCAGCTTTCATTTCCTTTAGCTCAAACCTGATTGCTTACTATTCTATCAGTGCTGTACAAACCTTACAGGTTTAGCACTTTACCATGAATAGAGCACATATAAGTACAGTACTGGTACTTACTGAAGCACAGAAAACTACTATTGTACCATTCAGTACATGGAATAGAATTTTTTATATGTAAAATTACTGTAGGGTTTGTTGCAAAAAAATAATTATGCATGTTCAGAGGAGGAAGTTAGAACCTATGCTCTAAATTTTTTTTTTAGCACACTGGCCATCTCCCACTGAGGCAGGGTGACCTGAAAAAATAAAAACACTTTCACCATCATTCACACTATCATTGTCTTGCCAGAGACATGCAGATACAACAGTTTAGATGTCACTCTAAACAGCAAATATCCCCAACCCTTTCTTTAGAGTGCAGGCATTGTACTTCCCACCTCCAGGACTCGTAACAATATTTTTTTTTTTTCAACACACTGGCCATATCCCACCAAGGCAGGGTAACCCAGAAAAGATGAAAAACAATCATCAGCACTCACTCCATCACTGCTTGCCAGAGGCATGCTAACACTACAGTTCAAAAACTGCAACATATCCTGACCCTCCTTCTGAGTGCAGGCACTGCACAGAGCTAAATACTGTACATTTTAAATGGAGAGATCTATACTATTTACTCTTCCTCCGTACGCCATGTGTGTCTTAAGAGGCAACTAAAATGCCGGGAGCAAGGGACTAATAACTCCCTCTCCTGTATATAGTATTATTAAATTTAAAAGGAGAAACTTTCACCTTGCCTTGGTGGGATGCAGCCAGTTTGTTGAAAGAAAAGAAAGATCTATATTATGTCTCTCCCTCTGGCATGTAGCACTGCATGGCTCATACATGTTTAACTCCTGCCATGAATATAAAATATTTCCTATTACCTGGAGTTTACCTGGAGAGAGTTCCGGGGGTCAACGCCCCCGCGGCCCGGTCTGAGACCAGGCCTCCTGGTGGATCAGAGCCTGATCAACCAGGCTGTTGCTGCTGGCTGCACCCAAACCAACATACGAGCCACAGCCCGGCTGATCCGGAACTGACTTTAGGTGCTTGTCCAGTGCCAGCTTGAAGACTGCCAGGGGTCTGTTGGTAATCCCCCTTATGTGTGCTGGGAGGCAGTTGAACAGTCTCGGGCCCCTGACACTTATTGTATGGTCTCTTAACGTGCTAGTGACACCCCTGCTTTTCATTGGGGGGATGGTGCATCGTCTGCCAAGTCTTTTGCTTTCGTAGTGGGTGATTTTCGTGTGCAAGTTCGGTACTAGTCCCTCTAGGATTTTCCAGGTGTATATAATCATGTATCTCTCCCTCCTGCGTTCCAGGGAATACAGGTTTAGGAACCTCAAGCGCTCCCAATAATTGAGGTGTTTTATCTCCGTTATGCGCGCCGTGAAAGTTCTCTGTACATTTTCTAGGTCGGCAATTTCACCTGCCTTGAAAGGTGCTGTTAGTGTGCAGCAATATTCCAGCCTAGATAGAACAAGTGACCTGAAGAGTGTCATCATGGGCTTGGCCTCCCTAGTTTTGAAGGTTCTCATTATCCATCCTGTCATTTTTCTAGCAGATGCGATTGATACAATGTTATGGTCCTTGAAGGTGAGATCCTCCGACACGATCACTCCCAGGTCTTTGACGTTGGTGTTTCGCTCTATTTTGTGGCCAGAATTTGTTTTGTACTCTGATGAAGATTTAATTTCCTCATGTTTACCATATCTGAGTAATTGAAATTTCTCATCGTTGAACTTCATATTGTTTTCTGCAGCCCACTGAAAGATTTGGTTGATGTCTGCCTGGAGCTTTGCAGTGTCTGCAATGGAAGACACTGTCATGCAGATTCGGGTGTCATCTGCAAAGGAAGACACGGTGCTGTGGCTGACATCCTTGTCTATGTCGGATATGAGGATGAGGAACAAGATGGGAGCTAGTACTGTGCCTTGTGGAACAGAGCTTTTCACCGTAGCTGCCTCGGACTTTACTCTGTTGACGACTACTCTCTGTGTTCTGTTAGTGAGGAAATTATAGATCCATCGACCGACTTTTCCTGTTATTCCTTTAGCACGCATTTTGTGCGCTATTACGCCATGGTCACACTTGTCGAAGGCTTTTGCAAAGTCTGTATATATTACATCTGCATTCTTTTTGTCTTCTAGTGCATTTAGGACCTTGTCGTAGTGGTCCAATAGTTGAGACAGACAGGAGCGACCTGTTCTAAACCCATGTTGCCCTGGGTTGTGTAACTGATGGGTTTCTAGATGCGTGGTGATCTTGCTTCTTAGGACCCTTTCAAAGATTTTTATGATATGGGATGTTAGTGCTATTGGTCTGTAGTTCTTTGCTGTTGCTTTACTGCCCCCTTTGTGGAGTGGGGCTATGTCTGTTGTTTTTAGTAACTGTGGGACGACCCCCGTGTCCATGCTCCCTCTCCATAGGATGGAAAAGGCTCGTGATAGGGGCTTCTTGCAGTTCTTGATGAACACAGAGTTCCATGAGTCTGGCCCTGGGGCAGAGTGCATGGGCATGTCATTTATCGCCTGTTCGAAGTCATTTGGTGTCAGGATAACATCGGATAGGCTTGTGTTAATCAAATTTTGTGGCTCTCTCAGAAAAAATTCATTTTGATCTTCGACTCTCAGTCTGGTTAGCGGCTTGCTAAAAACTGAGTCATATTGGGACTTGAGTAGCTCACTCATTTCCTTGTTGTCATCTGTGTAGGACCCATCTTGTTTAAGTAGGGGCCCAATACTGGACGTTGTTCTCGATTTTGATTTGGCATAGGAGAAGAAATACTTTGGGTTTCTTTCGATTTCATTTATGGCTTTTAGTTCTTCCCGCGATTCCTGACTCCTAAAGGATTCTTTTAGCTTAAGTTCGATGCTTGCTATTTCTCTGACCAGTGTCTCCCTACGCATTTCAGATATATTGACCTCTTTTAGCCGCTCTGTTATTCTTTTCCGTCGCCTGTAAAGGGAGCGCCTGTCTCTTTCAGTTTTACATCTACTCCTCCTTTTTCTTAGAGGAATAAGCCTTGTGCATACATCGAGTGCTACCGAGTTAATCTGTTCTAGGCATAAGTTGGGGTCTGTGTTGCTTAGTATATCTTCCCAGCTTATATCGGTTAGGACTTGGTTTACTTGGTCCCACTTTATGTTTTTGTTATTGAAGTTGAATTTGGTGAATGCTCCCTCGTGACTAATCTCATTATGTCGGTCTGGGGCTCCGCGCATACATGACTGAACCTCAATTATGTTGTGATCTGAGTATATTGTTTTTGATATGGTGATATTTCTTATCAGATCATCATTGTTAGTGAAGATGAGGTCTAGTGTATTCTCCAGTCTAGTAGGCTCTATTATTTGCTGGTTTAAATTGAATTTTGTGCAGAGATTTAAAAGCTCGCGTGAGTGTGAGTTTTCATCAGAGCTGCCTCCTGGTGTTATTACTGCAACAATATTATTTGCTATATTCCTCCATTTTAGGTGCCTTAAGTTGAAATCCCCCAGGAGCAAGATGTTGGGTGCAGGAGCTGGAAGGTTTTCCAGACAGTGGTCAATTTTTAACAGCTGTTCCTGGAATTGCTGGGATGTTGCATCCGGAGGCTTGTAGACTATCACAATGACTAGGTTTTGGTTCTCGACCTTTACTGCTAAAACTTCCACTACATCATTTGAGGCATTTAGCAGTTCTGTGCAAACAAGTGACTCTGCAATGTACAGGCCAACCCCCCCCTTTTGCCTGTTCACTCTGTCACATCTGTATAGGTTGTAACCTGGGATCCATATTTCGTTGTCCAAGTGATCCTTTATGTGGGTCTCAGTATATCAATAATTCCTAAAAATAGGAAAATAGAGGAGCACACTATAGAGCAAAAAAAGTGGATACTAACCTTGTCTGGTGGCTCTGTGTTGCTTGATTGCAATGGGGTTGAATGTTTCCAGTAAGCCTAGAGAAGATGTGCCTTTAACGCCCAACCAGCTGAGACCTAAAATTTCAACATGATCGTGCACATTCTGGCCGACTCCTGGTATGTCTGCCACCACCTTCAGCTGTAAAACAGTGATCAGCAGTGAGGTTATCTGCTGAAGACAGCTATAACAGATCAACATTAATGGATAAACCTTTCCTGGGCTGAAGAAGTTAGGCAAATAATGACACTAACTAAGGTACAGCATAACAAGTGATTTACTTTGAAAATAGTTAATTTTGCTTATGACAACAATGCACGAGTTAATAAGATCAGGCTATAATTTACTGTGGCAAACATTATGACTATTCCTGTTGTGCTACATACACTTGGTATAGCATCAAAAGATGTTAGTTTAGTTTAATATGTTTATTATGCACCCCATACCCATCCTGTGGGCGGTAGTCAAAAGATTACAGAGGTACATAATTGGTCCAGGGACTGGACTCCAAAGTTTTGATAGCTGAGCAAGTTACAAAGGTAATGAACTAGATCTGGTCATAATCATGACCAAGTTCAAAAGATGAATAATTTAAATAGTAAGCAATGCAGTTCTAGGATGTTTAAACAATGTAAATGATGCTAACATGTGCAAGATGAGATGAGATCATTTAGAATAATACTAAATTTAAGAGTAGATCAATTTGTGCCCCAAACCTTAAGAGATATGCAAGTATCTGGAAATACAGTACTGCAATAGCACCCTAAAACTAACCTAACCTTAGCCCCACCAATGTACACCTATCCCATCCAGCTCTCCCTTTCCCCATGGTCAACATTTCCCTAATTAGAATGAGACATCGTTCTTTTCTGTACTGGACTGAAGGAGTCACTGGCTGGTGAAAAGTTTCCTCAGTAAAGATTCCCATAAATTACACAAGTGTCTCATTCTTCATCTTGTCAGTTTTCTTAACCATTTACTACATCATTTTCCCAATTAGTCCAATTTATTCCAAAATTACCAATTTCCCAGCTTTAACCTCATTATCACTTTTCACTCACCTTCTCAGCTCAAATTCAACCTTAGCCCTAACACCACCCTAAATCAATCCCAAAAATTAATCTTAGTTGAGGTCTAATCTCTTCAATGCATCCTTCAAAGGATGGATGAGGTAGAGAGGTGCCTTGATAATGGTGAAGGGCTCTTGATCTGAGGTACCCTTTCCTTCCCTGCATCGATTACAAAGCTGCCTATTCCCCAGGTGATGTACAACCCCTATGGATCGTACATCACCAGGGGAATACATGGGTCGTACATCACCTGGATCATACATCACAGGAAGTGCTCAACCCTATGGGTTTAGCACTTCCTGTGATTATGGTAACTGCTCTTCTAATACTTGCCATAACCTCACTGACAGACAGACCTAATTCTACTGTAGTTCGATTAATTAGCCTATTACACTGGCCAAAGTTTAATTACCTAATCAAGGCTTGACCTCAATGTCTGGATGGTTTAACAGGTTTAAAATCTATCAAATGAATGAGGATTATTAAGGCAGTATACTTGTATACCTCAATCAAGAATACTGTAACTCTTTAAAATACTATGCATTTAAGTAAACAATGTGTATAAACCCTTGCCCGACTGCTCAATGAATTCTGATACCTACTTTATGCTGCTGGAGATGTTCCTTGGGTCCGACCCCTGACAACATGAGTAACTTGGGTGATGCTACCGGCCCAGCAGACATTATGACTTCACGCAGCGCTCCCACTGTTAACATCTGCAGAACATACCTTGTTAGCTTCACATTTCAGAGAAACACTGAAAGTAATGAGAGTTGTCCTACATGAAGATTTTGGAAGAATCTTAATGACTCATATGGCTGCCACTTATGATTTGCCTCATGTGATTGCTACTTATGAGTAAATATTTCTGAATTGTACCAGATTATAGGTGTGGCTTGTCATTACCTGGAGAGAGTTCCGGGGTCAACGCCCCTGCGGCCCGGTCTGTGACCAGGCCTCCTGGTGGATCAGAGCCTGATCAACCAGGCTGTTGCTGCTGGCTGCACGCAAACCAACATACGAGCCACAGCCCCTACAAATCCACACCTTTTGATGGGATGATGATGCCTGGATGCTGAAGGTCTTTTGATCTAAGAAAGTTGAACTACTTTTTCCCTGAAATATAATTACCTCTTGTCTCCCATGCATTATGTGACACCTTATGACTTTGACACTTTACAGCGACTATAATTATTGGTCATTGTTTTTAAAATAAAAGAGAAATTCCCTATGTATTCAACTCTCACATTTATCTTTTAGCAGTGCTCATCAAGCCATCAATAAATGTTACTTCCTTATATCTATCTATCTTTAAATTCTAGCTGTGTCCCAAGAGTAACTATTTCTCATCTCTCAAACAGCCTATGAATTTCCCTGTGTATTTTGAATATTATCCTATCTTCCCTGGTTTCTTCTGTCTTCAAATGTTGTTAGCTACAATTCCTGTAGCCTCTCAATGTACCTCATGTCCTTTAGCTCTGGGAGAAGCCTCATTGCATACTTCTCTGCTTTCTCAAGTTGTACCATGTATGGGTTTTATACTGGTGCTGCATACTCATAAGTGGTCCTCACATGTATTGAGGACCCAAATGACTCAAGATTCTTACAATTTGACAGATGAACATTGGCTGCAGAGGCTATTCAGCTAATGCAAGCCTCTGGCAATATACTGGACACAATGATCTTTCTGAGTGACATGTAGCCTCTGTCCCCCAAGTCTATACTCTGTCTCCAGTCTTCTTGCCTCTTCCCCAGTCTTCATAACCCCTTATCTAATCAACCTTGCAATTTATCCAAAACCACTAGAAGCCTTCCCCTTTCCTCATCTAACTTATTCCCCTCGGTTTTGCTTCAGCAAACAGGGACACATCTAATTCCATTCCATCTGGGAAGCCATTCACACAAACCAAAGAGGACTGCACACTGGGTTTTCTCTTATTAAAGCCACTCTATTAACAGAGTGCCACACTATTGTATTACCTGCTAAAGATAGATTGTATGACTATTTTTGCTATACAGTACATGTATTTAGTACATATTTAGAAAAAAACAGAATATGCTGAAGAATAAAAATATGAAAGATTTACTCACTTTTTTATTGTATTCAAATCTGACGCCAACAGCTCTTTTGTCGCGGAAAATAACCTGAAAAGAACAAGTTTTCTGATAAATATTGGGAATGTTGAAGGGTGTGATTCAAATAGTGTACAAAAAAGAAAATAAGACAAAACAATGGAAAGCAAGTGAAATTTTTTAATACTGGCCGTCTCCCACCAAAGTAGGGTAACCCAAAAAAAGAAGAAACACTTTCACCATCATTCACTCTATCACTATCTTGCCAGAGGCATGTCGCTACTACAGTTCAGATGCCCCTTCAAACTGCGAATATTCCCGCCCTGACACCAGACACTCTCTGAGGAGAAGTTGGGTTCCAAGGATCAAATCTCAGCATCAGCAGGTGAAATATTTGTCAAAAATGTCTTTCCAAAGTCAACATTTAAGCAGAATGTAGCAAAGTATAAAGTAATATCTAAAAAGGATCTTAAGAGTCAATAAAGCATGAGATGCAATAGATAGATAATAATAATAATCTTTATTACTACAAGTACATGATACATGTTCAGGTGCCAGCACTGACCGAATTTGTTCCCATAAGGAATATTGTGAAGTAGATTAGTCCATTTCAGACCCCCAAACATACACGTACAAATGCACTTACATAATTGGTCGCATTAGGAGGTGATCGTTAAGCGAGGGTCCACTGTACCTACTTACTGCTAAGTGAACATAGACAGCAGGTGTCTTAAGGAAACACATCCTAATGTTTCCACCCATACCGGGGATTGAACCCTGGAAATTATAACAGCAGGGCTACAACTGGGATATAAACTCACCCTATGAACAGTAGCACTGTGCAGGATGTGAAGATTGGGACGTTTGTTCGCAGGTTTTAAGTATTCCCTGGCTGTTGAAGATCTGACCCCATCTTTAATTGAAAAATATGTCACGGAAAATCCCTGGAAGGGAAAATTTGTGGTAAGACGTAGTGAAGAAAAACTGGAATACTGTACTGCTGTAAAATTAATTAATTCGTTACAAAATAATTTTCCTTCGCCAAACTGAGTGCCAAAAAATAAATACATATCCATACCTAGTTGTTCTGGGCCGTTGTAATCAATGACAGGATAGCCTAGCTCCTGGCCCCCCTGTATGAAGGCTCGTGTGAGGGGTGTCATCGGTCCTGGAGTGACACCAATGGGTCCACTGCGCCCATGGAAGGCCTCTGTCATAAGAGATGTGTTAATAACTAAATAAGAACAAATATTTTATAGTCAATGCTCTGCATAACTATGGGTTTTCTGTATGCATAACTAATGGCACCGAACTCTGTATACCTGGTGTATACAGAGTGGCCAGCAGTAACAGCCTGGTTGATCAGGCCCTGATCCACCATGAGGCCTGGTCACAGACCGGGCCGCGGGGGTGTTGACCCCCGGAACTCTCTCCAGTATACCTGGAGGGTGTTCTGGGGGTCAATGCCCCCACAGCCCATTCCATGACTAGGCCTTGTGGGGGGATCAGGACCTGATCAATCAGGCTGTTACTTCTGGCCGCACGTAAACCAACATATGAACCACACCCCAGAATGCAACCCACAAGTCTAATAACATCTGGACGCCAATGATGAGATCAAACGTCTAGCGCAAGCTGGACGCCAAGGTATTGGTCCAGTGTGGTGAGAATGGTAAGGTACTGCGTACCTTGTTCCAAGGTTCATAGGTTCGAGTCTCCTTCTGCCAGACATTAGTGTTTGTGTTATTAATATATATTTGGATTTGGAAGTTATCGAATGAAAGTTAAAAATTAATATCTATCCTCTGTAGATATAAACAGGTAATTAATTAGCAAGTCGATTTAGGTACAGGTACACCTAAGTACACTTATCATACATAGTAATACAGTAAATTGCAGACAAGCAAACAGAAAAAGATGCAAAGTAACCACAGGGAGAGTTGAATGATAACTCCAGGCCTTTCATGTTGCAATGAATACATCAGGAGCTTGCAATTACCTGGAGTTTACCTGGAGAGAGTTTCGGGGGTCAACGCCCCCGCGGCCCGGTCTGTGACCAGGCCTCCTGGTGGATCAGCGCCTGATCAACCAGGCTGTTGCTGCTGGCTGCACGCAAACCAACGTACGAGCCACAGCCCGGCTGATCAGGAACTGACTTTAGGTGCTTGTCCAGTGCCAGCTTGAAGACTGCCAGGGGTCTGTTGGTAATCCCCCTTATGTGTGCTGGGAGGCAGTTGAACAGTCTCGGGCCCCTGACACTTATTGTATGGTCTCTTAACGTGCTAGTGACACCCCTGCTTTTCATTGGGGGGATGGTGCATCGTCTGCCAAGTCTTTTGCTTTCGTGGTGAGTGATTTTCGTGTGCAAGTTCGGTACTAGTCCCTCTAGGATTTTCCAGGTGTATATAATCATGTATCTCTCCTCCTGCGTTCCAGGGAATACAGGTTTAGAAACCTCAAGCGCTCCCAGTAATTGAGGTGTTTTTATCTCCGTTATGCGCGCCGTGAAAGTTCTCTGTACATTTTCTAGGTCGGCAATTTCACCTGCCTTGAAAGGTGCTGTTAGAGTGTAGCAATATTCCAGCCTAGATAGAACAAGTGACCTGAAGAGTGTCATCATGGGCTTGGCCTCCCTAGTTTTGAAGGTTCTCATTATCCATCCTGTCATTTTTCTAGCAGATGCGATTGATACAATGTTATGGTCCTTGAAGGTGAGATCCTCCGACATAATCACTCCCAGTCTTTGACGTTGGTGTTTCGCTCTATTTTGTGGCCAGAATTGTTTTGTACTCTGATGAAGATTTAATTTCCTCATGTTTACCATATCTGAGTAATTGAAATTTCTCATCGTTGAACTTCATATTGTTTTCTGCAGCCCACTGAAAGATTTGGTTGATGTCCGCCTGGAGCCTTGCAGTGTCTGCAATGGAAGACACTGTCATGCAGATTCGGGTGTCGTCTGCAAAGGAAGACACGGTGCTGTGGCTGACATCCTTGTCTATGTCGGATATGAGGATGAGGAACAAGATGGGAGCGAGTACTGTGCCTTGTGGAACAGAGCTTTTCACCGTAGCTGCCTCGGACTTTACTCTGTTGACGACTACTCTCTGTGTTCTGTTAGTGAGGAAATTATAGATCCATCGACCGACTTTTCCTGTTATTCCTTTAGCGCGCATTTTGTGCGCTATTACGCCATGGTCACACTTGTCGAAGGCTTTTGCAGTCTGTATATATTACATCTGCATTCTTTTTGTCTTCTAGTGCATTTAGGACCTTGTCGTAGTGATCCAGTAGTTGAGACAGACAGGAGCGACCTGTTCTAAACCCATGTTGCATAAATGAGCAGGAAGCCCAGATACGTGGAGAGGGCTCCGGGGGTCAACGCCCCCTGCAGACTGGTCTATGATCAGGTCTCATGGTGGATCAGGGTCTGATAAACCAGGCTGTTACTGCTGGCCATACACAACCTGATGCAGGAACCACAGCCCGGCTGGTCAGGTACTGACTTTAGGTGCCTGTCCAGTGCTTGCTTCAAGACAGCCAGGGGACTATTGGTAATCCCCCTTATGTATGTTGGGAGGCAGTTGAACAGTCTTGGGCCCCTGACACTTATTGTTTTGTCTCTCATGCTAGTGGCACCCTTGCTTTTTATTGGGGCAATGTTGCACCTCCTGCCGAGTGCATTTCATTCATGGGAATGGCTCTAGCAACTTGGAGTTACCTGGAGAGAGTTCCGGGGGTCAACGCCCCCGCGGCCCGGTCTGTGGCCAGGCCTCCTGGTGGATCAGAGCCTGATCAACCAGGCTGTTACTGCTGGCGGCACGCAAACCAACGTACGAGCCACAGCCCGGCTGGTCAGGTACCGACTTTAGGTGCTAGCAAGAGTCATTCCCATGAACGAATATACCCGAACTTCCTATTTATGCAACACTGCAAGCTCCTCATGTTTTGATTGCAACATAAAAGGCCTAGAGGTAACATTCAACTCTCCCTGTGGTTATTTTGAGAAAAAATTATTTATTTCCATTGGTGTCCTTGTAAGTTTATTCAGTATTACATAAATAGTTACTAGATTATCATACATAGCAACATATTTGTAAAGAACCTGGATAGCCCAAAAAAAGACGCACAAAACTCAACTTAGTTTGCAAAAATGGGAAGATATACAATGTTCTAGTTGACATCAGATGAAAGATAAAGATCTAGATAATTCTGTAAATACCTGCATTTAAGTGAAATGTCAATAGCTTGCAAAATAAAAAATATTAAGTTTGGGGTCCTTTGTCAGAAATAATCCAACTGAGTGGCACTCACCAGTTTGCTGGACCTCCCCACGGTAGTCCTCAGCTTTGATGAAATATGGAAGGACACTCAGGTAGTCCCAACCTGGGTTACCCCAGGCTGCCCACCGGTCAAAATCCCTCCTGTTACCTCTGACATACATCATGCCATTGACAGTGGAACCACCACCCAGCACTCTACCCTGGGGCTGCCTTGCTGCCTGTTATGTAATAATGAGAGTAAGTAGGTTTATTCAGGTATACACAAATATATTGATTATTATACATAGCAGCATATGTGTAGAGAACCTAGGTAAACCCAGATTAAGTCAAAGTCACTTATTTCCATTGGGCAATTGACTTATTTCCATTGGTGTGTGCAAGCTTGTCAAGTCCCTTTAGTGCTATCTAGATAATTTTGGAAATTACCATCTGCACTATGGTCATTAAGGTTGCAATTCCCTTGTATATTCGTATCATTAATACTCCAATCTAAAAATAGGGAATTAAGCAAATTTTCAGTTTATATATACAATGATATATATACCAATACATCTCTTTGATAGATATCAATTCATCTGGTGCTGCTAGCTTGGTTGACCAGGCTAGTACCAGACAATCCTGGTCCAGGACCACCAGTAGCAACCAATGGTTGACCAGGCTAGTACCAGACAATCCTGGTCCAGGACCACCAGTAGCAACCAATGGTTGACCAGGCTAGTACCAGACAATCCTGGTCCAGGACCACCAGTAGCAACCAATGGTTGACCAGGCTAGTACCAGACAATCCTGGTCCAGGACCACCAGTAGCAACCAATGGTTCACCAGGCTAGTACCAGACAATCCTGGTCCAGGACCACCAGTAGCAACCAATGGCTGACCAGGCTAGTACCAGACAATCCTGGTCCAGGACCACCAGTAGCAACAACTGGTTGACCAGATTAGTACCAAACAACCCTGGTCCAGGACCACCAGTAGCAACCAATGGTTGACCAGGCTAGTACCAGACAACCCTGGTCCAGGACCACCAGTAGCAACAACTGGTTGACCAGGCTAGTACCAGACAACCCTGGTCCAGGACCACCAGTAGCAACCAATGGTTGACCAGGCTAGTACCAGACATGCCTGGTCCAGGACCAGTAGCAACAACTGGTTGACCAGGCTAGTACCAAACAACCCTGATCCAGGACCACCAGTAGCAACAACTGGTTGACCAGGCTAGTACCAGACATGCCTGGTCCAGGACCAGTAGCAGCAACTGGTTGACCAGGCTAGTACCAGACAACCCTGGTCCAGGACCACCAGTAGCAACCAATGGTTGACCAGGCTAGTACCAGACAATCCTGGTCCAGGACCACCAGTAGCAACCAATGGTTGACCAGGATAGCACCAGACAATCCTGGTCCAGGACCACCAGTAGCAACAACTGGTTGACCAGGCTAGTACCAGACAATCCTGGTAAAGGACCACCAGTAGCAACAACTGGTTGACCAGGCTAGTACCAGACAACCCTGGTCCAGGACCACCAGTAGCAACAACTGGTTGACCAGGCTAGTACCAGACAATCCTGGTAAAGGACCACCAGTAGCAACAACTGGTTGACCAGGCTAGTACCAGACAACCCTGGTCCAGGACCACCAGTAGCAAACAACTGGTTGACCAGGCTAGTACCAGACAATCCTGGTAAAGGACCACCAGTAGCAACAACTGGTTGACCAGGCTAGTACCAGACAATCCTGGTAAAGGACCACCAGTAGTAACAACTGGTTGACCAGGCTAGTACCAGACAACCCTGGTCCAGGACCACCAGTAGCAACAACTGGTTGACCAGGCTAGTACCAGACAATCCTGGTAAAGGACCACCAGTAGCAACAACTGGTTGACCAGGCTAGTACCAGACAACCCTGGTCCAGGATCACCAGTAGCAACAACTGGTTGACCAGGCTAGTACCAGACAATCCTGGTAAAGGACCACCAGTAGCAACAACTGGTTGACCAGGCTAGTACCAGACAACCCTGGTCCAGGACCACCAGTAGCAACAACTGGTTGACCAGGCTAGTACCAGACAATCCTGGTAAAGGACCACCAGTAGCAACAACTGGTTGACCAGGCTAGTACCAGACAACCCTGGTCCAGGACCACCAGTAGCAACAACTGGTTGACCAGGCTAGTACCAGACAACCCTGGTCCAGGACCACCAGTAGCAACAACTGGTTGACCAGGCTAGTACCAGACAACCCTGGTCCAGGACCACCAGTAGCAACCACTGGCTGACCAGGCAAGCAAGTGCATATAAACTACACAACAAATGGGGCCATTATGCAGCCTCCTGGTCCCCTCCCCATTTCTTCCTCTCCCCATCATTAACAGCCTAACTTATAACAGATTATGAGCAACCACGTATATGATAAACATTTTTTTGAATTTGTACACTGACATATTTGTGTGTGTCATGGAAGTTTACATAGGTAATGAGCAACTGTGTACTCCATGACTGTGGGAATTCTGAGAATAAATTTGTGGTGTCATCAAGTCAGGGGAAAGTTTATACTCGAGGTTACTCACATATATATTAGCCCAATTTTAGTGCCAGATGTCAGGATTTTATTGTTACTATAATACAATACGTCAGGATATTATTGCTGTCACTACAATACAATACGTCAGGATTTTATTGCTGTCACTAATGGATAGGATATTATCCTTGGATTTAGAGAGTTCCGGGGGTCAACGCCCCCGCGGCCCAGTCTGTGACCAGGCCTCATGGTGGATCAGGGCCTGATCAACCAGGCTGTTACTGCTGGCTGCACGCAAACCAACGTACGAGCCACAGCCCGGCTGATCAGGAACCGACTTTAGGTGCTTGTCCAGTGCCAGCTTGAAGACTGCCAGGGGTCTGTTGGTAATCCCCCTTATGTGTGCTGGGAGGCAGTTGAACAGTCTCGGGCCCCTGACACTTATTGTATGGTCTCTTAACGTGCTAGTGACACCCCTGCTTTTCATTGGGGGATGGTGCATCGTCTGCCAAGTCTTTTGCTTTCGTAGTGAGTGATTTTCGTGTGCAAGTTCGGTACTAGTCCCTCTAGGATTTTCCAGGTGTATATAATCATGTATCTCTCCCTCCTGCATTCCAGGGAATACAGGTTTAGGAACTGTCACTACAATACAAGACGTCAGGATTTTATTGCTGTCACTACAATACGTCAGGATTTTATTGCTGTCACTACAATACAAGACGTCAGGATTTTATTGCTGTCACTACAATACAAGACGTCAGGATTTTATTGCTGTCACTACAATACAAGACGTCAGGATTTTATTGCTGTCACTACAATACGTCAAGATTTTACTGCTGTCACTACAATACAAGACGTCAGGATTTTATTGCTGTCACTACAATACAAGACGTCAGGATTTCATTGCTGTCACTACAATACGTCAGGATTTCATTGCTTGCATCGCTACAAGACGTCAGGATATTATTGCTGTTGTCACTACAAGTGATGTATATCACCTAGGAAATATAGTTGCTACTCAGGTCATACTGACCAGGTATACGTGTCCTCCACCCAAAAATCTTAATATATATTTAAAAATCTTACATTCTACAATAATTTAGCAAGAATAATTGGAACAGTGCCTGAAGTTTGAAGCATCAGTCACATTATAACCTGAAAATAACCTCTCCTATGACCACTCACATCAATATCTCTAAAAACATAATTAAAAATTAATAACCCAACCACTGTAGTCATGCTAACTCCATTTAAATACTGGATTTATAAGTCAATTATAAATTTACGTCAGGTCTGAGACCAGGCCTCAGGGTCTGATCAACCAGGCTGTTACTGCTGGATGCGGTTTGGCATTGCTTTGGAGTGGAGCATATTGTAATAAGTAAAATTTGGATATGTGGGTCAGTTGGCCACCAGCAGCAACAGACTGGTTGGTCATGTTAGCACCAGACGAGCCTGGCCCATGGCCGGGCTCCAGAAGTAAAAAGTAAAAAGGTTAATTATTTTTTGGTATCTATTACCAAGCTTTATACCTCAGGTACACATAATCACAATTATCATACATAATAACATATGTAAATTATCTAGGATAATCGTCCCTCCCCCTCCAGAGTTAATTTTAGTATTGGAGTCCTTAAAGTACCTAATCAATGATGCATTTGTCACTTACGTGATTGGCAAAGTTCTGGGAGGAATATTTCTGAGGGACGGTGGAGTAGCCCCAGTCCTCGGTGTAGCCAGGAATGTAAGAGATGGGCAGGAAGGCTGGAACGTTGGACTCCAGGGGTGGAGGTCCTCCTGCCTCAAGTAGCAGCACCCTCCACTCAGGTACCTCTGATAGTCTGGCTGCTAGTATACAACCTGCTGTGCCTCCACCCACTGTGTCAAGTGTAACATAATGTTAGCTTAGTTTAGCTTAGGCCAAGCTGGATTAGGTTAGGTTAGGTTAGGACAGGATAGGTTAGGTTACATTAGGTACGTTAGGTTAGATTAAGACAGGATAGGTTAGGTTACATTAGGTACGTTAGGTTAGATTAGGACAGGATAGGTTAGGTTACATTAGGTACGTTAGGTTAGATTAGGACAGGATAGGTTAGGTTACATTAGGTACGTTAGGTTAGATTACGACAGGATAGGTTAGGTTACATTAGGTACGTTAGGTTAGATTAGGACAGGATAGGTTAGGTTACATTAGGTACGTTAGGTTAGATTACGACAGGATAGGTTAGGTTACATTAGGTACGTTAGGTTAGATTAGGACAGGATAGGTTAGGTTACATTAGGTACGTTAGATTAGATTAGGACAGGATAGGTTAGGTCACATTAGGTACGTTAGGTTAGGTTAGAGGATAGGTTAGGTTAGATTCGTCAGGAAACAGGACAATTGCTTCCTGACGCGAGTTTTAGCTATATAACGACGGGCCACTGAAGCTTTTGGTCATCTGGCCGAGGCCTTCCACTGGCTTACCCCTCCACTTGAAAAATATCATGGTTGTGGGTATAACAATTAGGAGTACGTATATTCTTTGGCACTGCTTATACAGAAAAGCTTTGCATAACTCTGGGTTTTCTTCAGGTACAACTAAAGGCCTCCGATCTCTGTACAAGTTTACAATCATAGTTACTATTATTAAATGGGTGATGATAGCTCGTTGAAAGCCTAGCATAGTTATATCAGCTGCCCATTTTCACCCAGAGGTAAATTATCTGGGTGTTCGACTGTTGAGATTTACCCTGGGTAATCCTTCAATGGGAGGTTCCTTGACGTTGCTGAGGGGCTCTTGATTCATGAAATTGGATCTGTGCTCCGGTTCCCTGAACACCTTCCATCCCCCCACACATGGGCTGTATAATCCTGCGGGTTTAGCGCTTCCCCATGATTATAATATCCTGGGTAAGGTGATAAAATACTCTAGCTGAAGTCAATCTTGATATAAGCTTGCAAATCAAACTGCAAAGACCAAAATACTGAATAATTCATAACACAAGCACGTAGATGGAGTAAACTGTTATAATTATAACATTCATTTTTAAGGGGGTGGACTGGTAAGCCAGTGGAAGGCCTCGGTCAGATGACCAAAAGCTCCAGCTGTGGATCATCATACAAGACCCACGTCAGGAAACACTTGACGAACCTAAGCAGGTGGATGGCATCTCCGGTAGCTAAAAGGTTACTGGTCTAACAGGAAGTCAGTGATATTTCAAGGGCAGGGTAGTGTCAAGAGAAAGGAGGCTGTCAGTCCCATGCTTAGCATCAACTCAAATTGCTGATTTAATTCACAAAATAAGATATTTAAGTTGCTAACGACAGTTACTCGTCTAGTAACTCAAACCACTTCAAGTTTGGTTAAATTCGACCATATCTTGCTAAAATATAAACGATTATAATTCAAAATCACATGTGAGCTAAACTAATATTTTTTTGTGTGGCTATTCGTGTTTGCATAAATAATTTAGTATGAGTGTAACCAGATATAAACATGTAAACAGTTTATTATTATTGTAACTTGTTCAGCTAACAGTCCCTGGAGCCATTATGTACCTCTGTAATGTTGTGGTACAGTCCCTGGAGCCATTATGTACCTCTGTAATGTTGTGGTACAGTCCCTGGAGCCATTATGTACCTCTGTAATGTTGAGGTGCAGTCCCTGGAGCCATTATGTACCTCTGTAATGTTGAGGTGCAGTCCCTGGAGCCATTATGTGTCTGTAATGTTGAGGTGCAGTTTCTGAACCCATTCTGTGCCAATATAATCTCTTAACTGCTGCCCACTCCATGGGTATGGGGTGCATAACAAACTAACATCACCCAAGAGTAAATAAGCACCCGGATGTTTAAAATACGTTACAATACGTTAGATGGAGCTGGACTTGAAATAAGATGAGAACAACATCCTATTAATTCCACTTTAAAAAAAGTGTGAACCTTGCCAAAATAAAAAGTATTGTGGATTCTCCGGTATTTAAAAAGGTTACCTGTCTAACAGGAAGTCAGTGATATATCAGCATCGTAACACTGTAAATAGATAAATAAACCTGACACCTTATATAGTACAGTAATAGGCTGGTTTTTAAAATCTAAGGACAGGCAACCCAATCATCGTTACGTAGGTACGTAATATCATCTATGTACTACCAGCACATGATACAACTTATACAGACCATAGCTGACATCAGTGACATACTACTATATAGAAAGTCCCTTGTTATGCTGAGCATTTCTCGCAAATTAGGTTAGTTTTGTCCCCAGGATGCGACCCACACCAGTCCACTAACACCCAGGTACCCATTTTACTGATGGGTGAACATGGAAACCCGGTGTAAGGAAGCACGCCCAATGTTTCTACCCTCGCCGGGAATCGAACCCGGACAATGGCAGTGTTTTAGATTCATATCGAAGATTAACTGTTTAAAATCATTTAAACAAATACGTCCCGACATTAGACCTTAAATACTCAAAACTCTTTGACACGAATAAAACAGGTTTGTCAGAAGTTTGGCCCGTGGCCTGGTGGCAAACGTTCTCGCTTCACACGGTGATTGTCCGGGTTCGATTCCCGGAGAGGGTAGAAATATTGGGTATGTTTCCTTACAACGGGTGTCTATGTTCACCCATCAGTAAAATAGGTACCTGGGTGTTAGTGGACTGGTGTGGGTCGCATCATGGGGACAAAACTGACCTAATTTGCGGGAAATGCTCAGCATAACAAGGGACTTTCTATATAGTAGTATGTCATTGATGTCAGCTATGATCTGTATACCTGGAGGGAGTATCGGGGGTCAATGCCCCGCGGCCCGGTCTGAGACCAGGCCTCGTGGTGGATGAGGGCCTGATCAACCAGGCTGTTGCTGCTGACCGCAAGCAAACTGACGTACAAACCACAGCCCGGCTGGTCAGGTACTAACTTTAGGTGCCTGTCCAGTGCCTTCTTGAAGACAGCCAGGGGTCTATTGGTAATCCCCCTTATGTATGCTGGAAGGCTGTTGAACAGTCTTGGGCTCCTGACACTTATTGTGTTGTCTCTTATTATGCTAGTGGCGCCTCTGCTTTTCACTGGGGTAATGTTGCATTTCCTGCCGAGTCTTTTGCTTTCATAGGGAGTGATTTTCGTGTGCAAGTTTGGTACTAATCCCTCTAGGATTTTCCAAGTGTATATTATCATGTATCTTTCTCGCCTGCGTTCCAGGGAGTACAAATCAAGGGACGTCAACCGTTCCCAGTAATTTTTATGCTTTGTGTGTTCCATAAAGGTTCTCTGTACATTATGTCAGCAATATCCCCGGTAAATCAGGAATGAAGACAGAGGGATACCTGAGCCCACAACAAGGGGTTTTACATATTACATGGAGAATAAATGGTACACAAACCACCGGACCGAGTGGAGTCTGAACCAGATAGGCAAGGTAGCAACAATTCCTAGGAGCAAGAGTCCTTCTGTAGCATCAAGGAAGTACCCCAGAAGAACCTAGGAGTGGAAAGTAGGGCTGGCACATAATCGCTCTCTTTACGCCTTTTTTGTGTGTGTAAGCCTTGGCACCTTCCTGTTTCACTAGATTTTTATAATTAAATTGTAGGTTATGTGGTAGGAACAGGAAGACCTTGTTCGTATCGAGGTCTACCAAGGTGAGTATTTGACCAGTTCCCGGGATGCGCCCTGCAAAAGTGACTAACGTCTAGGTACCTACTTACTGCAAGGTGAACATGAGAAGCAGGTGTTAGGATGCCACCCACAACAGTCTACTAATATATAAGAAGGAGCACTGTAGCAGGCCTACTGGCCCATGTTAGACAGGTCCATTTCATCTACTGCCCTAAGCTACTGGCCAGAGCCAGTCAGATGCAAATACTCTAATACCCAGGTACCTATTTACTGCTAGGTACCTATTCACTTCTAGGTGAACATTAGAAGCAGGTGTAGTGAGACTCCAAGACGCTTCACCCTGACCTGGAATCACCCAACCCTCAGTGTGACTTTGTAAATGGTCCAAGTCGGACCTTAACGTCGTGGTAAGTTCCTCTCTCCTATGTGCAGGTTATTTACGCGCTGTTCCAGTCATGACAGCGTGATTTTTTCTCTAAATGTGAATGGCGCTGAGGCATTTAAAAGCGGAACTGAAGCCGCCATGACATGCTGATTAGCTCAATAGAAAAGCAAAGTGACCTTAGTTATTTTAAGTAACTAACATTAAATGTGGGTAATTTAAAATTGTATTTAATATTAAGCATAACCGAGCGTCACATTATCATCACAAGGAAGCACTAAAGCCGCAGGAGCTATACAGCGCCTGAAGACTGCAAGGTAATTAAGTTAGATCCGAGGAAGAGGGCAATTCCTTGAATCAAGAGCCCTTCCACCAGTATCAAGGTACGGCCCTTGAAAGGCCAGAAGACTTAATGTATATTTTTTCCTAAGAGTGTCTGCTTAAGATGTCTGGGTTAAGGTCAGAGGTAGACCAGCCATACTGTCTGACAACACATGGCTGACCACCTAACAAAATTATATATTATTAGAAAGTAATGTGTACTGTCATATATATATATAATATATATATATATATTTTATATATATATATATATATATATATAAATAAATATAATATTATATATATATTATATATATATATATTATTATATTTTTATATATATATATATATATAATATATATATATATATATATATTTTATATTATATATATAATATGGAATAAAATCAGAGTAAACAGGTGATATCACAGAACAAGCACTGTGAAAAACTGGAATTCTAAGCGCTTTCGTGATTTCTCACATTATCAAGGAACTGTAGAAATAAAATATCAGTGGGAAGACATACAGGAACGAGGCCACATCTCGCGAGGTGCGGCCTCGTCCTTATGTCTTATAAGTCAAACTAACTTATTTCCATTGTAGTGTGTGTAATCAGATATAAATCAATGGTCTTACCGATAATAAAGTCGTACTGAGCAGACAGAGGACCATTTAATGCATATTGCTCTTGACCAGCTTCAGGAAATACACTGACTAGAAGTAGCCGTAGCACTGGTAGCAAGGCTACTGTCGTGGCTCCTATTACTGTATCTCGCACCCCGTTCAGGTCTACCACCATCTTGAACACCTGGAAAATAACAAGTATTTACAAACATTAATCTTAGGCCTACGTAGAGTCGAACCTACAACCCCTGTGACAAGACTCACGCAATCGTAATGACATGATTGCAAACAAACCATACCACGGATGGGGTTAGAACCCCGCCCGTGGTATGGCTTATGACCTGTGACAAGGTACGTAGTACTAGGATGGTGTGTATAGTAAAGTGTACCTTGTTTCAGTCTCCTTCGGGAAAATAATCACAGGGGGCAGTTGAATGATAGCTCTAGGCCTTTCGTGTTTCAATCAACACATCTGCCTGGATATCCTACTCATTTATGCAACGTTGCAAGCTCCTGATGTGGTAATTGCAACACGAAAGGCCTAGAACTATCATTCACTTTCCCCTGCAGTTATTTTTGTATTATATATATATTATATATTATATATATATATATATATATATATATATATATATATATATATATATATATATATATATATATATATATATATATCCGGTGGATTAGGGCCTGATCAACCAGGCTGTTACTGCTGGCTGCACGCTGGCCAGTGTAGCTAAATAGTTTGGAGAACCCACAAGTTCCCAGTGTGAAGATAACCTTATTAACAGATGTAATGAACCATTCACATGTCTGCACCTGATCCCGGGTACATAATGGTTCCCGGTCCCTGGACCCATTATGTACCTCTGTAAACTTTTCGACTACCGCCCACAGGATGGCTATGACGTGCATCAAGATATTAAACAGATGCACTGTTAGAAAAACTCGTTCTACCCTACAGCTCTCACTTGGTCCTGTCAGGTTTCCTGGGCAGCAAAACACCGTCGTCTGGTGTATGTGTGTCAGGGAAAGCAAGACCTTGAATTATCCAAGTCCCACAAGTCAAGGACGAGGCTGTATTATCCTTCCCATATATCATGTACACAGTCTCTACCACTTCAGTTTATTTTACTCGTGAAATCTGTAATACGTCAAGTGTTAGCTGGTATATTTTTGACAGTTGAATTTACATGCTGAGAGGCGATGTTCTACTCGTCTCATTACAGGGAACAGGGAGTGTCCAGCTCTCCTCGACGTTGGTCTTTCGAACCAAGTGGTGGAGGGGTAAGCCAGTGGAAGGTCTCGGTCAGATGACCAAAAGCTCCAGCTGTGGGTCATCGTGCAACTAAGACCCGCGTCAGGAAACACTTGTCCTGTTACCTGACGCAACTTACCTGACCTACCGAAGGACTTTGAGTTGTCTTCCACTGAATCTAACCTGTTATCTATTCCATAGGAGCTCTATAATCCTTGCGGGTTTAGCAATATAAGAATATAATATCACAGATCAACCCTAAGGTATACTATTAATTGCAGTATGCCAGCAACAACAGTTGGTGAAGCATAACTCATGGTTACTACAACAGTGTTGTAGAGATGAACAACAAGCAGTGTTTACCTGGAGTTTACCTGGAGGGGTTTCGGGGGTCAACGCCCCTGCTGCCCGGTCTGAGACCAGGCCTCATGGTGGATCAGGGTCTGATCAACCAGACTGTTACCAACGTACGAACCACAGCCCGGCTGGTCAGGTACTGACTTTAGGTGCCTGTTCAGTGCCTTCTTGAAGACAGCCAGGGGTCTATTGGTAATCCCCCTTATGTATGGAGTTTACCTGGAGTTTACCTGGAGAGAGTTCCGGGGGTCAACGCCCCCGCGGCCCGGTCTGTGACCAGGCCTCCTGGTGGATCAGAGCCTGATCAACCTGGGAAACAGTTGAACAGTCTTGGGCCCCTGAGGCTTATTGTCTCTTATCGTGCTAGTGGCGCCTCTGCTTTTCATTGGGGGGAATGTTGCATCGTCTGACGAGTCTTGCTTTCACAGTGAGTGATTTTCGCATGCAAATTTGGTACTACTCTCTCTAGGATTATCCAAGTATATATAATCATACAGTAAAAAGATAGCTTCATAAGAAGATCACTACAAGTGTTGTAGGAATAACAACAGGTCACTACCACAGGTGTTACAAAGATGGCATCTTAACACGGTGGCCCGGTGGCCTGGTGGCTAAAGCTCCCGCTTCACACACGGAGGGCCCGGGTTCGATTCCCGGCGGGTGGAAACATTCCGACACGTTTCCTTACACCTGTTGTCCTGTTCACCTAGCAGCAAATAGGTACCTGGGTGTTAGTCGACTGGTGTGGGTCGCATCCTGGGGGACAAGATTAAGGACCCCAATGGAAATAAGTTAGACAGTCCTTGATGACGCACTGACTTTCTTGGGTTATCCTGGGTGGCTAACCCTCCGGGGTTAAAAATCCGAACGAAATCTTATCTTATCTTATCTCACGGCCACCTTGAACCTTCCTGCCACTTGGGCCACAAGGTTGCTGCACATAAAATCTTATCTTATCTTATCTCACGGCCACCTTGAACCTTCCTGCCACTTGGGCCACAAGGTCGCTGCACATACTTACATGTCAGCAAGGCAGCCTCCTCTCTCTTCATTGGGGGGGATGTTGCATCGTCTGACGAGTCTTGCTTTCACAGTGAGTGATTTTCGCATGCAAATTTGGTACTACTCCCTCTAGGATTATCCAAGTATATATAATCATACAGTAAAAAGATAGCTTCATAAGGTCACTACAAGTGTTGTAGAAATAACAACAGGTCACTACCACAGGTGTTACAAAGATGGCATCTTAACACGGCCACCTTGAACCTTCCTGCCACTTGGGCCACAAGGTCGCTGCACATACTTACATGTCAGCAAGGCAGCCTCCTCTCTCTTCATTTTACTTTCCTCGTGTCACCTTGCACTCCACCATGACTTGCTTCTATCACCTGTGCTACATTTTCTTGCTTTTATTATTAACTCGTCTTCCATGTCTCTCTTTCACATCGATAACTGACTCAGGGATTCACTGTTCTTTGTATATAATAATTATAATTCACTGTTTCCCACTGAATGAACTAATTTACCAAACGCAGTGTGTATAATAATAATAAAATAATAATAATAATAAATATAATAATAATAATCTTTATTTCTATAAGTACATGGTACAACTTATACAGACCATAGCTGACACCAATGACATGCTACTATATAGAAAGTCCCTTGTACAGAGCATTTCTCGCAGATTAGGTCAATTTTGTCTCCCAGGATGCGACCCGCACCAGTCCACTAACACCCAGGTACTTGATAAATTAGACACATGTGCAACTCTTGGGTATCTTTATTGAGGAAACGTTTCGCCACACAGTGGCTTCATCAGTCCATACAAAGGAGAATCTTGAAGAATAGGAGGAGAATGAGGTAATCAGTCCCTCAACCTATTCTCAACGTATTCTATTCAAGATTGATGGACTGACCACATCGACTCAAGGTTGAGGGACTGATTACCTCATTCTCCTCCTATTCTTCAAGATTCTCCTTTGTATGGACTGATGAAGCCACTGTGTGGCGAAACGTTTCCTCAATAAAGATACCCAAGAGTTGCACATGTGTCTAATTTATCAACATGTCGGTTCTCTGAACCATTCATCTACAAACCCAGGTACTTACTGCTAGGTGAACGGACAGCAGGAGTAATATCTAGAATTATATTCCAAGAAAAAGTTGTCAGGGAACAGGAAGTGAACTGGATAATTATCTACCTCGAAGAGCAAGATTATCTTCAGCAATCAATATTAAGGCACTTGTTTGACTCCAACTAGATTATCCTAACTTCAATTCTAACAATTTATCAGGTAAAACTATTATAAAACTAAGAATTATGTTCTGTGCGCACGTAAACACTAGGATAATAATATCTATTTACTACCAGTACATGTACAAGGTATACAGACCATAGCTGACATCAGTGACATACTACTATATAGAAAGCCGCTTGTTATGGTGAGCATTTCCCGCAAATTAGGTCAGTTTTGTCCCAGGATGTGACCCACACCAGTCCACTAACTCCCAGGTACCTATTTTATTGATACACCATAGACAACCGGTGTAAGGAAACATGCCCAATGCTTCTACCCTCGCCGGGAATCGAACCCGGACACCTCACCGTGTGAAGCGAGAGCTTCGCTACAAACATCAGGGACCCAGTAAGTACACTGGATCTGTCATTCCTGATGCGAGGACATTCTTGGTCGTGGATATTACAGGATTAACTCCACTAAAATACTACGACCAGGCTGAGGGACTGACCACCTCTGTACTCAACTGAGGAAGTCTACCGTGTAGACGAAACATTTCAGAATAAACCCAGTACACAAATGTGCTATTAACTTGTCGGTATTGTATACCATTATCATATTCCTGGGACATATGACCACAAACTCCAGGTAGCTGTTTATCACGACAAAGAATCCTTGTCGCAAACACATGTCTTATTTCCTGGCCAATATTCTTCTTCCCTCATCCTAGGTTAAGGCCACTCAGGAAAGTTGTCTGGACAACCCTGGTGATCATATACCATTTAGGAAACGTGAGGAGAAATATATACCTTTAGGATCTTACATTTTCTACTTCAGAAATCTTAAATAAATTTTGAGTAATATTTTCTAAGGGAGGACAATGTATGTACATGAGAAAGGAGGAACACTACAGTAGGCCTGTTGGCCCATACTAGGCAGGTCCTTCACAAATCCAACCCACTAATAAACGCTATCCAAGCAATAATCTCTGATAATTCTGTTCGTATGTGGTGACAGCAAGCAGTATAATGCAACTGTGCCAGCCTTGGAACCTGAAGCATTTTAAACTCTAGACAAGACATAATGTATACAGCAGATAACACATTGAGGTCCGTGTTCGATCCCCGGTACGGGTGGAAACATTAGGATGTGTTTCCTTAAGACACCTGCTGTCCCTGTTTACCTAACAGTAAGTAGGTGGCTGGGTGTCAGTCACATTACACCTGTTGTCACTTCACCTAGCATTATGTGCCTGGGTGTTAGTCACCTTATACATGTTGTCACTTCACCTAGCATTAAGTAGGCACCTGGGTGTCAGTCACCTTATACCTGCTGTCCAAGTTTACTCATTAGTAGAACAGATACCTGGGTGTGAGTCGACTGGTGAGAGTCGCATCCTACAGACTAGAAGAATGATTTAGCAAATGTTAGGTGATGCCTGTAGGTTCCTAATTCACTTAAAAAACTAATCTCGCAAATAAACCGCTGATGGCATAGCTATTAAAGGGTACCTAATGCAGAATCCATTTGTAATGGGCAGTTTTCTCTGGTTTTGTCTTAATCAGGAAAAACCAGAGATTTCACTTTTCCCTGACCTTGCTGGAGACTAAGATTTGCTTATTGATTAAGGTCATACCCTGACAATGCATTAAAGACTATACCTTCTTCAGTATACTGATCAGTGTTGAAAGTATTCATGACTCGAAATTTTCACCACTTTGCTGGCGGTGACTTCGAAATATTTACTCCGATTTCGTAACTGTGGTACCGCAAATTGTGGAAATGGAGGCTGTGTACTTGTTATAACACATTTGTGTAGCTCTACACAATGATTTACAAGCTCTATTTAGAAATATCTGTAGCTAGAGTTTGTATAGCAGGATATATATACTATTTATACACCATGTTAAGTTCTGTTTCAACCCCTCATGCAGCTGGTATTTTGTAAGCCTAAGAGAGTGGCTAGATTATAAAAATGCGAGGCTTTACAGTCATATAACATCCATCTAACTTATTTAAAGTAGTGGAGAGGTAAGCCAGTGGAAGGCCTCGGTCAGAGGAACAAAAGCTCCAGTTGTGTGGGTCATCATATAACCAAGACCCGCCTCAGGAAACACTTGTCCTGTTTCCTGACAAACTCTTTACCTCACCTAATTTAATATCCATCTTTCACGTATCAGAAATCTTTCCTATGAGGTAGGCTAAAAGCATCGACTTTGCACTTTCTAGAAAAACGTAGAAATAGAGGATATGTCTAAATGTACAAATGTAACTGACTCACGAAATCGTAATGACACGATTACAAACAAACCTAGCTGGCTAGCTAGCCCAGTGGCTAACGCGACGGTTTGGAGTTTCGAGACACTCTGATCGCGGGTTCTATTCCCTTCCGTGGTATGGTTTGTACAAATGTAAACCTGGATTAAATAACGGGGATATAGTGTTGAATAAGTCTAACCATGGAGCTGAACTTCTCCAGGCTGAGGGACTGACCACCTCAAATTTTGACTGAAGAAACCTACTCTGTATGTGAAACATCAGTAAAGGCACCCAACTGTTGCACATGTCTCTTGATCTTCAACTTGTCGGTATTTTATACCATTTTCAACAATGAGTTGGACTTGCCTAGCATGGGCTAATAGACCTACTGCAGTATTCCTACACTCTCCTGTTATGTAAGACATCAGACAAGAAGTGATGGCTGGGGGTTCTTACAGCATATATCAGTCAGTGGTGGTCCACTGAAGTCTCACTTGGGAAACCAATGTTGACACAAAATACTCGGGAATGCTGACATAAAATACTCAGTGTGACAACACACTGACGTTACTGAGGAGAGAGGGCCAAGATTTTGTAACAGCTGATAAACCACACAATATACTATGATAAATATAACCTTATTCCTTATTCTTCCCCACTGAGGTTTCGTAGTATTTATATGAGGATAATACTGTACCCGTAACGGTAATAATAGTTGACTAATGAGACGGCTAATGATGGAATATTGGCTAAGCCTCTCAAAAAAGCATAGCATTTGTGTGTGCAACCTTTGCAAACCTGTTCTGTAAAAAAAAAATATGGGGAACTATATGAGAATCATGGAGGGTCTAAAATATGGCACTAATTAAAAAAAATGTGAAAAAGCACTAGCTTCAAACTATGGCCCCAGCCAATATAACTAACATCAAAATAAACATGACAGCCTACAAGCTCAGTGTTTGCAGGCTAACTTTTCATTCACTCCTTAGGCGATTCTGTTCTGACTCACGAAATCGTAATAACACGATTACAAACCAGGGAAAAGGTGGGGGTTTAAACCCATGGCGAGTGAGCCGTAAAACTCCAGGCCAGTGCGTAAGCCACTAGGTCAGCTGGCTACAGTAAGATTCATTATCCAAATAGGTACATTTTTACACTCACCTGCCATAGCTTCAAGCCCCATCCGTTGCGTGGTCTGTTCTGATTGTCTTGATGTATGCCTCTCCCATTATAACTCCCACTATAACTCAACTTACCTTGTCTGATGGTGCACGCAAACACACGTGTGTGTGCTCAGACTCGAATACTGAAATTTCAAACTACAATCAACCTTTTTGTGGCTGGAACAATCAACATTGTGACTGGGTTGGTGACCTGCCAAGCAACCAGGGCAATGACCCATTCAACCATTAACTCATTCATATAAGGATGGAGTGATGATGGAGTCACCCATCATCCTTGCTGGTCAGTTCAAGGAACTGAACAAGTTGACTGTAATTTGAAAGCTCTGTTATTCCGTTTTTATGTTTTTTACCATAACTAAAAATACCGCGTTGGTTGTGTGAGGCTATGACAACACTAGAGTAACAGTACGAGGCTATGACAACACTAGAGTAACAGTACGAGGCCATGACAACACTAGAGTAACAGTACGAGGCTATGACAACACTAGAGTAACAGTACGAGGATATGACAACACTAGATAACAATATGAGGATATGACAACACTAGAGTAACAGCACGAGGCTATGACAACACTAGAGTAACAGTACGAGGATATGACAACACTAGATAACAATATGAGGATATGACAACACTAGAGTAACAGCACGAGGCTATGACAACACTAGAGTAACAGTACGAGGCTATGGCAACACTAGAGTAACAATATGAGGATATGACAACACTAGAGTAACAGTACGAGGATATGACAACACTAGAGTAACAATATGAGGATATGACAACACTAGAGTAACAGTACCAGGCTATGACAACACTAGAGTAACAGTACGAGGATATGACAACACTAGAGTAACAGTACGAGGATATGCCAATATTGGAGTAAGAGTAGAACGGAGCTATGACAACACTAGTGAAAAGAGTACGAGGCTATGACAACACTAGAGTATGTGAAGTAAAAGGACACAAGTGCAACTAAAGTAACATTTTATTGTGGCAACGTTTCGCTCTCCAGGAGCTTTATCAAGCCATTACAAACAATACATGGACACAGAGGGTATATAAAGGCTCAGAGTGAGGTGCAATACTACTGGTAGTAGTAGTAGTAATGACAAAAATTGTAGTAGTAGTAGTAATACAACTTTTGTCACTACTACTACTACTACTACCACTAGTGAACATCGAAATAGTACCTCACTAGTATTGCACCTCACTCTGAGCCTATATATACCCTCTGTGTCCATGTTTTGTTTGTAATGGCTTGATAAAGCTCCTGGAGAGCGAAACGTTGCCACAATAAAATGTTACTTTAGTTGCACTTGTGTCCTTTTACTTCACATATTGTCGGTAATTCTACCAACTTTATTACAACACCAGAATAACAGGATGGGGCTATGACAACACCAGAGTAACAGGATGGGGCTATGACAACACCAGAGTAACAAGATGGGGCTATGACAATACCAGAATAACAGGATGGGGCTATGACAACACCAGAGTAACAAGATGGGGCTATGACAACACCAGAATAACAGGATGGGGCTATGACAACACCAGAGTAACAAGATGGGGCTATGACAACACCAGAATAACAGGATGGGGCTACGACAACACCAGAGTAACAAGATGGGGCTATGACAACACCAGAATAACAGGATGGGGCTATGACAACACCAGAATAACAGGATGGGGCTATGACAACACCAGAATAACAGGATGGGGCTATGACAACACCAGAACAACAGGATGGGGCTATGACAACACTAGAGTAACAGAATGGATCTATGAGAGTGAACTTTCACGGTACACACAAGTGCGATAAGGCACCTAAACTACTGGGAACGGTTGAAGGTCCATGATCTGTATTCCCTCGAACGCAGGCGAGAGAGATACATAATATACACTTGGAAGGTCCTGGAGGGATTGGTACCAAACTTGCACACGAAAATCACCCCATATGAAAGCAAAAGACTAGGAAGGAGATGCAACATTCCCCCGATGAAAAGCAGGGGCGCCACGAGTACACTGAGAGACAACACAATAAGTGTCCAGGGTCCAAGACTGTTCAATTGCCTCCTAGCATACATGAGGGGAATTGCCAATATACCCCTGGTTGTCTTCAAGAAGGCGCTGGACAGGCACCTAAAGTCAGTACCTGACCAACCGGGCTGTGGTTCGTACGTCAGCTTGCGTGCGGCCAGCAGTAACAGCCTGGTTGATCAAACCCTGATCCACCATGAGGCCTGGTCTGAGACCGGGCCGCGGGGGCGTTGACCCCCGAAACCCTCTCCAGGTAAACTCCAGATAATGACAACGCTAGAGTATCAGGATGGGGCTATGACAACACTAGGGCAACAGGATGGGGCTATGACAACACTAGAGTAACAGGATGGGGCTATGACAACATTAACAGGATGGATCTATAACAACACTAGAGTAACAGTACGAGACTATGACAACACCAGAGTAACAGGATGGATCTTCGACAACACTAGAGTATCAGGATGGGGCTATGACAACACTAGAGTAACAGGACGAGACTATAACAACAATAGAGTAAGAGCAGTAATCACCTTGCCACTGTGGGCCGCGTTGTTAAACTGAGAGTTGTACCTTCACTTGTACACCAGGGAAAGATAGTCTCTCTGGCTGCCCTTGGCCTTGCCTCAGCTTCATGGCGATCCACACTATAAAATACATATATTAGAAGAGAAATAAAAACGTGAGTATGCCCACACCCAGAGATGATATTGTGCGGCTAATACTACCCGATATTTTAATATATTATTTATTAGATGTATCGCAAAAATAGCTCTTTTGCTGATTGCAAAATATGGAAAAAAGTTTGTTATGGTCAGTTCCTTAGGTGACTTGTAGGTCTATAGTAAACTCCTCTGGTTAACAACTGAAGATACCCGGGTTTGATTCCCAAGCGGGAAATTAAAAAAAAAAGTGGAAATAATGGGAAGAAATGGGGAAAATACATGGGAGAAGCTGACAAGTCGAGAGTTACACTCAGATGGCTGAAGAACTTCGTGTATTATTACATTAGGGACACAATACGAGAGGTGACGAACCGACGAGGCTATGCCCGATCTTCTTGAATACGTCATACATAGGACCACTATATCCCGGGATATCTCGGGATATAGTGGTCACTCCCACTGGGTGGGAGAGACCACTATATCCCAAGCATCAAGTACCTACTGGGAATTATCCTAGAAATATCATAAGGAGGAGAAAAGAGCCAAAAACGTATACTCCATAAGAAGGATCATAGACCCATAATAGACATCCTGAGTTACGCAGTGGGGGAAAAGAGAAGTGTAAGGAGAGAGAATGGGAAGAATTATATGTAGACAGCCTGTACTGTCAGAGCACACAGCCTAGCCGTCTGCTCTGACTAGTTCATATTTCGCGGCATTCAGTGCTGCCCTCTGTAGGCCTACCTAGGTCGGTGGGAAGCACAGCCCACCCTCTCTCACTCCTAGACTGACCGACTAGACGTACACAAGTACTCCCCCTCCACGGACTGGCTTGCGGTCACTCCCTCACACTGCCCGTTGTGTACTCACTCCTACCCGATTAAAGCCAATCTAGTCCACGGCCGTATCATTGCTACCTACGCTACCTTCATCGGCACTAAACCGCTGTTCAACAGTAAGAACAGCAATAACATATATCTTGTTGAGCAAGAAAGTACTAGGATACAAAAGAGGAAATTTATAGCCATGATAAGATAAAAATCGTAATGAAAAACCCATTATTTAACTGCAAATGTAACTTGATAAAGACAAGAAACAACAGAGCATGTAATAAACGCAGAAGATTAATACAAAAAAAAATAGAGAAATTAATTAGCAGGAGTGAAAAGAGAAAGGCAAAACAGAGAGAAAAAAGTGAGAAATATAAGGAAAGACAGAACAATAACACTGCATAATCACATCAGGCTGTGATCCACCAGGAGGCCTGGTCACAGACCGGGCCGCGGGGGCGTTGACCCCCGGAACTCTCTCCAGGTAAACTCCAGGTAATAATCACATCAGATATTTTTTATAATAACAAAGCACCAACTGAACACTAAAAGCCAAGACGAGGCTATTATAATAAAAAAAGAAGCGCTAAATCACAAGGGCTATACAGCGAAGATGAGGCTATGACATTTATTATTTAAGAAGGGAAAACAACAAGAGTAACGTGAAGGAGGTTATGAGAGGAATGAAGCAAGTGCTTGAGTGCACCAGACGTGAAGGAGGTTATGTGAGGAAGCAAGTGCTTGAGTGTAGCAGACGTGAAGGAGGTTATGTGAGGAAGCAAGTGCTTAAGTGCAGCAGACGTGAAGGAGGTTATGAGAGGAATGAAGCAAGTGCTTGAGTGCAGCAGACGTGAAGGAGGTTATGAGAGGAATGAAGCAAGTGCTTGAGTGCAGCAGACGTGAAGGAGGTTATGTGAGGAATGAAGCAAGTGCTTAAGTGCAGCAGACGTGAAGGAGGTTATGTGAGGAATGAAGCAAGTGCTTAAGTGTAGCAGACGTGAAGGAGGTTATGTGAGGAATGAAGCAAATGCTTGAGTGTAGCAGACGTGAAGGAGGTTATGAGAGGAATGAAGCAAGTGCTGGAGTGCAGCAGACGTGAAGGAGGTTATGAGAGGAATGAAGCAAGTGCTGGAGTGCAGCAGACGTGAAGGAGGTTATGTGAGGAATGAAGCAAATGCTTGAGTGTAGCAGACGTGAAGGAGGTTATGAGAGGAATGAAGCAAGTGCTGGAGTGTAGCAGACGTGAAGGAGGTTATGAGAGGAATGAAGCAAGTGCTGGAGTGCAGCAGACGTGAAGGAGGTTATGTGAGGAATGAAGCAAATGCTTGAGTGTAGCAGACGTGAAGGAGGTTATGAGAGGAATGAAGCAAGTGCTTGAGTGTAGCAGACGTGAAGGAGGTTATGAGAGGAATGAAGCAAGTGCTTAAGTGCAGCAGACGTGAAGGAGGTTATGAGAGGAATGAAGCAAGTGCTTGAGTGTAGCAGACGTGAAGGAGGTTATGTGAGGAATGAAGCAAGTGCTTGAGTGCAGCAGACGTGAAGGAGGTTATGTGAGGAATGAAGCAAGTGCTTAAGTGCAGCAGACGTGAAGGTTATGTGAGGAATGAAGCAAGTGCTGGAGTGTAGCAGACGTGAAGGAGGTTATGTGAGGAATGAAGCAAGTGCTGGAGTGTAGCAGACGTGAAGGAGGTTATGAGAGGAATGAAGCAAGTGCTTGAGTGTAGCAGACGTGAAGGAGGTTATGTGAGGAATGAAGCAAGTGCTTAAGTGCAGCAGACGTGAAGGTTATGTGAGGAATGAAGCAAGTGCTGGAGTGCAGCAGACGTGAAGGTTATGTGAGGAATGAAGCAAGTGCTGGAGTGCAGCAGACGTGAAGGTTATGTGAGGAATGAAGCAAGTGCTGGAGTGCAGTCAGACGTGAAGGTTATGTGAGGAATGAAGCAAGTGCTGGAGTGCAGCAGACGTGAAGGAGGTTATGAGAGGAATGAAGCAAGTGCTGGAGTGTAGCAGACGTGAAGGAGGTTATGTGAGGAATGAAACAAGTGCTGGAGTGTAGCAGACGTGAAGGAGGTTATGAGAGGAATGAAGCAAGTGCTGGAGTGTAGCAGACGTGAAGGAGGTTATGTGAGGATGAAGGCAATGCTTGTGTAGCAGACGTGAGGAGGTTATGAGAATTGAGCAAGTGCTGAGTGTAGCAGACGTGAAGGAGGTTATGAGAGGAATGAAGCAAGTGCTGGAGTGCAGCAGACGTGAAGGTTATGTGAGGAATGAAGCAAGTGCTTGAGTGCAGCAGACGTGAAGGAGGTTATGTGAGGAATGAAGCAAGTGCTGGAGTGTAGCAGACGTGAAGGAGGTTATGAGAGGAATGAAGCAAGTGCTGGAGTGTAGCAGACGTGAAGGAGGTTATGTGAGGAATGAAGCAAGTGCTGGAGTGTAGCAGACGTGAAGGTTATGTGAGGAATGAAGCAAGTGCTTGAGTGCAGCAGACGTGAAGGTTATGTGAGGAATGAAGCAAGTGCTTGAGTGTAGCAGACGTGAAGGAGGTTATGAGGGGAATGAAGCAAGTGCTGGAGTGTAGCAGACGTGAAGGTTATGTGAGGAATGAAGCAAGTGCTTGAGTGCAGCAGACGTGAAGGTTATGTGAGGAATGAAGCAAGTGCTGGAGTGCAGCAGACGTGAAGGAGGTTATGTGAGGAATGAAGCAAGTGCTGGAGTGTAGCAGACGTGAAGGAGGTTATGAGAGGAATGAAGCAAGTGCTTAAGTGTAGCAGACGTGAAGGAGGTTATGTGAGGAATGAAGCAAGTGCTTGAGTGCAGCAGACGTGAAGGAGGTTATGTGAGGAATGAAGCAAGTGCTTAAGTGTAGCAGACGTGAAGGAGGTTATGAGAGGAATGAAGCAAGTGTAGCAGACGTGAAGGAGGTTATGAGAGGAATGAAGCAAGTGCTCGAGTGCAGCAGACGTGCAGGAGGTTATGAGAGGAATGAAGCAAGTGCTGGAGTGTAGCAGACGTGAAGGAGGTTATGAGAGGAATGAAGCAAGTGCTCGAGTGCAGCAGACGTGAAGGAGGTTATGAGAGGAATGAAGCAAGTGCTGGAGTGTAGCAGACGTGAAGGAGGTTATGAGAGGAATGAAGCAAGTGCTTGAGTGCAGCAGACGTGAAGGAGGTTATGAGAGGAATGAAGCAAGTGCTGGAGTGCAGCAGACACCAACAAAACTGTGACGATGCTGGACAGCACCAGAGAAACACATGAAAAGCGTAACAAGACGATTGGAAATAAATCACGGAACTGGCGGGACTTAACACACCGCAGTTTTTGTGGCCTCAAGATCTACCAGCGTGAGCTGAATCAAGAGCCCCTCTACCAGCGTAGTTGAATCAAGAGCCCCTCTACCAGCGTACTGAGTTGAATCAAGAGCCCTTCTACCAGCGTATTGAGTTGAATCAAGAGCCCCTCTACCAGCGTAGTTATAGGAACTCACCACTGGTTCAAACTGCACCCATTCCCTGATTTGAGAAGCCTAGATCGGGAGAGAAATAAAAAGGCCGCTAAGTGAGACATATCAGAGTAATTGGATCTGACAGTATGGTTCACTGGGTCTTAAAAGAGCGAGAAAAATAGAGTGAACCGCTAGCAAGACTTGAACAGACCTTGGAGACAGGGTGCCTTCCAGAAATCAGAAAAGTAAGTGTTGTTCCAATATTAGTCATTATCAACAGCAACACAACAGCAGTAACAGCAACACAGCAACAGCAACACAGCAACAGCAACAACACAGCAACAACACAGCAACAGCAACACAGCAGCAGCAACAGCAACACAGCAGCAGCAGCAACAACACAGCAGCAACACAGCAGCAACACAGCAGCAGCAACACAGCAACAGCAGCAGCAACAACACAGCAGCAACAACACAGCAGCAACAACACAGCAGCAACAACACAGCACCAGCAACACAGCACCAGCAACACAGCACCAGCAACACAGCAGCAGCAACACAGCAACAGCAACACAGCAGCAGCAGCACAGCAATACAGCAGCAGCAACACAGCAGCAGCAACACAGCAGCAGCAACGCAGCAGCAACAACACAGCAGCAACACAGCAACAGCAACAACACAGTGGCAACACAGCAGCAGCAGCAACACTGCAG